TCGTTGGTGCTTCTGGAGGAAACAGTATGTTAACGTCATCATCTTACCTCGTCTGTTTCATATCTCCTGTCAGATTGGCAAAGGGGTACTATGGGCTGAGGGCGAAGCCCACAGAAGGTACTGTTCAGCTTTTGTCCTTGCGCAAGTGACTGACCTACCACCTGCGAATTAGGCAGCGGAAGGCCCTCACGCCAGCATTCAGTAATGCAGCCATTCGGAAACTCACATCGGTGTTTTATGACTCAGCATACAAGGTAAGGATTTGCGATGTGGGAAATGCAGCATCTCTGAACTTGATCCGTTACAGGCCAAAGGAAAATGGGATACTGCCATAGAGTCAAGCAAAGATGGTGACGCTGTAATCGAGGTCCAGAACTGGTGCGCAGCTTTTCTAACTTGGCAAGTGGCATTCCTAATCAAAACGACTCGAAGGATGAATCATATATCGTACGCGAAGATATTTTTTCATTGACGCCTCGAACTGACGGAACATCAGTTTGGACACGGTTGGCATTGCTGGTTTCTCCCATGATTTTGGCTCGCTCGATGGAACGCCCTCCAGCGTGACCGAAGTGTTTGATACATTCGGAAGTAACCAACAGGCTTCAGCCGTGAACGAAATTTTTATCCTGCTCGCATCAGTATTTCCTATCATTCTCAAGATCCCCACTAAGCGGCAAAATCTGTTCAAGAAACTTGCCGTTACCATAGAACAAATATCTAACAAATTGTTGATTCGCAGCCGCCGGGAAAAGGATCTCAACATAGGCGAGAGAGGCGAGGAAAATTCTATCATGGGATTGTTGAGTACGCTCTCCGAGAGATTCATCGTAGTCTCTTAATTAACGCGACGATAAGTTAAATCCGAAGGTCAAGATACCGAGTTGCATATGTCGGAGGAGGAAGTAATGGCTCAGGTCCGTGAAATAGGATGTATCACAGCCATGATTTACGAGCTCACGTCCCGCAGATGAAGGTCTTGCTTTTCGCAGGTTATGAGACGACATCCAGTGAGTCAATTTCTTGCCCGCTGCTGTCATACTGGCTGACTCTTCATCGACAGTCAGTCTTACTGTGAGTTTACTGCACGACTACGTCTGCACGCTATTAATGTGATGATCAGTGGGCGCTGATCGAGCTATCACGACACCCCGATGTCCAAACCAGGCTCAGAGAGGAACTGCTTGTCTTTGGCCCTGATCCGACATATGACCAATTAAAGGCCAACCTCCCATACTTGGATGCGATTGTCCATGAAATTCTAAGACTCCATCCTCCAGTGCCGGAATTCGCTCGTCTTGTGAGTGTGTATGTCTACATGTGAATAGACACGACAACTTTAAGTTTACAGGCAGCGGCAGATGACGTCATTCCCTTGAGCGAACCTGTGCGCACGGTGTCCGGCAACATGACGGATAATATATCTATAGCGAAAGGGACATTGATCACGATATCAGCCGCGGCTATCAATCGTTCTTCGGCCATCTGGGGACCTCACGCAAAGGAATTCAAGCCTGACCGTTGGTTGACTGAAGACGGCATCGGTGGAAAGGCCAAGGAAGTCCAAGGTCATAGGCATCTGCTGACATTTGTTGATGGCCCGAGGACGTGTCTTGGAAAAGATTTTGCGATCATGGAATTTAAGGTGAGTGATGCGAATCAGCAACTATGGACGTCATTCACTGTGATATAGACGGTTTTATCTGTTCTGGTGAAGAACTTCGTGTTTGAGATGCGGAATGGACCAAATACTCCAGTCGAAGTTGTGAGGGGCATCTTACCTCGTCCACGAGTTGTTGGAGAGGGTGGTATTGGAGTTCCTTTAAGAGTTCGTCGGTATGAATGATTGGTTGCGCTGCACCAGATTTTACCCCACTTATTCGCAACCAAATCCCTTGGTTTGTATTCAAATCAGAAGAGGTATGTGCGATTGGTATTGTAATATAGACACTATATAGCTTTATGTTTATCCTTCTTGCTGCCAAGCGGAGCATTCCAAGAACATCGACGCTCATGGATTTGAAGTGATAAATAGTGTACACACTGCACAGTGACAAGTCCTTATATTTTCTTCCACCCGCCTCAATCATGATGCATGTGACCAAATTTATAAGCCGGCGGCTTTTTCCGACAGCGAATTGCTTCCGCGGGATCAGTCCCGTCCTTACTACATATGGTAGTAGTCAAAATTGTAGGACACTGGTATGAATGATAAAATGATGCAATTAATTCCCTATGGAACAACACTCTCATTTATCACTATGCACAAGCCGGCACACTTAGTCGTGCAAGTGACAACGCGATCGAGGGGCCAGACTTGAAGTTGAGTACTGTGTTGTCGGTAGGTCACGTGTCACTGCGAGGTTGTTTTAGGAAAGCGTTGTAGTTCGCTTAATTTTTACCGCGACCTCTTCGAAATGACCTGTCTGCACTTTCTGCAGCTGCAATCTAACCCTTGTATTTCAATTGAGCCGTCACCATGGCCGTAATTTTTAATACAACAGTCAACATCTCCGTTGAGAGTCTCGCGACCATGAAAACAAGACTAATAGACTAGTAAATATCACTCGTGGCACCCCAGGACGTTCTATTTCTTTTCCCAATCATGTATGGCCAGTTCTCTCTAATTTCTCGCCTCATCTCTCCAGCCTTTCCTTGGTCTCACTCTGGCGCCAATGAACGAAGCAGAACAGGAACAGGAACGTGGGGTGTGCGAGTCCACCAAGATTCCAATGGTCTTCCAAGTTTGAGTATGCTTTCTGACGACATATTGGTCGATCATATATTCGACTACCTGATGGTGGAAGATATCCTGTGCCTACGAATGGTAACGTCTACCTTGCATATACCTGCTGTCACTAGACTCGTTTCAGGTCAACAGACTGTTCTACAACCTTACACACCATGGTATAATATGGAAACGGTTTCTGCGGAGGATTGGACCCAATGTGCCCGCGTTACCGCCTTCGCAGCATTATTCTCCTAATTTCTTGACCTCGTTTGAGGCTGAACGACTAGTCATTCGCGCGATTACGGTCCACAAGAACTGGATCCTGCCGAATCCGCCTGCCGCCTCCTATCTCCCTGTGCAGGCACATAGGCACATATTATCAATGATCGTACTTCCCGGCGGAAAATACCTTGTCGCTTCTGCATGCAATCTTGCCAAAACTCACTACAGCTTGGTTGTATATGTTCTTGATCACCGTATCTGTGGCATTGTTCCTCTAGCGGAAACACCCGTCCGAGGGAAAGCGTATAATATATGTGCCAAGTACATGAACGTGGAAGGCACGCCAAGCATCGTTATCGGATATATTCGCAGGAAGACGTTGAAAAGTCATCAAAGTACTAACAGGTAGAAACTGATTGTGCCTCCAAGTGTACCTTCCAACACTGACTGTCGGCTTAGTATTGATCCCTCCATATACAATCCGTACCTGAACAACCCACGGTGTCAAATTGATGCTCCAATGCCGCTGGAGTATGTCGCGACGTGTTTACAGATATCCCTTGATGCACTAGATGCGTTAGGAAATCCTATCCTCGTGCCTGGCTCTCAAGAGTTTTTCGACTTTGCTGCATCACAGCCCCCGCCATTTCGCTTCCTCGGACACCTTCGCAGTGATTCAGAGCTTCGAAATGTTGATCTTGGCGAAGTCGATGGCGTTCCGAACATGGTAGTCGCCAAGATGCCCGAAACCATTGTGATGAAGGAACTAACTTTTGATGGTGCCATATCTACTTTTAAATGCGCGCGCGAAATCACGCTTTCACAACAGGTATAGTACTTTTTTTGCTGTGAAGATTACTCTAAACTTCTCAAAGGAACAACCTATTTGTAACTTCCGGTTATTGCCTTTACAAGGGCAAATCCTTGTCGTGCGCTCCACGAATCGTCCACGATTAGCACCGTCCAATCCCTCGCCTGGTGGTCCACCTATCATTCCTGATGTTATGTTCACTGTCGCCATGTTTCCCACGCCTGACCCTGGGGATACAGAAGGAGGAGAGTTTAACCCGCTTTCAATTGCCTCCTTTCACGGGAAAGACATTGAAGATTTTCAAATAAGTGACCCACATGTGTCCAATGACCAAGGTCGAAATTTCTTGCCGCCTCCTATCAATATCTTCTACAGGAATGAAAGCGGTGGTCGTATCTGCCACATGATCATTTCGCCAACCCCACGAGAGAGCGCACCCGAAGCGTTTAGATCTACCGGAAAACCACATTACGCTATCACGAACCTGAGGTCCAACATGATGCACCGCCTATCCTTCAAAAACGACGAATCTAGAACAGTATGCAGAACATTCGTCATCCCAGGATGTCTGCGCTCTTTATTCTACTCCATTCCACGCGATAATCGATCAGACACGCTTTCGGTCCGCAACTTCTCCGGCCATCTCCTATCAAAACGAGGCGATGATGCCTATAGTATTATGCGGCGCGAAACGCTGCAAAATATCCTCCGAAATGTTCCCAAGCACCGCGAGAATATGCTGGGACAGTTTAATCTGCCTTCATATATCCTCGATCATATTCGTGATGGTGTGACAGCGATAGCCTGGGACGAGGGCACTGGGCGTATCTTTTATTCCAAGCCACACGAGACGATGCTGCACATACTTGATATGGCAGAAACGCCATTGGAAAGTGAGTTGAAGTTCGCGTGCTAAATTGGTCATACACTTAAAGTTATTTTGTAGCGATAAGTGGGCAGCGTCATCCAATCCCTTTGGAGGATGAGCGCATGCTCGATTTGTGAATTACACCACCCAATGGACACTTTGGACTCGATCGCATGAACTATGCTCATTACTTCTTGCATCGTAAAATTGACCGATTGTACACTAGTATACCCAGTCCGCGATAACTTCATTTGTTTGTATCTGGTCATTATTCTAATGTACAACATAAAATTGATACAGACGCAACGAGGTAGAGATGTACGAGCTATGATGGAACGTAGGATAAGCGCAATAGAGGAAATCTCCACTTTGCGGGATAAAAGCTGTATGCGATTGTAATTAGAATAGATGACTGAAACCTTTCCATGAGGCAACTGCTCAAGCAAGAAAATGGTAATCAAGATCATTAAACAAGATATAGGTAAACACATCTTTACCATAGAATACAATTCTAGCGTGCGTCAGGCTCTGGACGAGTGAGAAGAGGAGTAGGTGATCGAATTACCGGACCGGGACACTCATTCCTGCTCTTTCCCCTTCTAGCGCTGCTTATCTTTGCGGCCAAACTGGAATGATGCGGTGAAGCTCAACTTCCGACTCGCCCGCTTCATAGCACTAGTGGTATTAGTGGAAGCGCTAGATGGTAAAATTGCCTCCAGGGCGGTAGATGCACGTATTGACTTTGGCCGTTTAGACAAGCCCGTCGCGCCTTCCTCGTACAACTTACTTTTCGCCTGCGTCTCGCCCTTGTCCAAACGAGGCAGTGTCATGGGCAATGTCCCGTTGGGTAGATCACCCACAGCACCTGGCAATGGAGGAAGATTGTGGTCCCGAAGTATAGTTGTAGAGGAGCGTGAACCAAGCGTAGCACCTGCAGTCGTCGGCCGAGCTGGGGATTTAGGTGATCTTGGTGACTCCAAGTCATGATGTGACGCCGTTGGCCGTTTGTGCGGTCGCGTATACTCAGATGAGTGGCCTCGAGGATAAACTGAAGGAGGGGATTGTGCTATGCTTGAGTTTTGCAGAGGAGTAGGTATCATTGGCAAGGGGCGAGTGGTGTGTGGGTGATGGTCAGGAGATGTCGATGATGAAGTGCTTGTAGTGTGTGAAGAATATGATGTAGTGGCTGAGATGGAAGGCGAGCTCGAAGTATCTCGTCGACTGCTCGTACTATGCGATGATGCCCGAACAGGGCCGGAAGCAGACGAAGGGCGGCGATGAACCATAAAAGGTGCTACAGGACGATCAAGACCTGCCGGCTCCGACGGATGTCCAGAACCATTATCCTTGGAATGCCTCGATGTCGACCCAGTAGTGTGGAACTTCGACGGAGATGACGACGTATCCAAGGGCACGACAGGAGGCAATGGCATATTATTTGCCTCAGCTTCCGAGGTCGGATGTGCTTTCCCTCCCGATCTAAGGCTTTTCCTTCGGAACCAGTAGGTGCTCTTCTTCTCTGTGTCCTTTTCCTTGCCATTCGGACTCCGTAGAGCAAGGTCAGGCAGAACAGGTGGCAGCGGATCTGATGGCTCGGACCTAGGGAAGGGAGCAGTGGATTTTGCAGCCGTGTCACGCTTGTCTAAACCAATCTTCAGTGAGGGGACATGTTTGAGTATGCCATTACGAGCGGGCGAGGATGGCTTCAGTGACGAGCCACGACCAACTGTTGCATGATACGGAGGTACTGGGGGAGGGCTAGGTTTCATAAATTCCGAGGGGATTTTGCGCAATGGTCTCTCAGTAGGAGAAACGGGAATATTCATGGGTAAAGATGGTGGGGGTAGTATAGGCGCAGTCTCAGCATTTTCTGCCTCTGCAGGTTCTGCAGACAACCCGGGAGGCAATGGTATAGGTTCTGAAAGCGATGCAGGGGAATCTGTAGGGAGTTGTTGATGTAAATGTTCCTCAGGAACATGTGGACTTGTCGGACACAAATCAAGAGCGACAAGGTCTAGATCCACAGCTTGGTAGTAGAGCACATAGGCGGAACCCGAATTGGATTCGCCGAAGTACTTGGGTATGTCGGATTCTTTGATCGACTCCACCGTTTCATCATCAAATACAAGCCAGGCACCCAACGTCTTGATGATGCTGACATAGTGACCATGGTTTGGCCCGCTATATTTACCAGGGACAAATGAGGGAAGAAAAGCGTGTCAGCGGCGATTACAGATAACGAGCGTCACACGCGACAAGGGACATACTTTCCGATGTGAACTACTATGGCGAAGAGTTCATACAGTCGATCAGGGTTCTCAGCATCATCAACAGTGTTGAACAAGCGGAGCTCGAAGGGAAATGCAACGCGATAAGCCAGCTTGATGTACTTTTGTACATCTTCTTGATACTTGAAGCGCTTGAGATGTAGAGCGAGAACATTGGGCAGTCGCTTTATCTTCATCCTGACGTGGCCTCAGTATCAAATCTAGTTGAGCAAACGTTAAATACCTCTTTTCCGCTTCCTGGAGGTCGCAACATCCGTCGCAGAAGAACTTGTTTCGCTGGCAGAGCATTTCACTAGCGCTAAATTGTCGAAGACATGCTGTCACGCTCGAGTTCTGTTCGATATCTATGGAGAGGTCCAAAAACGATTCGTCACGTGAAGATACCTGTGCACGATCAGTAAGTGCGGCGGTACGAATCACGACAACGCACATTCTCGCATGTTAAACATCGAGTTTCGCTAGTCAGTGTACCTTCGAATATCTGGTGAATAAATGTAGACCCCGTCGACGGATTGCCTGAGCTCGACGTGCTTGCCTGTCATTACCAACGGTTGCGAGGTTGTAGATGATGATTTGACTGAATGATCCGCTATAAAATAGAGCAACATTTGGGGTGTGAGTGGAAACAACGAGTGTTATGAATTCTGATTTTTCCACATACAATCGTCGAGAGGAACCTGCTGTAACTTCTTTTCTTCTTCTATTTCCTCAACAATCTTGTTGAGGAGGTAGTTTAAGAATTCGTGCGCATCCTGATGCATTGTATTTCTAAACGCCTCATTTAATTCTTTGAGTTTGTCTATGAATGCCCGGGGGGCAACGGTGCCTTTGTCAGCTGGGTTCTGCGAGATGTGAATGTACAAGGAGCGAAGTGCAGACACCAAGGTCCGTGGTGATGAGGGGATCGGTGGTGTTGGAGGGTTTACAATACTGGTTTTTGTGGGATATTCTTGAACAGACTGGCGCTCTGTTTGCTTCGAACGAGCGGCGGCTGCGGGGGAGGCGGGAACGGCACTGGGAGCGAACTGCGAGGATAGGGCTGCTTGGATAGTGCCGCACGGATCTGTATGCTGAATTACGAGATCTCGAAAGGGACTGCAAAAATATAGAGCTTGTAGAACGGAGTTGGCATAACTTTTAAGACATCAGCGGGCGGTTGGAGTGTGGGAACGAAGTAAATCGTACCAGGTGTTGCCAAACTACGGGAATGATGGAAATGAAGATCATTTGTGGAGATGGAGTAGTTAGATGACATACATTCTCTAAACCAAACTGCTTTCCATCGGCGCAAGGGATTGGCAACGGTTGCGGGATAGGATGGTCGGTAGTGGTTTGTAACACAGGTTGACCAAAAGGGTTCCATTTCCCTATAGCCATAGTTCAGAGCTCGTTACACGAGCTCTGTGATAGAAGAAGATGGCGGTTCAAATTCGGAATTGAGGGAAGATTGGTACGGCAGAGAAAGCTCGTTATGAGTAGCATCAAACAAGTTACTGACATGGATTTCCACCACAAGCGACCCGGCCCCCTTGCTCCGGTTCTAAAAAAGGTAATTTCTCGCGTGGCGGACCAAGGCACTGCAGAGGCTCAGCTGACATGTGCTGCAGCATATTGCAACCAGCGCTCACCAGCTCCACTAACGGCTGCGCATCAGGCATGCGCGGATTTCATGTTATCTAAGTTGGTCTACCGGTGTGGCATGCCGACGGGCCCCATGGCTTGGTTTCCAAAATGAGCTAAAGGTACCATGCAGTACGTAACCCAATCATTGCAATCCATGACTGTCATGACATGTCCATCCGTGCCCGTGTGCCTCGTCGCCCGGGACTTGGTTATTTCACCTCCTTCAAGCTTTGTACTGCTCTTATCATTCCCTGAAACTCGCAGCGCTGATCACAAACTCTGCATCTTCTCCATCAATGTTCTCATCGGTGTGTTCATGCCACTGTTTGACGCTTGTCCCCATCTTACTATCTCACGCCTGCTCATCAGACCCTTTGATTTGAGTCGAATAGGCAACCATTTCTGCATCATGCGCTGCCAAGAGGCATCCGTGGCGGAAGGAACTATCATAGGCATTTCATAATGTCTACCATAAATCAAATCAAAATCTCTATTTGGCGTTGAAGCCAGACTATGTGGTACGCAAGAGTTAATTAAAAATGAAACACGACAACACCTTCAAAGATGGCTCATACGAATCCCGTCTCACATACGTGGATCCAATCACCGACCTTCACCACGCCATTCGCCGTGAAAACCCCATTGCACCCCATACAGGGTAACCTAGGCCGCCCGGGATCCAGGCCTCTTCTATGCTTCATTAAAACTTTTAATGGCACGGCCTTGTCACGTACACCGGTCTCGGGATGTACATTTGGCAGCTGTGAAAGTGATAAATAATCAGCAACCATTTTTGAAAGGAAATAGCAGATTCGTACCACGCAACGAGTGCATTTACGCACAAGCCGAATTATCGACGATGCCCCTTCGACAGCTTCATGATGGGAATCGATAGTGAATTCAGTGAGTATATCCTCGAAGAAAGGTGCGCCGGCTCCTTTAATCACTATGTTGGGGCGGAATCTGCAAGCGAAAAGAAGATGAGCAACAATCCGAAGTTGCACGAGCTCGGACCGAAAAAGATGGGTTTACCTTTCTACCTGTAAAGTGTCGCTAGACCACTTTTCCTCTATGCCCTGCATGCCCACCATCTCTCTGATCAGCTCCTGCGCGGCCGCGACACTTTCCTCGGACACTATCAATAAAGGGTACCCATCCTGAAAATATGATGGTGCATCTAGGTTGGGAAACCTTATAGTCGGCGGACAGCTCCGCTGGCGTGAGCCCCTCACAGCCAAGTGTACTGGCATCCCCATATATTCCGAAAGTATCTCTGAGGGTGACCTTCCTATGTTGGTCTGGCATACGTACCCCTCGATGTCATCCTTGCCCCACAATGATATATTGATACTAGTAAACACATGGTTAAGATAAAAGACATCGGGCCGCAGTGACACATAGCTGTACTCACTTTTCCCAATCCTGAAGTTGTTCCTCAGTGGGGTTTAATGGTACTGAGAAGGTCTCACAGCCCGACTCCTTTGGGAAAGACACCTCGAGCCGGCCAGCCTCTGAAGATGAGGCCGGAATGATGCGAGGATGTATAAGAACCATCTGTACAGAATTATGACGGTGTCTACTGCCAATGACGGCATAGGGCGTACCTTAGCCACATCTCGGGCAGTCACAACTGCATTATTATGTGTCTTTATTATGCACCATTTACGATCATTCTACAGCACAGTCAAAATTGATTATCAGAAACATATTTAATGCACTGACATCCAATCCGTGCAGAGTGTAATTTGCCTCTGGAACAGAAGTGCCTTTACAGCTCTACAAAATCAACACTGCTAACAAAGCGGAAATCAGCGTCACACACCTTGATGGGGTGGATGAGAATCTTTGTTACACGTATATTTGACGTATCGAACTTCGAGTGATCTGGGGCAGTAGATCCGGCTTCTCCCTTGTCTGATCGACCACTGGCTAATGAACAGATTAGATATTAATTCAAGCAACTGAAGATATCAAGTGGCGTCCCAACAACCTTCCAAAAATATACTACAGCACTCAGGAACATGGCGCACCTACTGATTTTGATTTTGATCTCTGCGATAGAACTAGATAGGCGAAGGGCGCAAGGAGAAAGATGATCGAAATCCACAAGGTTTGCAACGTGGCACGACCATGTTCCCAAATTGTTGACAAGTCCACCATCTGTTTCATTTTCGTTTATGGAATTGGCTCTTGAAGGCTGTTGTCTTCGTTACGCCACAGCTGCTGGCCCTGCGAGGTCCTGCGATGTTCAATTGGCCAGGAATTCGGATGAAAGTTGTATCGGGAGATGGGAAACAGCGTTGGTAATTATTAAATAGCAAACTTGGCCAAAGACTCGGATGGTGTACACAATGAAAGTACTGGTGGGAATAAGTCGGAAAACTCTCAGAGGGCTGTCTCACGAGGGTCCATAATAAAGGCAGAGCGTCAGTCTTCCATTTCTTACAGGAAGTCATTAATCATTGCCATCTGACTCATGCACATGATATCCTATTACTGCCGAGCCACGGAAAGCCTCGGGACGATACCATCCAAGTTGATCAAGGTAAGATCATCACCGTCACGGTAATGAACCAAGTACACTGCGGCCAACTTGCTCCCATGCCACCGCTCATGCAGCGCCAACGCGGAGATTCTCAGAGCTTCATAATATAACCAAATTACGAACGTCTCTTCTTGAAAATGATGTGGTAGTAGACCGGTGTGCTGGCACCATGCCATATATATTTGATCTCTTTCAGGCTTTCAGCTCAGCCCTCGACTTGGAAGCTTAAAGTTTCAAAAATCAGAGTCGGCGACACAGTGACACAGTCGCATATACTTCAAACGTATTATCATGCTCAATGCTACAATCTGATGGACGTACAACACCTTCATCTGCATAAACTTCCCCACCGCTCATTCAATCGTGCTATGCCGTTCTCAAAATGATGTGCACACCACTGTCCGTGCTGATGATGTCACTGAACTCTCCGACCTGCAGACCAAACGCAGCGTCTTCAAACGGCTTCTGCATCTGACCCTTCGAGAAGGGCCCGAGGTTTCCCTTCTGGGAATGCGACGAACAATCGGAATGAATACTCGCCAGTTCTTCGAACTTCTCCCGCGAGTTGCCAACCTGGGCCTGATATCCTCGGAGAATGTCAGTAGCCTCTTCCTTAGAGCGTGTAATATTCGTCTAGGAGTATACAATGTTAACATGGGTCCCTTTTTTGAAGGCAGATGTATGCACACCTCCTTCCAACTTGATGGTCGCCGACTGTCTTTGTGCTTCACCAACAAATGGCTCGCCGTGATTGTCCCAGCCCCTCCACTGCTACCGCCGCTCAGGTGCTGTGAGCCGGGAAGAGTCTTGATCTGATCATCCGATAGTTCTGAGGGGGCATCCCAGCTTGATTGCTTGGTGGCAGCGTTGAAGTAGTATGGTATGCCCTTCGAGTTGGACATGCGAATTTCCCAGCCAGACGACTGGGTGGGAAGCAATATGAGACAAAATCATGGTTGAACATAGTAACCTGCGGTTACTCACCATCACGAGATTTATCTGGTGTGAGGAGGATGTGGCTTTCGTTGTGTTCGTGGTTCGTTGTGAACTGTGCTCATTTCAGCATTATGTAATGCACTGTTTTAGGACAAGAGTATGTAAAAACAAAGTAGACTGTCATGTAATAAGACACGGGTGGGGCCCTCATATGGGCCCCTGTGTCTCAGGATTGGACTGGGAAGTCTGGGAGACAGAATGTTATAGACTTGGCTGGTCTGGGACAACGTCTGGGCTAAAGTATGGGACACGACGGCAGTTAACGGCACTCCCAACGGAGTTTAAATCCCGCTCGACCCGGACGGTCATGCGAATCAATCCTACCAACACGCCTGCCGCCGCCTAACATTCGTTGGAATACTGCATGTTCGTGGACCGCCTCAACTATGCCTACATCTCCTTGCCTGCCCGTTATTGAGGGGGGAAGTATATCAGGGCAGCCACGATGCTGACAATGTGTGGCTGAAGTTGGATGGTGTCCTCCTCGAGGAGGCTAGCGCATCGCGAGATCGATATATGACATAGCGGCGAGTTCATTGCGTTGCCACATAGCAACAAAAAGGCTCCCGACGTCCATGGAAGTAAGTCCTCGGCGCTGTTGCAGACAGTGCGCGAGAAACAACATCAGCTTTCATACTCCGCTTGGAGGTGCCGATGGGCCAGACTTACTTTGGCCCAGACTTTGTCCCTGGCTATGCCACCCCCTGGGAGAGTACTCGCCTGAAAGGCTGAAAGCACCAATATTAATACTGCGCGAATTGCGGCGCAGTGTGAGTTCTATCCTTGGTCTGTCTAGACCGCAGTCATCGAATGATCAGAAGGACTAAGTATGATCGTGAGCCTTTTGGGCCTCACTCTTTTACCAACGACGCACGGGTTCTGCAGGAAGTCGATCCCGCCAGAACAGTGAGCATATTTAACTCATTCTCAAATAGGTCCTCAGTTGCACACAGGTGGTAGACTTGGCTATGTCAGAGCTATCTAGATGTATACGGCGTCGAGATGACTGGTGGAATCTATTTAAACGTCCGGAAACCCGCGCTCGGTGGGCCGTCGAAGCCCTCGGCGAGCCTATGGCTGTACGAGCACCAGACCACAACCTCAGAGTCTGGCTGACTCCTAATCAGGTTGGCAAACCTGCTTCAATTTTTTGAAGAGTTAATAATACAGTTTCGTTTTGGGGTAGGTTGAATATGTTCTAGAGGAGTTGCAGGGCTATGCAAGCCTTCGCGATGTCGAGAATAATTGGCAGGCCCTCTTTTCTGGATATCAATAATAGGCGCTAGCATACTCACATGCTAACAGTCAGGTTTCCTGCTTTGAGCGCATTTGGGAGTCTCAAGCAATACTTGACAACTCAGCGCGCGCAAGCCTCAATTGTCAACTCTCTCGCTTTCTGAACACCCTTCCAGACAAACTGGCACGTCGCGAGGGAGACGAGCTCACGCGCCGCATTATAGATCCATACCTGTACCCTCTCATTTATGGTCGGACGCTTGCTTACGACTCAGCCATGGAAGAGTTTCTTCGTCCTGAGGTAGTGCCCAACGTTACAGACGCGACCGGCACAGATTTTCTCTCCCAAAAATTTGCATGTTTGCCTTGCGATTTTATCATATCTCAGGACGGTACAGCAAAGGCTCTCTCGTACATAAACAACCTCCACCCTTGCTACTCTGCGCTCTATTGCCACTTCGAGGAGTTGCTCTCGAAATGTGTTCCCATGTTCGAGCACGTCCTCACGGACTTGCATGTAGACAACCCGACCAGAGTGCGAATACAGGGACCTTCGTCGGCAGAGTGGGAAGAACCGGAGCCTCCAGATTTCTCGCGCGACTCCGAGGATTGGTCCGCGTTTGAGAGTAAGAAGCGGCAGTGGCTCATGCGCCGGTCGATTGTGCCTGACGTCCCGATCACTGGTTACCCAGGTGGGCTTGAAGAACGCGGAAGTATTGTGCAACTCAGGGGGAAGACCCTTCAAGTCATACATGACGTTTACGATATTTGCATTGTATGATTCGCTTTTCGCACGGTTACCATTCCCTAAAATCGAGTTCATTTAGAAACCAGGCGGCCCTGCCTTTCAAGGCTCTCAATGGCGCGTAGAGGGCATGAAGAACGAACGTATCGTCGCCTGTGTGCTTTATAATTCGTCAAGTGTATGACATCTCTTGATTTGTTATCCAAAACCTCACCCATTTTTAGGAGAACATTACCCACAACTCGATTGAATTTCGCATGGCTGTCAAAACACCGCCTGCATTTCCCAAGAAAGGATACCAGGACGTAACAATGAAGACTTGGGGTTTACAGGCAAGAAAACCTTGTCATCAGTATATTGGCGCTGTCCCAATTCAGGAAGGACTATGCATCGCGTTTCCTAATATTTATCAATATCATATCACACCATTCTCATTGGCCGATCCGTCAAAGGAGGGCCACCAACGCATCATCGGGCTGTACTTGGTTGATCCAAGTATTGTGCCGCTGGCATCCACGCAGAGAGTCCCACCCCAACAGAAGACTTGGACAAGGTTAGGTCTCGAGAAGGGGACTCGTGGAATCTTTCCAGTGGAACTCGTTGATAAAGTGCTTGATGAAGTGGACGGACTCATCGATATGGACGAAGCGGTGAAATATAGGGAAAGGATGGTGAAGGAACGCACCAGGTTATCAGTGTTGAATGATGTACAGCGCTTCAATATCCCATGCAACAGCTGATTATCAGGTAAGCTACAACGACAAGTATCCTAATAAGTTCGCTCTTGATCTTCTATATATCCGTGATTAGAAGTGTGTAGATAGACTCTTGTACCACTAAATTATTGTTGGGTATATCCTTGAGGGTTCATCGACTGCCAGTTCCATAAATCTCGGCACATAACCTCGAGAGGCTGGGGTGCCTTGAAGCCCAGCTCCCTTTCGGCCAGCGCAGGATCCGCAGTAAGATCAGGAACATCGCCGCGGCTGTTCAGAATTTGTAAATAAGGGATGATTACTATAAACCAGAAATAAACTTGCCGTCTCCCAATGACCTCATATTTGAAATCGAAGCCTGTAGCCTTGCGCATCGCCTCGACAATCTGGAGGACACTCATACCCTTTCCTTTCCCTAAATTGTAAGCCTTGTAGCGCGCATCATCAGGGCAGTTATCAAAGATAGCAGATTCAGGCGCAAGTGCGTCAAGAGCGAGCAAGTGTCCGGAGGCCAAATCAAGCACGTGGAGGTAGTCTCGGACGCAGGTGCCATCCCTACAATCCCACATGAATACTGAACATCGACGACGCTATTAAATAAACTCACGGAGTGGGGTAATCATTTCCGAACACTTGCAGAGTGGCAGCGTCTACACGCCCAATGGCCATATGTGCTAGCAAAGGTAACAAGTTCCCTGGGCGACCGCGGGGGTCCTCGCCTATCAATCCCGAGGGATGCGCACCTGCAGGACTGTATGCAAGTCAGTATCAGTATATACCAATAGACAAGAATAATGTATCACTTGAAGTAGCGAAGTGAGATGGCACGCCATCTATTCGGTTCAGCTGTTGAAGGGTGTTAGTGGGATCTCAGGTACAGCAAGGGACGCTTACCGTGGCACAAATCATCGATAACCATCTCAGACATGACTTTTGTCTTGCCGTAAGGGCTGTCTGCTTTAAGACGCGTCGTTTCGGGAATTGGGATCACAGGGGGTGTTCCATAGACAGTAGCAGAAGATGAATAGACAATGCGAGTGCAGTCGAAGTCTGACATGGTCTGCAGCAACGATACCGTAGCAGCAACGTTGTTCGCATAGTACGTCAAGGGAATCTCAACAGACTCGCCGACCGCTTTGTACGCCTGAAAATTGTTATTCGGAACAATCCAACTTGCGTGAAAAAAATCAGTACTGACACCAATGTGAACCACACCCCATATTCCACCCTTGCTATAGCGTTCAAAGATGCCCTTTATTTGCTCCGGGCTAGTCAAGTCGCATTGGAATACATCAATTTCTGTGCTCTCCTTGTCTGCCTCCGACGGGTTTTCGGGAAGTGTGTCTTGCGCAATTTGGGCTACACGAGTGAGCGACCCAGGGAATGAGTTGTGGTAGTTGTCGGCAGAGATAACTTTGTATCTTCTTGTCTGCTGTAGAGCGTAGATGACATGCGAGCCTGGATAATCGATAAAACTTCGCTCAAAAACACAAGCTGAACAAGTCGTGCCCCGAGATAATTACCAATGTAGCCAGCTCCACCAGTCACCAGGACACGCTGTAACAACAAAATATGAGCCTACTCGAAATATGAGATATGCGGTGAAAGTACGCACTCGCAAACCGGTGGATGTGGACATCGTCGAAGGTTGAAGAAAGCAGAATTTACGGAATGTTGGCAACCGACTTGCAATGTGAATTCATCCCGAAGTTTGGCTCTGAGACGCATGATCACGGCGGCGCCTCGGCAATGTTAGACTTTTTTTTAAGTGCATCATGGACTAAATACGACAGGGAAATATAATAGGTACTGAGAAAGTTCTTGACAGCGAAATAGTACAATTAAGCCTTGCATGCATCCTCCCAATTCGTACTACGAAGCGAATTCCGAAATTTCGAATTGTCTTCTAGCCCATCACCGATCTTCCATCTTTACATCTCCTTCAGCATCCAATGGAATCCCTGCAGTCCCCATGGCATCACTTGCCTTGCCGGTTTTGCGGTCCTCGTGCCCATGTGTGGTCGACAGAGAAGATACCATCTCTTCGGCCTTCTGCGTCTTCTGATTCTTTTCTCGTTCCTTCTCTATCTCTATCTCATTGGCAAGTAAAACAACATCTCCCGTACCGATCTTGCCAAAATGCTGCAGATATTGATCTCGTGCTGTACGCAATGCAAGCCATGACCAGCGTTGTCTGTTCTGTTCAAGCTTATCAGTGAGATCATGGAATCGGAATAACTGGATTTTGTACCTCTTCATATCGAGCTATCTGGTCATCAGTAAGAGAAGAGGCTGGTGGTAGAACAGCGACGGAGGGAGTTTCTGAGGCTGAGGCCGCAGTTGGGGGAGTTGGTGTGGGTGCTGCTATCGTTGAGGACGGCGGTGCGAGAGTGATTGGGGGACGAGCAGGACTTGATGCGCCCACTTCTAGGAATGACTTTACTGGGGATGAGCCAGGTTTTGGGGGTAGGGATGGATGCAAGGGGGAGCTGGAGATACTGGGTGTCGATAGCAAAGCAGAGAACGAAGCTGCTGGCGGTTCCACTTTGGATGGTTCTGCTGGTGTCGATGCGGGAGCTGGTGTCTCTTGCCGTGCAGTGGACTCTTGCAAAGCAGCTGCCTTGGCTCGCGCTTGAGCCAAGCGTTCGGCATTCTTCACAAGTTGCTTTCTGCGCATGTCAATGCGAGCGTCTTCTTGCTTGACTTTCTTCACGAAATCCTTAACATCACCCGGCCTGCCCGGTCAGTCAGTATGAGGTCATTGAATAGATGTGAAATCCTTAACTGGAAGGGATTCTGCAGGTCAGACAGATCCCTGTACCCCATCTCCCATATCTCAGTCAGTGACTCAGATCCTAGGTTCCACTTCCACGACTCAGGAGCCTTCTTTCTATTCGACCGAGCTTCTCTCGTGGCCTCCTCCATCCCTACCTTTCTGCCACCCACTTCACCCGACCATGGTTCCCTATCAAAAGGTGCGCAAAGGTCATTCTTCCACTTCACCCAGTTCTTTTCCCGGTCAAGAATAACATTCACAGTATCGGCAAATGTAGGACCGTTTGGAGCGGTGGACCGCAGCTCCGCAGACACCTTTGTGATGGTGTCATGGACCCACTGCGCATCTGCAGATTCAAGCGTGAAGTCCATTTGGAGAGATCTATTCCTGGGCGTGGACCACACAGCCTTTGCGACTTTAGTGAATGATAACAGATGATGAAGGAGGATAAGGAGTTGGAACAGAACTTGTCGACGAAAATGGGTATCCGCAATCTACGAAACTTCAGTGATCTGCATGTTTAAGAAAGCGGATAAATACCTCTAGATTAAGAAGGTCTGGACTTGTCAAGAACTTTGCGAAGAAGTATTCGCTATTATTGCTCGTTTCACCCAACTCTGGTTCTCGTTTGCGTTTTAGGTTGTTGCTTGTACCACTGGTGCCTCTATTGCCCATCATGGCGCGCTCCTTCGTGGTCGCCTCCTTGATGACAGGTAGAACCTTGTCCACAGCATCCTTGAATTCTCCGAATGTATTGGGAAAGGCAAACAATGGGGGTCGGGAGAAAGGCAGTTGCAAAGACCAGAACGTAGTGTAGAAACCTGAGAATGAGATGAGGCACAGAACATCACGACAGGGTTCTAACCTACCGTCCTTATCTTTGGAATCTGCAGATTCCTTCTTTCCGGCGTCTACCTCCATTTTTTGGCTGTCTTCAGGACCCCTGACTGCCTCCACACATTCGTCCTTTTTCTCAACGTCCTTGACACCTTCCCACATAGGCCCATACTCTCCTCGCAAATTGACACCACTTCTTTCACCCAGAGGGAAAACGCCACTCAGAAAGGTCAATATACGACCACAAAATATCGTCGTAGAGCCCATCTTTGAGAGGCGGCGCAGAAGATCATTGAGAGTGCGCAGTAGTATGAGCGCCTTGCCCTTCTGCGGGACCATGTCCTTGGTGAGTCGAGAAGCACTTGACTCGATCCAAGAGAATATTTGTGAGCAAGACGTGATAGTCTGTGTTTCGAGAAGATCCTGAAGGACAGTAAAAGGGAAGGTTGCCTCGCAAACATCTGTTATGAAGTGAGCACTTCGTATACAAACTGTGATCAGAGACCACAAACCGTGTTCAGTGAATGTCAACACTAAGTCGAGTCTGTCGCGGAGACCATCATAGTACAAGGTGCTGTCGCACTTCAATGCACTACCCTCAGTTTCCTACAAAAGTATTGATCGGGAAAGATGAAAACCAAGAAAACGAGCACGTACTGCTAAGGTGAACACCTCATTCTTAAGGAGGAACTCCCATTGACTTTTGACGTTGTCTGCGGAAGACTTGCCTTGGAACTTCTCGACCTCTTTTCCTACTAGTTCATGCAACGATTTCTGATCGAATGGGCGTTGTGGGAAAGATTTGAGTAATAACTGAACACTCTGCGTCTGTGAGTTCATTGAGGTCGTTGGAACGAAGGTTCTTGCCGAGATGCCGTTTGTCAGGACTAAGTTTAGCCTTTGACTATTTCTGTCACGTCGCTTCAAAGGTCGTTCTGCATCATCATGTCCAACAACAACACTGCCGACACTGGATCTAATGGTCCTGCGATTAATAAACTAGACAGCAGTCTTGAAGCAGACATCGCTCATTTGAATACTCTTTTGTCAAACGGCTCATTGGACGGTAGTCACGGAACAGAAGACCTGATGGAAATGCTGGCACGTCTGGATAGTGCTGATGGTGTGGCCGAGGGTATTGAAGGGAGATTGGACGGGGTATTGGGAACCCTAGATAATCTTTTGACATCCCTCGAGACCCGTGATGAGGCGAGCATCGCGGAGAAAGCAGTATCAATAGAGGCAGAACAAGTCATCGTCTCATCAACAGAGAGCAAGACTACCGACGGGCCTACTCCCTCGCATTAGCAAGGCAGTCTCTGCAGTAAGTAGCACTACAGTTTATTGATCATATGCTGTGCCTGATACTGTTCTGTACTGCTTGTCGCAGTCGTTCACAACGTGCCCCGACATCACAAGCGACCTCACAGCAAGTCCTTCAAACATGCCTAGCATCAGTCATGACACATGACGAAGTCGTCACCAGTCGTGTCTCTGAATCATTCTGCAAATGGGCCTACTTAATCTCGAGAAAGATGTTGTTTGACCCATGCGGAGAGATTGGAGAAGCACGGGGTCCCAGCCCTCCTCAGAGTACTATACTCATGTCATTGTCAGGTCCTGTCTTCAACTGTTATAACTGCTGTAGGGTGTCCCTGACCTGAGTACCGTCGAACTCTTCAAAAATGCACACTGTCTGTAGGAGATCCGGGCTGTAGGTTATAGACGAGCCCACAAATGACTTGATATTGAAAAATTGAAATGTCTTTCATGTAAGTGAGCATACACTATCGCGGTATGTGTTCAAATCCTCCGGGGAATAGAGGGGGACAACTAGTGCATGAGAGGAATCATGGGATATCAACATTACGGATCATGTATCAATATCCTCTATAGCCATCGGATCAAAGCGATTTACAGTACGAACAATGTCCCGGTCCTTCTTTGCGAAAACAAGCTAGAAAGCAGTTAGTCAAATCACATCAGGAATGGCATAAGATCCACACTTACCAAGTACGGATTCGCAGTAGACCCTGTGGTGTCAGCCAAGACCTCGTTTTTCGACACCTCCGTAACCTGATGGTCATTGTACTTGAACCAATTATCAGGTTGTTCCGGTACATGTCGAGAATAGAAGAAGTAGTGTCCAAATGAGGGTGATGAGCCACGATGTATGAAGACGGAGGTCAGCTCATATGCGACCGAGGTATCATCTTTCCAAATATTCTCCAGCTCTTCCTTCAGCTTCGATACCGCATCCTTGAGTTCGACAATCTCAGTCTCGATCATATCCTGTTCGCCGTTGATGTTTGCAATGAGCTCTTCATCGACATCCGGGAGGATAAGCGTTTCTTGCTTTGACAAGAAATCAAGCGTGTTTTTGAGCGATGCAGGGAAAGGTGCGTGCTAAGGTAATCTATGCAGTCAATTCACAAGAAATACACACAGGGGTCTTACCTTATCTTGTGTCAGCAAGCGCAGACGTTCACGTCGGATGTTCAATTCCGCCTGTACCTCCTTTGACCTAGCCCTCTTGCCTGGATCTGCGGTATCAAGGAACCGGTCCATATATATCGTCTCGCCAAACTTGACATAAGCTTGCGATTTGTATGGTTGGAGGGTCTCTCTGTTGAATTGCACCCGCTATTCACTTGTTTAATATATATCGCTGAGTTATCTGGGCAGGCACTTACCTGAAGTTGAATTTGCAATAATGGTGGTAGATCGACCAGTGTCACCTCCATCCTAGCTTTCTCGCCTTCGTAGTCAACGACATCGTCAAAGTATCCACTTAAGCCATCGTAGATATCAAAGCCGCTATCGGCCACATTCACGGGAAGATGCGAGAAGAGGTCTTCTTTCTCGTGTGCCGAAGTTCTGGGATGCCGCTGGGCGGGGACTTGTGTAAGTCTTTGCCGCAGTTTCCCATAGAATAGCCTGGCGAATCACAGGTTCATGTATGTACCTGATGGAATTCAAAGTACTCGCCTCTTCACAACACTATTCTGATTGTCCGAGTCACCCAGCCCATCGAATTTCAGAAGCGCGATCTCAATCTGGAACATGCAATTGTCCATGCATTCAGAGACATCATGTTGCTTTCCTACAACCAAGTATTTAGATATGACATCATTCGGAGTATAGTGTGCCTCACCAAACATCATAACGGAGTCTGATTGAGTAGGCTTGCGTGTAGGTAAGGGAGGAGCGGTCTTCTGCTCCTCAACCTGCGGGTTCTCATGGTTCACAATCTCCACATCTGGAAGCGGGGATGGCAGCGGCATCGTGCTTGACGAGCTTTCCCCATGCAAGCGAGGAGACTTGGACCCACGAGATGGTTGGGATATCATGACGTACCCATTCTTCTCTTCCGTGATAGGAGACGTGGGTGTGTCAACATCCATATCCATGCGTTGCTCGTCGCGTGGCCGCTTACCGAGAACCGAGCCATTTGAGTCAGGTGACCGCACGGGCCCGTCCTCAACAAGCGTTGCATCTGTGTCGTTCGAGGAATCGGTACCGCCTCTGTCAGCTTCCTCTTCCTCTTCATCTCTTGATGTTACGAGTGCTAACTTTGCAAGATCAATAGTCGGTGTGACAGCCTGGTTCTCACAGAATTGGAGCTGCCAAAATAAATCGGCCAACTGACTGACGACTACATTGATGATAGTTTTAGCTTGGGGTAAAAGGAGTGGGTGGCAGACATACATTTCTTCGATCGCAGTATCTCGCGCCGCGTAATTAGCCGTCCACCAACCCGATGCCGTTTCAGGTCGTCCTCCGAGTACTTTTCGTCTTCAAGGGCCTTCACATCAATGTTGGCCATGGAAGCGACAGCCTCACGAAGCTCCCTAATTGTGTAGAAGTATTGGAGCAGCGAGTTCAAATAACAGGTGTTTCCAAGTTGATTCAGGCCTCTTGGAAGATCGGCACGCGTTGAAGCCACAATATCTCCAGCTGAAGCGCCTCGGTTAAATAGTGTATCAAAACCTGGGCAGGTACTTACGATCTTTGCCTTCTTCTAGGAAATGACGCAGCCGGCTGCTGTCCCTCACTTCTGCAATTGTTCTCAACGCTTCGCGCCACTTGTCAGATTGATGGGGCTGCTCCTCGACCTATTGATGTTCATCAGAACCGCAAATGAGGCCACGGAGCCTCGCATACCCGCATCATGAACACCGTCAACACAAGTTCATCATCCACATCCGCGGAAACCTCTAGTACCGAGTATGCACGTGAAGGGTCCATCTGGTTCTTTGACGACTCAGAAAACAGCTTCATAAGGCTCTTACTACCCCTCGATTGTGCAATCATCCTGAAGGCCTCGTTCGCATCACGTTGGAGCTGTGTGCAGTCCTTTGCGTCACGCCAGGCATTTTTGATGGCCGTCCGCCATGCTTCCGCAAGAAAGCTGTCTTCAATGTCATCTTCAAGCTCCAAGCGTAGCGCGCCGTCCTTGCCAAATCCAAGAACTGCAGCAGCATTTTGCAGGTCCTCCTCCGTGAATCGCCCACGAGAGCGCTCTTCGAAAACTAGGGCCTGCAATTCCTGAGACGGAACGCCACCGAGGGATTGGATTGCGGCGACGATTGCGAAGAAGTGGGTGAAGTAGAGTACGGTATTGGCAGGGTCACAACGGCATTGAGCCATGTAGGCGAAGATGAGAATATCTAAGCACCGTTAATACTGAGCAGATCTAAACGAGCGGACTGTTCAACTGCTTACCTGGAGAACATGTTGTAGGGGTTATTCCTAACGTCTTCCACGTCTGCAGCAGAGGTACATACTCTGCCAATGAACCTAACGGATACGACAAGGACGATCTCGGGACTGTACAAATAGCTCAGGTCTGCCTTTCCCCACAGCAAAACTTAACCTTACTCTGATCAGGGTGTGCGCCGATCGCCTGTTGGTACATCTCTCGGGCACCGTCGATTTTGACGTACAAAGGGTGTGGCGTATACGACTTAAGCGCAGATGCTGCGCTTCATGAGTGAGTGATACAGGAAACCAACAGTATCTCTTACCGAAGCGACGTTGGTAGTCTACTAGATACGCATTCGTCTCGACCCAGAAACGCAACAGCTTCATACGTGCCTCCTGACCTTCTGGACTGCTGAGTTCAGTATTTGGGGGTGACAGAAATTCGTCTGTCCTCTCCTCAGGTGTGCCCGGAGCTTCGATGCGTGTGATGATGTCGAACCCAAGTTGCTTGAAGATATAGCTCCTGCAAATGAATTCATAAGCTGCGTTGAACAACAAAATGAAAGCTCCTGACGTAGTTGGGGACCACCCGATCTTGTTCTGGAACGCCTTCCCAGAAATGGAGAGCTGACCGTTCTTGCCTTTCCATAATTTGTTTTCGATAATTCTGCAAAGAGATGAGATACCATCACGCACGGAGCGAATTGATGGGCGTACGCGATCAGTGTCTCCCACCCACTGACAACAGACTCATCAGGCTGCCTCCCGATGGGAGGGTGTTCAAATCTATACTTCGTAAAATCCTCCACGTATTTAAGGGCAATGACGCCGGGCATAGCTTCTGATGCAATGCAATAGACGGAGCACTGACAGCAGACATAAAGATCAAGCAGTTCGCCCTCTACATGTCCCTCGGGCAGGTCTTCGTTCATCTTGACATCTGATTCCTTGAATGCATAGTCATCGATATTAGCAGAAGTGATTTTCCGACGCCTTTGCTTCCTCTGCGCAGCGACTTCCCAAGGGGCACGGTGGAATGCTGGATTGAGCTGGCCTGAATCAACGGCCTTTGGATAGCAGTGGAAGTGATGTGTTTTCTTGGACTTGTCAGAAGAGTCGTCAGTGCAAGAGACGGTGCGTTTACGGCGGTCTTGGTCAGGGAGGGGTGGGTGCTTTTTGAAGTCGAATGATTTTGCAAAGGGAGGGACAATGTTGGATGTTTTCCACTGGAGGAACACCCAACCATGGTGTCGTCTGCAGTAGTATGTATTGGCATGGGGAACAGCGCGAAGGATTTCATCGTGGCTTGGAGGGATGAAAGGGGATACATCCCCAGCCGGCCTCACGTCAGGTGCGGTAACGCTTACCGAGAACAATGAATGTTCAGCGTTATGCAACAATTCAGTAACGAAAGGCGGCAGCATTCCCGGCCCTGGACGGTTTCTCGTTCCCCGCAGTTCTGCATCCCACCAGTTCGTCTCCTCCTCCTGGTCCCGCGCATCAATATCCATGACCTTTTGGGATGTTCCGCCGGCCCAAGAATTGTCCCACGGCATCGGTTCATTCCAAGCATCATTTTTGTTCCAATCATCACCCCACTTGTGCTCGACAGACGGCCAGTTGTGATGGTCGTCGGCTGGGATGAGCGCAGGGACTTGATCGGTGCCGATTGTATCCTCTGAAACGAGCTGGGGCTCGCGAAATACAGTGTCATAGGTTGGCGGGGGTTCGATGTTGACCTTTGTGTGAGCGGATCCTGCAGAGCCCTTCGGGCGCAGCGGCAATGGTGGAGGCGTGAGCCCTGCGTTCGATTTTGAGGCTGACGCGTAAAAGGTTTCTGGAGGAACTGTCCCCGGGGGAGTCGGTTGGTGACGCACGGGTTTGTTATTGCTGCTGCTGCTACCGCTGTTATTATCCATACTGCTGTGCGCCGAATATGATGGTGAAGATGTCGAGATTCAACTTGTCAAGGAGAAGCCCTGCAGCACGGATAACACGATGAGATAAGCTTTGTCGTTGTGCGGGCTAACCAAGACTCGCACTGGTTGCTCAGATATGAATCATGCAGATTCTGACGCCCAATTGTGATCTCAGTGACGAGAGATGAAATCGAGTAGACGAAGTACGCGTATGCTTATGTAATACAAGCCCTGACGGAGATACAAGATAAAAGGAAGCAGCGACTGCCATTAATATTACTTGCTGTAGATGGGGAAGCATACATGTAAAACCTTCATACGTACTCATTCCCTCAGTTTCATGCTGATACTTGCCAGCGTACATGCGACCCGCACTTGACGGTGATGGTTTTAAAATATCACGTATTTGGTTGGGAAAGGTGGAATAGTGTGATTGAAATAAGGTTTCGATACCTCAGCTCACATTCGATTGCAAGAACGGGTTTCGAAACTTGATCGTCGTAGGACTTCTATATAGATCTACTTGATATCTGCTGCTCATAATTTATACACCTGACAAAGAAATACTTCAAGGAAATGATAGCTTGTTGGATAGCACGGTCACTTACCTGGTCTTTGGTGTAACCAAGTTCCTTGAGAACACCATTTAGTTCTCCCTGCTCCCTGCCTTTCTTTGCGCCTGCAATCGAGGCAACCTGTCCAGGCGGACCTATGGGGCATTTAGTCATTGACGCATTCCAAATGTGTTGTGCATACCGCAGATGAAGACCTTCACTTTCTCGCCCAGTGATGACGGAGCAATGTGCTGCTTAATGAGGTCAGCGCTAATATATCCAGTGGGACCCTTCCAGTTGGTATCGCCCTTGTCGAGGACATATACGACATCGAAAGTTTCGGGGTACTTTTTCTTCATGGCGTCGAACTCCTCGCGAAGTATGATATCTTGCTCAGTAACATTAGCGAACAAAAGCTTGAACTTCGTCTTGTTCGTCTTGTCCGCAAGAGCATGTTGTAGGATCTGGTAGAGTGGAGCACTGTGATTGCGCAGTAAAGGCAGTGATGTAAGTATAAAAGACCGAATCCTTACATTCCACTTCCACCACCAATGAGGCCGACTTCTTCCAGCTCATTCACTGAAAGAGGATTAGAATCCAAGCGTCTTAGAGTATCAAAAAAAATCCATAATCACTCTTCCAAGGCCATTTTGGCAGAGGACCTTTAATTCTGAGAGTGTCCCCAGCCTTGAGAGAGTGAATGTGTTTGGAGACCTTGCCTGTCTCATATTTTTTGATGATAAAAGTGAGCTCTCCCTCCAAATCAGACGCTGAAATGGGGGTATACGGACGACACATAGGTTGACCCTTGTCATCCTTGAAATCAGGAGTTTCGATGTAAACACAGGAAGCAATCGGAAGAAGCGAAGCCTCGCCCTTTTCGAGCTCAAGCACAAACCTGAGGGACATATATGAGCGTGGGGTTGTACGTAAAAGGTAGCCTGAGGTCTCACTTAGAGGTGTTGTGATTGCAAGGCTCCACCTTTTTCAGTTTGAGGTCAATGAATTTTGACGGGTCAAGAGGACTCTTCAGGTCCTTCTTGGCAGTTACTGCCTCCCCTTTGCCAAAGCCCATGTACACATACGTGCCGAGACCTACAAGACCAGCGCCACCGAGGTAAAGTCCGAGGCTGGATGATTTTTTAGCACCAGCTTCGGTCGAATAACGTCTACAGCTGCTCGTTGCCTAATACACGCACATGAGACTAAGACTAACACATTTTCATAATTGCTTACCACAGAACGGGCGAGCGTCGCTGCTCGGATGAAGGACATGATAGTTTAATGGATGAAATGATCGTCACGGGTTGTCTCGGGCAAATTCGGTCTGAGCCTGAGAATCGAATGGTTGTCAGACAAGCTCATGCCAGACGGGCGCGCGACGGGGTTTCGTAAAACCACTAGTGTTCAAGCTGTGCGATTTATTTCTGGCAACTGACCGATTCCTGCCGTTTTGCACCTCGTGTATTGCTTCGAATTCAGGCGCGGATCGATCTCAACTTTTCTGATCGCTACTTGTATTCCTGGAAGCCCCCGGTCACTGGTACTTGCAGCAGTCACTATCCACATTATTTGCATTATTAAATCCATTGACTTTTGACTCCAAATATTTCTAAGATCTGAAGGATCCGAGGAGGTCATTCTCCGCAGTGTGGAATCGAGACTCTGGAGAGCTCTAGAAGCCTAGGGCATCACGGGACCCCTGGCAGTAGCAGTTTCATATCCAATCATATCCTAGATTGAGATTCGGTGGTCAGCATTGTCATCACTATCTAACATCTCTCTCTCCCTCCTCGTTCATCGGGTTAATAAACACACTTGTATAAACCTTTCTACTGACCGCCGAATCCCTTTTCATCTTTTCATCTACCTCGGGTTAACCCTACGCCAGCCAGTCTGTGCCATGTCTTTTGTCAAGCTAAGCATATTTGGCACCTCTTTCGAGGTGTGTTGCCTGTGTATGTCTTTGAAAATAATTGATTCACGATTTGCTGATTTCATAGGTCACTACTCGCTATGTCGATCTGCAGCCTGTTGGAATGGGTGAGTATCAACCATCCTCTCGATCTGCTCGATGTCCAAACTCTAGACTAACAGAGATGTGTAGGGGCATTTGGCCTTGTCTGGTATGTTGCAAGTTTGAGATAGACACATGCACTCATAGGCGGTCTAGCTCTTCTAAGGATCAACTCACTGGGTCTTCTGTCGCCATCAAGAAGATTATGAAGCCCTTCAGTACCCCAGTTTTGAGCAAGCGAACATATCGTGAGCTCAAGCTCCTCAAGCACATACAACATGAGAATGTACGTCTCAGACGCGCCACGCAGAATTCCCTGCTCACACATGTACTATCTACACGTGTAGATCATCAGTCTTAGTGATGTGTTCATCTCGCCACTTGAAGATTTGTATGTCCCTACTCCAAACCCTAAACCCTTAAAGTGATTGATTATCACAGGTATTTCGTTACCGAACTCCTTGGAACCGACCTTCATCGACTACTGACGTCGCGACCTCTGGAGAAACAGTTTGTCCAATACTTCCTATATCAGATTCTGGTACGTGATGATGTTGCAACTCTTCGTCCATCGGTCTGATCTGATCTAGCGTGGACTAAAATATGTTCACTCCGCGGGCGTGGTGCACCGAGACCTCGTGCGTCTTTTGTTCTGTCTATATCTGTGATCAGTTTTGAGATAGGCACACAGAAACCCAGTAATATTCTTGTCAACGAGAACTGTGACTTGAAGGTTCGTCAGGTTCATCACATCATCATGGGATATCTTATGATGTCATCGCTTCTACAGATATGCGATTTCGGATTAGCCCGTATCCAGGACCCCCAAATGACCGGCTATGTCTCGACGCGATATTACCGTGCCCCTGAAATTATGTTAACCTGGCAAAAGTACGATGTTGCGGTCGACATTTGGAGTACAGGTTGCATATTTGCTGAGATGCTCGAAGGAAAACCTTTGTTCCCCGGGAAAGACCGTGAGCGTTTACGCGCCTTCATTCTCACCTTCTGACGTCATGCCTTCGTTTCAAGATGTCAATCAGTTTTCCATCATTACCGAACTATTAGGCACTCCTCCAGATGATGTCATCGAAACTATCGCAAGCGAAAACGTGGGTGATACTTCTAAGCTATGGGCTAGGTATTCCCATTCTCACATTGATCGATCGCTGTAGACTCTCCGCTTTGTGCAAAGTCTGCCCAAACGCGAGCGCGTGCCTTTCAGCCAAAAACTCCGAACTACCGATGCGGATGGTATGGCACCATTATGGCTCCTGGTGACGTACTTGTACTAATGCTCCGCCACAGCTTTGGATCTTCTAGAAAAGATGCTAGTGTTTGACCCTCGGAAACGCATAGATGCTGCGGAGTCACTTGCTCATGAATATGTGGCACCGTATCATGATCCAACCGATGAGCCCGTGGCTTCTGAGAAATTCGACTGGAGCTTCAATGATGCCGACCTCCCCGTTGACACGTGGAAGGTCATGATGTACAGCGAGATTCTGGGTTAGGGTTTCTGCCACATTCATTTTTCACAGCGCTTACGGTATATTTGGTGCGTTTCTAGATTTCCATCAGGTTGGGGACACGTCTACATCAGCGAGCGGTATACCCGAAGGTGCACTAGCAGGACCAGACGCACCAGCAGGAACTACACCAGCAAAGTGAATCTTCCCATAGTCCCATCTTGTTTTCAGCTGGATGTCTGTTTTGACGTGGTCCTTATACGCAATATCTTTTTTTTTACTGCTGCATTGAAGGAGTACAGGTTTTTGGAGTGCCTTCGCTTTTGCGGACACGAATCGTTCACTACTACTATCTCTTTCAGAACCAATCACTTGTAATGTCTTCAATTTTACATAATGAGCAAGCAGGATTGTATGTACCAATCAATATCTTTTCGAATACACGCACAGATAGAACTACTCACAAGTACCTGGATTCGCGTAGTATTGTTGTAGGTCCTTGAACATGAACCGCAGTCATTCGTGTGGTTGTTGAATATATACTACTAGAACAACCTTGGTTTAGAGCAGACCCACTTTCGCAAGTTTGCAAGGTAAACTGAAATAGGACTTCCTGATAAGACCGCTACTTCTTGGCTACATCCAATGATATCAGTGCGTTAACAGTGTATGTCACGTAGACGGTAGGAAGAGTTCCCTTTTTTAGGTTTCAAGTTGTTACAATTTACAAACTCGGCCCGCTTCTTTCAGCAACACCAGACTGAATATCGGACTCAAGAAGGCGTGACAAGGATGCCACCTCGTCGTAGACCGACCGCGTTCGAGATAACATATCCTGGTGAAGTGCAAGATGAATCCGGCAGTGGTACAGATGGGGGGAATAATCGCCGGCGTCAACGCGATGACGCGGATGACTATCATGACTCAGTGCGTGTCATGATTCATTGAGATCGCGAAAGCGTATGCTTGATAGTAACTGTTCTCTCCATCTCACAGCGCTTAAAACGTCAGAAGACGAACGAACGTCCCCGAGCACGTGTGTTGGCATCCATTTCCGCTGAAATCTGATTGACTTACAATACACCATCCCAGCGAGATATTATCAGCCGGAGAAAAATGAACTATTGGAGACTGAGGACCTTCTTATTATTGGCGAAGATCCAGGTGCACTAGAAAATGGGCAGAAACCGACCCGGATCCTACATAACTTTGCGTTTTTCGACCCTACTCGTGACCTGGTCATGGTTTCCCTTTCTTATCTCGATAAGCACCGCGAGAACGATGATCATATGTTTGAGGGTGCAGGTGAGGTTACTTCAGTCCCAGAGAACGATGAGGATGAGGGCCAGGAAGACGATCTTGAAGACGACGATCCCCAGTTTATTCGCATCACAAATATCCTCGGCTATTCTATCGACTATACCGAAGATGAAGAGTAGGTGCTCTTCTTTTTTGGATTTACTTAATAATATACGCCTATTGTGTACAGTCCAATGTACATCGAATCCGGCCACGCTCGGTATCGTCTGGGTGCTCCATCAAAGGATTACCGACGGGAGTTCAGAGCATTCTTCCTACCGCACCGTGTCGTTCAAGCGATTGTGTCGTCCGCCATACGGGAACCGGATATGCAATATCATGACTTTCTGGCCAGTTTTTCAACCATAGAAATTGGCAGTATTCGACTTGGCGAGCAATATCTTTGGGACAGTGTGAGAATTTTTTCGGTTGTTACCAGATTTCACTGCAACGTATCGTAGGTTGCTGAACTGAGATATGCGCTCGAGGGTCTAGAAAATTCTCAACAACTGCGTGCCACGAATATAATCCAACACCTTTTAACAGAGCCTGCGCCTCCGATATTGAGATCCGTTGAACCACGTCCTCGGCTACGAGTTCCGCCAGTAGCAGTGATCACTACCAGGGGAAACAAAGATATCGCCGTCCTTCGTCCAGAAAATCAGAACGCGACGCATGTAACGCCGCGAATTGCAAAGTTAGCGACCGGGTGGTTTAGAGAACAGCTAGTGGTTGTCGGTCCACAACCTCGTGTTGAACCTGGGATCCCGTATGATGACCTTCGGAAGAGGGTCAAGGAATTTGTGCAGCGAGTATCTATGCGGAGGGAAATTCGATTCCGTCACGCGGAACAACGCATTCGTCCAGGTTCACGCTGGCTCAAGTACATCACAATAGATGGCAATGATTATGCAGTATGGTATTGTTAATTCCTATCGTGTCTAGCTTCACATTGCTTGTAGGTTGGAGATACCATTGTTGTTGCCATTGGGAACGATGACCAGAAGAGGCCTCCCGAATTGCCGGACCCAGAAGATATACCAAAATATGCAACCCTGGCAGACTACTTTTGGTATGCTCCTAGCGTTGATCCATTTCACTCACCGACTCCCTTTTCTTCAGGTTCGGAAAAATCATGTACATCAGTGATGAGTTTGAAAATGCTCATGTCGAATGGTTCGAGCACAGCACGAAAACGGCTATGGAGCAGCTTGGACACCCCCAAGAATTGTTTCTGACCAATACATGCAGCACTGTTGAATTCGACCTTATCGTCGGAAAAGTTCCGGTCCAGTTTGTCAATCCTTCAAAAGATATGCCTGTCGTCGGGCCTTATAACTTTTTCTACAAGTCATGCACCTTCCACAACTTTTGAGAACCTCGCTGATATTTCTGCCTGAAGGTTCATATATAACAGCCTTGATGGTTCATACACTGAAATACCACAAGAACGACTGCAACGCAAACAGGAAGAGCTCCCGTCCGACCACTGCCCTGTGTGCTTAATGGTTGACGAGGGAGAGGAAGCACTCGCTCCCCACAAGATTCACCGCGGCTTTGCATGGAAAGACACTAAATATCATCTTCGTGACATTGTTATGATCAAGGCTCAGGAGGGACTGTGTCATATCGGTCAAATCACCCGTATTCATATTCAGCAGTCAGATGACGATGGTTGGGTTCGATTAAGAATGTTTGGAAGGATTAACAAGTTGGGCCTTCGACCTGAGAGTGAGCTCAAGGATGAGGTGAGTGTACACAATTCATGTATGAACTTCACTTTATTCCAGGTCCCCAGCGCCATCTCTTTGTCACACGAGACAAAATGAACTTTCCGATTTCCAGCATTATTGGAATGTGTCATGTCTACGTGCGGGCAGCTGTGCCAGAGCTCAAAGAATGGCTCGAAATATCGCCTTATCACTTCTATGCTTGCTACTCCTTCCCAAGCCTCGATGTGACCTCCTGGGATCACAAACACAAACTTCTGCCTAAAGATCTTCTAGTCTGTGGATACTGCACTGCAGAGAACCTGGATGAATGGAGGAAAATCAAGGAATTTTTGAAGAAGCAAAAACCCCTTCGTGCTTTAGACCCGTTCGCCGGAGCCGGAGCTTTCGGGTTGGGGTTGGAGGAATCCGGCTGCATCGAAGTTACCCATGCGGTTGAAATTTCCCCGAGTGCCACAAAGACCTTGAAGTGCGCATTTTGCCACTCGTTTCAGCGATACTAACAAGGAGTTAACAGAGCCAACTCTCCTAAAACGATGGTGTATAACCAATGCAGCAATCTAGTACTCGCAGCAGCGATTAGATCACACACCAATCTTAACGTTCAACGATTGGAGAAAATACAACCTGATATCACAGAGGACCCGTACATTCCCGCCCCTCCAAAACCAGAGGAGATCGATTGTATCATCGCTGGGTTCCCCTGGTCGGTGATAGCGTATATACACACTCTATTTGGTCATACTGAAGCTTTACCTTAGCCAGCCCCATTCGCGCCTGAACATGTACGTTAAGGCAAATGACCGCAAGAGCAACCTTATCCTCAACGTCCTATCATGGGTTGACTTTATGCAGCCAAAATACTGCTTCTTTGAGAACGTGCGTGGGTTCTTGTCGTTCGGTCTAAAGGTACGGCAAGCCGGGCCATATAGAGTCAAAGGGGGTATTCCCATGGGCGGATTGAAATTCTTGATCCGGGCGATGACTGACATGAAGTAAGTATCGCTCAAATATCAAATATCTGTCCAGTATCATACTTCTCAGCTACCAAGTGCGCTATGGGATCCTACAAGCTGGTCACTACGGTACTCCTCAAACCCGTGTGCGATTTTTTATGGTCGCAGCAAAGCACGGTCAACCCCTTCCTCAGCTCCCTCAACCTACGCACGCCTTCCCTACGGTGGACGCGCTGGGAATCGATTTGCCAATTGGACACCATATCAGACCTATTTTGACACAGCCTGGCTACGCGCCTCACCAATTTGTCAGTATTGACGATGCCATCAGTGACCTCCCTCGATTCGATTGGTACAGCCGTATTATCCTAAAATGTGCTACGTTCACTAATTATTGGTTACAGGGTAAACCCGAGACCACCCAGGGATCCAGCCAAACGACGGGAAGAACGGGAACGCGCTCAGACGATCCCACCTAAGAAATGCAAGAAAGATCGCCCCTGGTGCGGATACTTTGGAGCGAATGTAGAGTACGAGCATGAGCCAATGACGGCATTCCAAAAGTGGTGTCGTGAAGAACCTTCGAAAGATCTGCAACAATATACGCGGACCTACGAGGCCATCAAAGTCGAGAGGTAAGCGACGTCCTCGCATAGTAGATGTTTTTAACCTGCGTAGAGTTGTAAGTATCCCGATGAGGGCGGGTGCAGACTATAGGGGTACGTGTCTTTTTGCAGGACTTTACAATGTTGACGATAATATCAGAACTGGCGGGGCATCTCTGGGAGTGGCACTTCGCAAATCCATCTTCAGCTACTGCACGCACGGGTTTCAAACCAGGTACTCTACTCCCGATAAAGAGTTATTTGTGACGTTTGACTTATGGTGTATAGGTCTTTATGGACGAGTTAACAAGAACAGCTATTTTCAAGCTACTGTCACCAACGTTGACCCAAGTGCAAAGCAATCCCGTGTGCTCAACCCTTACGTGCGTCATTGATTCCACTACAGTGCACCTAACCAAATGAGTACGAATCGTGCAGTGCAAACGCATTGTCACGGTGCGCGAACTCGCTCGGTCACAAGGCTTTCCCGACAAGTTTGTGTTCTATGCGGAATATGATCGTGTCGTCACGGTGTGTGCTAGAACAACCCCCCACACACTGCGCACTGATCGAATAACATAGATGCATAGACAGATTGGTAATGCCGTGCCATGGCCAGTCGCGATGGCAATCGGCCGCGAGTTAAGGAAAGTGCTGGTGAAGAAGTGGTGGAAAGAGCGGGAGGACGCCATAGTGGTCGACTGAGCTTGTGTAACGCTGAAAATACAACGAAAGTATTATTAGCGAGTAAATGTAAGATGTCCAGACTCCATACCGCACAATCGCAACCTGCACAACATTTATGTTGGCGATTTGATTAGCCGTTGGTAGCGTGATGCTCGTCATTGACGAGCTCATATCCTACCCACACAACCTCGGAACAACTCTCACAACCAACGAGGTGTCTTCCTGCATCCAAGTCCTCTTCAATGATCCTGTATGTTCCACCACATCTACAAGAATGTGTCCATACACCCTCCTCTGCTTCCTCAAAATCTTCCAGTGAGATAACCTGCGCAGGACGCGGGCCAGTGGAGGTCTTTACTCGAGTATTTCGAAGAATATCATCATAGGCTACACGGGAGGAAGCATTTGACAATGTGGTATATGCTTCTTTGAGGAGTGCGATGTCGACATCTACGGGTGGTATAGTGGATGAGAATGATCGTTTGTCTGGATGGGAAGTAAGAAGAGCCTTATGGTACGCTGATTTTATTGTGCTCAGCGGGGCATCGTATGTTATCCCAAGGAGCTGGTAGAAATCGATGTTGGGAAGGATATCCAGCTTGCTTGAAGGTGATGGTTTGTTGTATTTACATAACGAGCTGATCAATTTGGTGATACGTGATGATTACCACACCTGTAAGTAGTAAGGGTATCGATCTACGTAGGCAAGTCGAGCAAATGGGTCTCAAAATAAACGCAGGGACATGGTTAATGAGAGTAGGGTAAAATGACGTGGTGGTAGACCAAGATGAAATGAAACTAAGTAGAAAAATGGGCAATGTGACTGGTAGCATGAAATGTAATTACTAAACAGTCCAGTATTATTCCGAGTCCATCGTCTGTGTACATATCGACATTAAAGCAGATTCCCGTGAAATAAACAGGCTGTAAGCAGATGAGGGAAGTCTACATGATTGTGCAGTCCTTGTTGGTGGCTGCATTCTTGGCATCGGATCCGTCCCGCATGACTCCGCCTTGTTGTCCGATAGGTGGGCCCTTGAGCCGTTGTTGGGCACGCTTATCACCCAGTTCTGCGGCTTTCTTGAAATACGACATCGCTCTGCACGTATAAATCAGTATCGAATTCGGGACTAAGACAAGATCACTCACTCTGGGAGGTCTGGCGGGGTACCAATCCCTACTTCCAAGAAGTACCCGACAGCGTACATCGCCTTTGCAAGTCCAGCATCTGCTGCTTTGCGTGCCCAGAGATATGCTTCTGTGTCGGATTGGGGTAACACACCGGGTGAGCCGACTAAGTACCAGGCTGTGAGCGCGAAACATGCATCACGATGATTCTGCTGCGCTGCGATGTTCTGCGCAGATACATTAACTTTGGCGCGCTAATCGGTGAGGGAACCCACATAGTAATGGATTGACAAGGCTGGATCCTGGGGACAACCTAACTTCCCATACTCATAACATTCCCCTAACCGGTAAGCACTGGGAGCATACCCGAGTTCCGCCGCTTGTGCGAGTAGTTCCACGGTATACTCCACATCAACAAATACAACGTTGTCTATCCCCCGTTCGTGCAACAAGGCAAGCTCATGCAAGGCGTGCGGGAACTCGGCCGTTGCGTGCTCCGCAGAGCGTTTCAGCCATTTGACACCCTCGCGTGGCCGTTTTGAAAGTCCGAGCTCGCCATTAAGTTCAGCAATACCAAGACGGTACATAGCGCCAGGGTGAAGTGCTGCCCCGGCTTTCCGGAAGAATTGGAGAGCCTTGGCAGATTCGCGCCTGCAACCCCATCCATTCTCACAGCAAGTTCCTGCACGATATGCGGCATCTGGATGTCCGTGTTTTGCTGCGAGTACGAATAGTGGGTACGCCCGATCAAAGTCTTGCCTGCTCTTGTAAGTGCCTAGACCATTGGCATAGCAGTCTGCAAGGAAATATTGTGATGCTGGATGTCCCCGGTCTGCTTGGCGTTTGAGGAGGCTTGTGGCTTCATGCACAAGATTATCGCGCTTTTCGATTGCCTTTTCAATTTCCATTACATTTCCGGGGGTGGGAGCCGGGATGGGGAAAGATTTAGATGCATCAATCATGAATACTGCGAATTCGAATTGGATGTCTGGATCCTGTGTTTTCTTTGCATTTGCACGATATAGCTCGAGGGTACGCTCATAAGAAAGTAATGAGGCTTGGTTGCCCGGGCGGAGGTGTGAGTGATCTAAAAGGGGACCCTGGGACAGTTGTGATTGAGAATGAGACCGCTGAGGTGGGAAGGTTGTGCCGTTATTCTGTTGGGCACCATAAAACTCATCCGCAGCATCAAGTGATTGACCTGAGAGTCCCAAGGGTTGATCATCGTCATCATAGTCTGGATCTACTGGCTGTTGTGGGGACTGGTAATGGTTCGGGGAGCCTTGAGCACGGGGCTGGCGATGACGGCGCGGTGGCTCTGGGATATAATCTGGTTGGTTTGCCGCATCATCCGCAGCATAGAACGAGTTTGGCCGTGACTGAGCGTGGGCGTACATTACTTAGTACGATGTGAAGAGTCGAGCTGATACTTAGATCAAGCTGTTCGATTGTCAAAAATGATGTTAAGCTGGACCAGCGAAGCCTTGAGGATTGATTTGAACCCACTATTACCTGGCGAAAAGGAGTTATGTGGTCGCTCCAAGGGCTGTACTGGTAACACCCTAGTTAATTATGGTACAAGAAGCAAGCACGGATTTGCCTACGGAGTGGCTGACTATTGGACCAATAACACCACACACGGTCGTCGCTGCAGCCGTCGATGAGGGGACTATTCACTAAATCGTTCTCGGTGTGGTCTCTGACGTCGACGGAGTCGATCGCCAGTAAGGAGAGGCCTCAAGGCAGCTGCAAGGCTTGCAGTGGATAAAGAGAAGCGGGCGATGAAGTGAACTATGTAATAATAATATTACCGGTGTGAGCCGGTTCACATGATGTCGAATGCGGTGTCAGGTCTTCACCGACTCCGACAATCAGCCGTGGTCGTCCTCAACGTCTAGGACGACCAGCACAAACGGTTTTTTTATATCATGCAGTCATTGCGCACACGCAGGCCCTCTGAGACGCGCACCGTCAAGCGCCAGGCATCCAAACTCGAGAAGAAGCCTATCAATAAGAATGTTCGCAAGTCCACCGTCGATGACAAGATAAAGAAGCGCATGTCACTGCGCTATGCAGAGATATCTGCGCCCACCGAAGCTTCTGTTCCGGATGTGCCAAGTGTTCCCATTGGGCTGCGTCCAGGTGCAGTGAGGGACCCAGATGAGCTTGTCTTGGAACGTGCCAGTATCAGAGAGGACCCAAAAGTTATAGATCAGAGGTTGCTGGACAAGGAAGACTTTGATCCAGACACTTGTGAGTACTGTGCATTTGTAGTCCGGATGTTCTTACGCGTTCGACACGCCATACAGATTTGAAGGCCAAACTGGCTAACTCGACCGAGGCGGAGCTTAGGTCTCTCCAGTCTTCACTCAGATCGTCCAAGGATGATACTGCTGTCGAACTACAGCGGAATGTGTTTAAAAAGTATCCCAAAATATTCTGCCCCGTCGAATTCGCTAACCTTACTACAGCTATGCTGAATTTGTACATATTTCCAAAGAAATTTCTGTCCTCGAGAACGAAGTGCTCGAACTCAAAGAAAGTCTTTCTGAATGGAAGTCTATGCCGAGCCTTTTGCACATTGATGAGTCTGCCTCTGCTTCGGAGCGGCGGCGCAACGTCCGTTCATCCATTGCGGACCTTCGCGTGCTCTATGCGAATCAGATGCAGACACTGCACACTCAAATCGAGGGCTCTGCGAAATTTGCTCCAACAACGCCAGGCAGACATGTAATTTACGAAATGGACGGGATATATGCTCTCAACGCGGCAACTTACAGGGTTAGTAACACTGTCAAGTTTGTCGTACTGGATGATTCTGTGCTCGTCGCGAAGAGGAGGAGGAGGAACAATGGAGAAGGGGGACGGCTGGTGGCAGAGAGATGTTGGCCTTTGAATGAGATGTTAGTTTTGGATACGAAAGATACAGCAAGTGAGTGTGATTTGGATTGTAGAATGTATATGATATCTGATCGACCTGGCAACTTGAAGCCATGACAAATGTCTTTAAAGTTCGCCATCAAAAGGAGACATATGTTTACAGAACGGAGGCACCCTCTGATAAGAAGACTCTTCTCGGACAGTTCCGCCAGGTTGCTGAAGAACTTGCAATCCGCAAACGCAGGGAGCGTGAAGGCGAGCACGAGCGACGTAAGAGCATGTGGACCAGTGGAGATGTCAGCCTTTATGCCTCGAGTGATTCATATTCGTTATCTGACATGATATTCTTAAGCAGCGCACCTCTATGACATTGCATCCTGATAAGGTGCCGCCCCTTCCTGACTGGATGGCTGAGCTTGCCCGCAAAGCGGGCGTTGACGGGGATACTAGCGCACGGGACAAATCCGAGAGCGATGCCCGCTTCATCAGTGATTTTTCGGACGACCTCACAGTCGCCATCGCTCTACGATCCTGGGAACGGGCCGTTCAGCTAGTGGAGGAAGGTCGAGCCAAACTTTCTTCCATACCGTCATTGAGCGCCAAGCTCACTCCTCTTACGGCGAGCCTCACCTCAGCACTACTCGATGCACTCAGTGCGCCTGGGAACCGCAAGAATACTGCAGTGAGCCTCATTGGTCACTTGTTAAAGCTTGGACAAGGTCCAGCTGCGAGGTTGACATTCTTAAATGCACGAGCGGGGGCGGTGGACCGGTACGTCAAGGCCATCAGATTCGAAGGACATGTCGGGATGTATGTGCACGATCTGGCTTTGGTCGTGTTTACCGGGATCAAGCACACAGCAGATTGGTTCCTCGCAGGCTTTGTAGAGCATGATATGACTAGCAGTTAGTGATTCTTCACATTTTTCATGCAATCCTCCTTACTGATAGGCACCAAGCTTTGATTGACTGGGCCAAGAAACAGATTGAGATGTATGCTGAAAGGTTCAGAAAGCAGGTCTATAGTTCCGACGTTGAACAGCAGACTATCAAAGAAGCACTCAAAATCACACACAATCAGAGTCGCAAGGTTTGTCCATTATCTCCGCTATCAATTCATACTAATCTGTACTCCTGTTTTTCCTTCTTCCTGTTTGTGTAACCCATCCACTTACATACTGCTAAGCTCCTACAAGAATTTGGGCTTGACTTCCGCTATCTCCTTGACGAGCTTCTGGTTCAGGACCCCCAGACCAACGACACCTGCGTTGTTTCCGCTACCTTCCATGCCCCTTCCCTAGCGCCCTCCATTTCACGCTCGCACACACCACAATCTACATTATCCTTTGCCTCTTCCTCAACGCCTCCCATACCTCCAATTCCAATTCCACCTACCCCTGACTCGCCTGCTCGCCCTACTACACGCTCCTCAACACCTCTGCGCCCAGTCAGGCAGATGCATGACTCCGATACTTCGTCGAAACCTGTGCGGGATAGCCCAGCTCCTCCACCACGCTCGTCAGATCGTCCTGGGAACACTATCAGACCCCCTCCAGTTGCTATTCCACAAAGGGAAGGGATGTTTTGACCACGTATCCTATTACCAGTCTTTGTTCAACTTTATTGGGTGTTCGTGGTAGGCATTTTACCGCCTGAGATGACAAGTACCAAAGTATGTGATTTCAATCTCCAGCGCTGTCACGGGTTAGTACCAGGGCTAGAAGAATGAATGCGACCCAGACTCAATTGTCATCTAGTGATTGCCTACGCCTTCCTCCCTCAGATACCGCTTGTCTCCTACTCTGGAGTCCACGTATCTGTCCCTGAAATGTTTTGATAGCATGTACTCATTCAGACTTGCACTCGCATTCCCTATTTGTTATGAGCATTTACTATCCAGACTCCAGAACCTTTCAACCTCTATGACTCGTCCTCCATACTGCTGCATAGCTAGTCTCCACTGAAGGGACTCAGTGAATTGTGCGTGTTCAATTAGCTTGACTGAGGTTGTAGTGCCGCTGTGTAACTTTGGTCGAGGCTCGTGCCTATTAATGATTTGTGCGTCTGGGTCTCCACTTGAATCTTGAACAGCCTCTCAGGCGGAAATGCATCGACGTTTCCGATATCAATGTTGATGCTTGTCAGGTCCGTCTTTGGGGGGTTGTCAAATCGGTCAATCTCACCTGCTCGCTGGTTCCTTAGATCTTTCAGTTAGCACGTAGATGTAAGGAGAGCGTGTATTATAACCAACGAATTACCATATCACCATGATGATGAAACAATAATGATAACGATAATCGTGATCGTGATAGTGAGAATGAATGAATACAGATGATAAAAAGAATGTGGGTGGGTATAAAGAGTGAACAGTATGTTATGCCATAGAGCATGAAAAGAATGTGTATAGTGGGTGGAAAGAAAATACGTGAATGAGTGTCAGCAGATGCATACATAAAACAAAGAAGATAGTTGGTAACAGAGGCTCTCCTAATATTCAGGGCCTTCGTCGTCATCTTTTTCTTCTTCGGCAGTTGGGTATAACGGCAGAGCGCCCACATCTGTCGACTGTTCACAATTGCCATTCTCGAGGTGCTTCTTGTAGGAATCACTTGTCGTATACCTAATCACAACAATATTAGTGATGAGACGCGCTGATATTGAGAGTTGGGATACGCACGCTTTGGAACAACCAGGGCATTTGAATTTCTGTAGTTTGAAGCCTAGATGCCTTTGTGTCCTGATGTGCTTAAAATAGCTTGCAGGACTCCTGAGTAACATGCCGTCCTTAGAACACACATATGACCCATTGGGTTCACCAAGTCGATTCAACACGGGTTTCTGTCCCAATGTTTGAGAATACGACCTCACGAGATGAAAAAGACACTCACAAATAACGGGTCGTTCTTGATTCCGCCGGAGCCTATTTTGGTTTGTTTGATGTAGCGGTGATGAAGATATTCCGCCATGTGCCTTTGAATGAGCGAAACACTTGGTGCTTGAGAAGCAGAGTCCGTTACGAGCCCAGTCCCGTTATGTTGGTGGAGGTATCTTTGGTGCGGTATGGGTGAAGCGCAAGGATTCGCGGCTGCTGGAAAAGATAGGAAGGGTTGATGGTACAGGGGGGGCGCAGGTGGGCCTTGTGGGGGGAGAGCAGCCGCAGTTGGCGGTAGGTATGGACCAACATAAGTGACAAGCGAGACATTGGTTACTGCACAAGGGCAATAGCCATTTTGTCCCGTTTGGAACACGTGATGCGCAACTCCAGCACCCACACCAGGCGAATGTGCGACGGGTGCGTATGAGGGAGGGGCACCATGCGTCCCGTTGAGTGGTACACTGTATGGGTAGTAGGGGTGTGCGGGTGCATGGCCTGGATAAGGGATGCATGCGGGCTGGGGCCAGGGAAATTGACCCATATACATGCCAGTGTTTGGCATGTATTGTGTTGCATTGGAAGAATCGGAACCATGCGGTGAGGAGGGATGGGGTGTGGATTGGATCATCTGGAGGCAAGAAGTAGACTTAGTTAGAAAGCGCAGACGTTGAAGCTGGGGATACACGTACCTGGGCCAGCAGGTAGTTGATTGAAATGTTAAGAGGGGGTGTGCGAGTTTGCAGTGGCAGTAAGTGCAATGGGGAAGGGATATAGAATGAGGGCCACCAAACCAATATTTATATGCTCGTCCAGCGTCGCTTTGAAGGTGTCCTCGAGATGCGTATCCACTGCAGGGACCTTCCTTTGAGGGGACATTTCCTGTGGACCACCATTATTCACTAAATGGGACGATAGCCATTTTGCTCGATGCGTCTAGCCTTGCATCCACGCTTGAGTTGTTCATTCTTGTTTTGTTGCAAGTCCGCAATGCAAAGACGAGAAGCGTGTGGTGGATGAGCTGTTGTTTGTGCCCTGACAATCTGATTGGAGCATCATGCATCATGACTTATGTTTCAGGCTCCGCGAACGGATGAATCATCATAGATCGCGGGCTCGCGCGAGTGATGAAATTCATCAGGTCTCCGTGAGTCATGTCGGTCCTTTGGGAGAAACAGGTCGAATTCAGTGAACTGGTGAACAACGGTCACAAAGAACGAGCCTAAAAACACTCCGAGACTGGAGGGAAGGCTATCGCAGGACGAGAAAGCCAATGTAGGAGGAAGAGGCCAACAGGAGGAAGAGAGACGAAGAACAACCACAAACGCATCAAAGACAAGAAAGATGCGCACCAAGTCCCACTCTACCACCCCAAACCATTCACTTCACCCCACACATCCCTTTGTACGAAATCAGCGTCGGCCTTTGCCCGACACTATGCTGACGGAGTACGCGTTCAACCTATACAATACATCAGATACACAATTACCTACGATAGATACACGGGAGCAAGCCCCCCAAGTAAAGGGCTCAGTCCAACATAGGGTCTACGACCCCAGAGGACAATAAACCTGATTTAAAAAAAAAAAAAAAAAAAAAGAACGAGCCTATGCGAGGTGCAATAGACGATGCAAAATTTGGCGCACACCTCTCGTATCACCTTCCAAAGACGGCTCACTAGCATTCAACTCAAGCGACGAGTGTCCGAGTCACGGGTAAGAATATTACCATTACATTTTCTTGGCAGTACTCGCACTATTATTTGGTTTCCTTCAATACATCGCAGCATCCCATCGTAGATTCTAGCGTGAGTTGACTTCTCTAACCAAGATAGAGAACTGACCGTAATTTTATTTTCCTATTTTCAAAACTACACAATCGAGTTGAAGGATATTGCTGTCTTGCAACATTGGTCGATTGACACAAAGGTGTGTCAGTGCCACTCTACCGAGAGCCTATAATGAGTATCTGTATAAAGAGTAACGAGACAATACCAATTTGCGTTATTAGTGGGCAGAAAGTGGCACCTGAGGCCTGAGGACACGAGGTATGTTTGATTCTGCAATGGTATGCAATCAATCAACGCATTGGTATGGACTTTCGAGGTGCGGCCAGGCGTCGTTCAGTAAATATTTTTTTCCGATCACGACCATTTCCGTTTCAAACGCTTTCAACACTGAGTACTGAGTACCGAGTACTAATGTTTCAACGCCATGCTCTTCTTCTCCTGCCAGTCACCGCCCTACAGCTTCAACTCGCAGTGAGCGCACAGTGGGCATCAACAACCCCCTGCATCATTTTGATGACGTACTCTCTGAATACTGGCATGAATTTGGAAATATTTTTAGATATGATGATAGAGGTGCAGACATGAATATTTGAATCTTAGACGTGTAGGAAACTGTTTTGGGTTTGTTGATCCAAGTATTAGCATCCGAATCCCGATCCGGGCGCTTGTTTGCAGTTGTTCGCTAGCACTTCGCGTCTGCAGATCTGAACTTCGTTTACTACTACTTGGCCTAAAATAATGCAACTTGACGGATAGTGAGCTTTCAAATTAGCTGCTTAACGTTACAAACGCTACCGTGGCCGACCCCGATATTGATAGTATTAGTCGGTATCAACAGTGCATGATTTCAGCACAGCAGGCTGATACCAATTCACAGTCAAACATCCTTTTGTCGTTGCCCTCGTGGTCGCAGGACTCACAGAATCACACGAGGTCGGTCACGCCACGTGGTAATAGAATGTCACATTTCCTTCAAGAATGTCTTTGAACAAATCAAACACGAAACTAAAATGACTTACTATAGACAGCTAAACTACCAGTCAATTTCTTACTGGCCTCAAATATCATTCGTAGGTTGCGCGACATCGTGAGTGCCTCGCAGAGTAGTTTTTTTATATGTAGTAAGCATTTTACAACTAAAATGCAAATTCAAGTCGCCTAGTAACCAATGGGTATTACGATTGCGTCACAAGCTCGTTTTCGCTCCGACCGAGGACCCTAGTTTGATATCTATCCACCGCACGAAATACGAAATCTGTGAATCGAGCTGAGTTCCATTATTTTCATTCCATCCACGAGTCTGGATCATCTTGTTCGTCATTGACAATAGATAAAATTAGCGAAAAGATAGAGCAACGCGATTGCATGCCTCATCTGGGTCGATCTTGTCAAATAACCTATTGCAAACAAGGAGGTGAGGATAGCGAATAGCAGAGGGCACCGAACAAACCATTCAATTGGCACCGTGTCTAGAATAATATTTGACAAGGATCCCCAGGGCCCAGGCGCTCACTTCCGGAACCGCATCTATCATGGCGTGCATACTCTCGCATTTTTATCCGAACAAATATATGCAAGGTTACATTATGTTGACTTCGGTCTTGTCATGCAACGTTCGGTCAATCGCTGACTTTGAATACAAATTTTCTTGTATTTTTCTGCTTGTCAGGTCAGTCTGCGCCTGTTTAACACCATCCGCTGTGAATGGAAGACCTGGACAAGTTTAAGGTACCGATGGCGAGAAGGGAGAACAGGGCGTTTCCTAGTGGAGCACTCCTGCTGGGGTGTATGCGTAGTTGTCCATCCTAAGCGTGAGCATATAAATTGAATGATGGACAATTATTGAGCACGCGAAGGTCAGAGAATCTGCAGAGAAACAAGTTGTCGTAAGGCTTGAACATTTATTTTTGACTTTATTGATCAAAACTGAGACGGAGCCGTGCCCAGTACTAGTCCGTTATGTCTTCACTCATCGCAGGGAGGCGGGAGACATCAGTGTTGACGCCCCATCAGAACCAGGCAGACAGTAGATCATCACTTGTTCAGATAACTGTTCGCTGCGGGTACTGAACTTAAAGAGTGGGAAACAGATGTCGGATCAAAGTGGTTAGCGGACGGTTGGATGGTGGAGTGAGGCTGTGGGACATCAACACAAGGCAAAGTCATCTCGACATTCAAAAGAAGATATAGAGATCTCTTTGTATCCATATAACGCCAATCACTTGTAAGGGTATAAGGAAAGGCTGGGTAAAGTAGACTATAGTAGAAATTGTATATCGAAGTCGCTGTCAGGTTCTATGATGAATTCGACGGAAGGAACGAGGGTGACATAGTCTTCTTGCTGCTGGTCCGTTGAATCCGCTTCACTGCCGAGATCTTCTAGAAATTCGTGCATATCAAAGTTGCTATCAGGTTCTACGCTCAATTCAAGGGTAGGAATGAGGGCGGCATATTGTTCTCGCTGCTGGTACGTTGAATGCACTGCATTGCCGAAAATAAGGCTCTCCAGGGGACATTCTGACCGTATCAAGAATTCCTTGAACTCTTCATGTGGCCACGGCCCTATATTGCGGGCTTCGACCACGCGAAGGTTGGGGAGTGTGAGAACATCAAATAGGCCAAGGGCCCCGGCTGAGCTCAGGAATACGTCTCCAGACATGCGTAAGGATTGGAGGTTGACGTGCGTGACCGGTTCTGGAGTTTTAATTGGGTCGAGTATTCCAATCATCACCGCGGAAGAGAGGTTGGGGCATAGATGGAGTATGCGGGGGAATGCATCTAGTCCATTCACGTTGATCTCGACATGCGTGAGACGGGCCCATGCGGAGTCACTAAAGAAATCTAGGTCCTTGCGGCTGTACAACAGTGTTGTCATGTTCAAGTGGCGCAAATTCACCGGCAATTTCGAGAGAGAGTGGTCGATAGCTGATGTATGATCAAACCCATATTTGTGTATGGTGAGTTCCTTGAGTGCGTGAAAGCCTTCCATCATGAAGGGGCCGTCGCAGGCAAAAAAATCAAGTTTGAGAGACGAGATTTGTTGAATGTATGGCTGGAGCAGGCTTTGTAGCTCGCTCCAGTTAGTGTGGCACTCGAGTCTCAACGAGAGAGGGCATCCTCCTGACCGCTTGAGCCAGAGGTTGTAGCATAAAGCTCTCTTCTTCCAATTGTCGTGCTCGGCTTTCATCTGCAGCCTGCACCATAAACTTGGCAAGCCCACAGCGACCTCCCTCCATCGTCGACATATTGTGGTCAACAGTAGGGGAGCCACCTGTGGTGTGGGTGACAAATACTCGTCTTTAGGCAGACAGTAAATGAAAACTTCTGAGAGTATTTCTGTTGGCGGACGCCAAACAGGCCGTGAAGCCTTGGGCGAAGTGTTGGACTGAACAATATTGGCCCTCTCTTCGACGAGTGGCCGTTGACGATAGGAAACGCCCTTCCTAACTTTTTCAAGGCCCGAATTCTTGCGCACAATCATCTCATTCAACTGTTGAAGTAGATATTTATTATTATATCCAGACGAAAATACCTCCAGGACCAGACACTTACAGGTTTCTGCGGCTCACCAATGGTAGCTGAGACCGGTGAATCGACGTTTGAGTTGGATTTTTGCATACTGATGCGAAGAAGATTTAGATGTTTGATACAGAGATTTGGGGGAGGAAATAATTCTACCAAAATTCTACCGTTTCGTCAACTGCCGCGTCCCTATTTAAATTCAACACTTGAAAAAAAAAAGGCCCACAACAAACACACCTTTCTATTGTATTTTATTGTTACAATGGTAGTTAGTGTGGCCCGAGCACCTGTCGAAGGGTGGTCTCGCTCAATGGTTTCAGCACATTCGATCGGCACCAGTGACTAGGCCATTCAAGACCTTGTCTTGGTACCCACGAAAATCTGGTTCAATTCGAGTCTCCTTGGCACCTCTCGACGTCCCTACCATACGTACTGAACGGCCGATTCCCTTTTTGTCAATCGTTTCTCCCCACTGCATTCTTAGTACTGACTGAGACGCTCCCGGGCCAGCTCATGATGCCAACCAACAACTGGGATCACGTGAAAATTACATCATCTTTTCTGAAACAATTTACGAGCCAATTGCAATAACATGTAGACAGCCATTCGAATTAAATTATTCGCGATCGTGCGTTGCAAAATATCGAAATGCCACGTGTCGAAGAGTGATCTCGTTACCAATATGCAGGGAGCAAATATTACAATTAAAATACACGTCCAGCTAATACACCTTGCATGTACGCGCTGGAAGATATAACGAGCGGGTGAACTGAAGTAATTCATGACATCATCTCCCAGTCCATTTACCAGACAGAACTCAAAGTTGACAAGCATCAAGATATATCAGACATTTTTACGCAATTCGCACAAAACTGCCGTTCAAGAAGGGATCCGAACTTGTATCTTATAATATCTACGGCAAGTTGATTTCATGACTTGATGTTCGCCTTGGATCCATTAAAACGGCTTGAATTCAGCAGTGTGTGGCATGCGATTGTTTGAAACGTGCAGACAGCATTGGAACAGATGCTCCACGGAGGTTGAACTTTGGAGTCTGGATAGCAAGAAATGAGGAACCTGGAGCCAAGTCTAAGTGAGTATAGATCATCAAAATATTCTGGGGGCAGATCAAGAGATAGGCGGTACAAAAACAGGTACCAAACTGACATCCGATAGCGCGCGCGAGCGCACCATGCCAAACAGTGCTACTACCTAGCAAAATCGACAAGTGCAACCAGCTACGTTACAAAGGCAATGAAGATCTATGATCTTGAATGGGTTCGCCCTGGACTGGCAACTGGCAACGATGTATGAATAGTAGCATCCACTTTAAGAACCACCTAGGTCTCATCGAGCGAGTCTATTGACAGATGGTTTCAACATGCAAAGATAGTGCCACGACGTACTGAAGTATGTCTTGTTACAATCACTGGCGCAGAAAGAGAGATATAGGTTTCATTCGACTGAAGCTAGAAATAGTATGGAGTTAAAAGAGGACATGCTGTACAATGCACAGCCATCATGAAGAACATACCCATATGTCCATCATTGCTCTTTGTCCTTGCTAGCATCCCGGTAAGACTAAAGTTCATACGAGCATTAAGCACAGATGACCTGACGATTGACTTAGCAGCCAATAACTAGTGCGTCAGCTCTCGGATGAGTTGGAGTTTAAAATGATCGAACATCAGGCCTAGCTGCCTTAGAGAGCACGAGGAGAACCCACCGAAGGTAAGGAGATTGAGGAGGCTCGGGAGGTTTACTATGACGATTTTATAAATGCGGTGATGTTATCAAGGGATGGTCGATGGGTTGTCACTGCAAGTATTAGTGAACTCAAAGTCAGTGAGGTTGAGACGGGGATCGTGAGAACATTTCATGGACTCCCAACCATCACTTGCATCGATATCTCCGCGGACAGCGCGTTGGTAGCGGGTGGGTCAGATGATGGGACACGTATATGGAGCTTGGACACAGGCAACCTCATGGCTGGTCCATTCAGAACAGGCGAGTATTATCGTCAAATTACGTCAGTTCGACTCTCGGAAGCTGGTGGTGTCAAATTGGGGAAAGGAGCTTCAGGTGTGGGATGTTCAGGCACAGAAATTGCTTGTACAAAATTCTACTCCTAGCAAGTATTTCGGGTTCGGATTGCCGGTCTTCTGGACAAATCCATCGCAACCGCATTCAGCTTCGCGGATGACATCCTCAGGACGATTTATGAGTTTGACGCGTCGACGCTCAAGACTGTTGGACCTCCTTTCAAACAAACTGACATCATTAGCGGTCTAGCACTCTCATCTGATTGTGGTCTTCTCGCCAGCTCTTCCTACCGCATCACCAAGCTGTGAGCCTTCGAATCCCGCCAACTCCTCGCTTCATTCGACATCTCGAAATTTCCCACGAACCTCGTATTCTCGCCCAATTCACGCCAACTAGCTTACACGATCGACGCTAAAATCTTCATATGTGACATTCCAGCCAACATCCTTGCTAGCATTGGGCTTGAAGCACAGCATAGTGTATGTATTCCCCACATACATCCATCATTTATGTGCTAATATTTTATAGACCAATAAAGCTGATTCACGCCATGCTGGTCTGCTCAACGTATGTGATCCTGCCCTTTCCTTCATCTGCACCGCACTGTTATTCATTACAGTCCAATGCAACACCTCGTCCCGCGCGTCGTAAACCAGTGATGATACCTGCCATGTCTCACATCCCTCGACCTTTGCCTGCCAGGGATCCACATGCTTGCCTCCGCTTTCTATGCAAGCTCTTTTCTCGTACAGACGCGGTTGGCATCGATAAACCTAATCCTCTCGATGTATGTTTCCTTTACCTGTTCGTCTCCCAGTTGACTCTACAGTTGACTCACAGTTCCCTGCTACATCGCCCCTACCTCGTCCACTTCCGAAACACGACGAGAATGTGAGTGCGGACCTCTATTATCACATGTCAAATTTACATTCTTCTAGTCTCGACGCACACCAGCATCACCCACCAGCCAATCCTCTGTCATCAATACTTCCCCATCCCCCAAATCCCCCTTAAATCGGCTATCAAGCTGGTGGCCCCTTCAAACAAATTATGCATTGCCGACTATCGTCGATGTTTCTCTCGCACCTGGTAGACTGGTATGTACATCTCGTTTTTCTCCCCGTGTTTGAATTCTCATCTATGTATGTTAGCGATACGCTGCAGCAGGCGCTCCTGGCCCTGATGATGAATTGATACGTGACGAAGATTATGTCACTCCTCCCCCTTCCCCCAATCCTGGCTCACGCCTAGGGATTGTTAACTCTGGACAGCATGGAAGCGGCAGGTTTTGTTTTTGCTTCTAGTTGAACCTTGTCGAGTATCTCGCTCGACGTTACTGTAATTGTTGCTCGTTGTATGCGTTGTCCTCCCTATACTTATGTCCAATTCACGGTCATTATTGCCCTCTGATGCGCTTGATATTTTGAAACAGTTACAATGATCGATTCTGTCCAGACTCTGGTATCTACAGTGCTCCGAGGCATTTCCCCTGTGTTTCCGTTTGTTATGAGCATTTGTTCTCTAGACTCCAGAGCCTTTCAATCTCCGCGGCACGCTGCTGCATAGCTGGCCTCCGCTGAAGGGAGTTCATCGTGTCGAGTCAATTGTGAGTCCGTACTGTATTGCAATCGTTTACCTCGCATTGTAGCGCCACTGTGCATCTACCTTGATGCTCTCTAAAGATTCTACAGCGGAAATGCGTCGACGTTCCTGCTGATCCTTGTCAGGTTCCTTTTTGGGAGGGACTGGGTGATGATGTTGCAGATGATTTCATCTCACCTACTCGCTGGTTCCTTACATATTCTAGCCCGCGCGTACATGCAGGGAGAGTGAGTATTATAACTAACGAATCACCAGATCACCACAATAATGATAATGATGATAGCGTAGTAGTGCGAATGAATGGATAGCGTGTCGTGCCATAGTGAATAGAAAAAATGTGTGTAGTGGGCAAAAAAAACAATGTGAATGAATGAATGACAGCATATAATAAAACAAGAATAGTCAGTAGCAGAATTGAACTATGGCTACATCTCATGGCCGTCCTTTATTTCATTAGCCTCCCAAAAATCAATGTCGTCGTTATCGTCGTCTTTGGCGGGCCCTGTGACCATGACATTCTCTGGCAATCGAGAGAAAACTGCAGGATTCGCAAAACTGGGCGTGCCACAGGACTGCGAGATATAAGCTGCTGGGGGTGCGACCTCCACGTTCTGGGACATCGATGTGGCGAACATGGGGTACAGGTGAGAAGAAGCGAGTGCAGTGGTAGGTGCTATTGCAGGTGCAGCAGAAGCAGAATTTGTGGAGTTTTGATTGGTTGAGTATGACGGCAGAGCGCCCACAGTTGTCGACTGTCCACACTTGCCATTGACATAGTGCCTCTTGCAGGCATCGCGTCTCGTATACCTAATCATAACGATATTAATGATACGAGAAGCTTATTTGAGAGTTGGGATATGCACGTTTTGGAACAACCAGAGCACTTGAATTTCTCTAGTTTGAAGCCCAGGTGCTTTTTCGTCTTGATGTGCTTGAGATAGCTTCCAGGATTGAGCACCATGCCGTCCTTGGAACACACGAATGTCCCGTTTGGTTGACCAAGTTGATCTAACACGGGGGTCTGTCCCAATGCTTGAGAATTCGACCTCACAGGATGAAAATAAAACTCACAAATAACGGGTCGTTCTTCATTCCGCCGGGAGCTATTTTGGCTTGCTTGACGTCGTGGTAATGGAGATGTTCCACGACGTGCTTCTGACTGATACGTGGTGCTTGAGGGAGAGACGAAAAAGCAGAGCCCGTTGCGGGCACAGGCCCATCATGCTGGTGGAGGTATCCTTGGTGCGGTATGAAGGCAGCGTAAGAGTTTGCGGCTCCTGGAAAAGAAATAGGTTGGTGGTACAGGGGGGTCGTGGATGGGTCTTGTGGGGGATGAGCAGCCGCAGTTGGCAGTGAGTATGGACCACCATAAGTGGCACAGGAGACATCGGCTCCTGGAGGGGGTAAATAACCATTTTGTCCCGTTTGGAACGCGTGATGCACGACTCCAGCACCCACACCAGGCGAATGTGCGTATGGGAGAGCGGTACTATGCATCTCGTTAACTGACCCGCCATACGGGTAGTAGAAGCCTGGATAAGGAATGCATGAGGGCTGGGGCCAGCGAAATCGACCCATATACATACCAGTGTTTGGCGTGTATTGGGTTGCATTGGAAGAATCGGAACCATGCGATGACGAGACATGGGGAGTGAAGTGTCTCATCTGGTGGCAAGAAGTCCATACAGTGAGAAAATGTAGGCGTTGAAGCTCTGAGAACACGTACCGGGGCCAACAGATAGTTGATTGAAATGTTACAGTATGTGTACGAGGTCGCAGTGGCAGTGGGTACAGTGGGTGAGGGATAGAGGATGAAGGCCACCGAACCAATATTTATATGCTCGTCCAGCGTCGCTTTGAAGGCATACCCTCGAGATGTGTTTCCACTGCAGGGACCTTCCTTTGAGGAAACAATTTCTGTGGACCACCGTCATTCACTAAATGGGACGATGGTCCTTTGAACCGAGGCGCTCAGCTTTGCGTCCACGCTTGAGCTATGCGTTCTTGTCGCAAGTCCGCGATGCAAAGACGAGCAGGGTTTTGTCAATGCTCTGTGGATGTTTAGGTCCTCCTGATGATGACAATCTGATTAAAGCACTACAACTTACAAATTATAGCGAACGCATGGATCATAATAGATCCAAGGCAGATTTGCGTGAACGATGAGATCCATCAGTTCTCCGTGAGTCATGTCAGTGCTTTGGGAGAAACAGCTCGAATTCAGTGAACTGGTCAACAACAGTCACAAAGAACGAACCTATGCGAGATACAATAGATGATGCAAAACTTGATGAATCTATCGTATCACTTTTTAAACGCGTGATTTTAGAGACGGCTCACCGGCAGCCAACTCAAAGAGACTCGAGCGTCAAACATTACGAGCAACAATATTATCATTGTATTTTCTTGTGATTACTTACATTTTTATGTGGTGTCCTTTAATACATCGCAAACATCGCGGATTCTAGTCTGAATTGACTGCTCTAGCCAAGAAAGAGAACTGACCGTAATTTTATTTTCATACTTTCAAAACTACACCATCAAGTAGAAGGAAATCGCCGTCTTTCAACATTGGTCGTTTGACGCAAAGGCATGCCTTTGCCACCCTGCTGAGAGCCTACAACTGATTACTTTTTAGTGCCTGTATACGTGGTTATGAAGAGTAACAAAGACATACCAAATTCAAGGAACGGCTTTCTGGCCCGGAAGGACGGGTGGTGTGATGAACGGTAAAGGAGTAAAAATTCACTTACCCATGTCATCGACTCAAGGAAGCACCAGAGAGCTCCTTCATAGTTCAACAGTCGTCTCGAGAATTGCTTTCCACCGCTACAACTCGTAAACACGGCGCAGAAGCGACATCCGCATCATGTCCTGGCGCGACCTCAGTCCAGAAATCTGGATCGGATCGAGCGGCAGCATGCACAGGAAATAACTGGCTGAAAAGATGGAATTGCATTACTGGTGAGCAGAAAGTGGTACCTGACACATGAGTTTATTTTTTATATCTGCAATGTACACCGAAAGCAAGGTTGGTTGATACAGGCTTTCGGAGTGCTGCCAAACGTCGACCATTCAAAAGCTTTCAATACTGATGAGTTTCGACCATGGGTGTAGTTCGCTTATCATTTGGTTGTCGTATGACCTTCCTATTCTTCTCCTGCCAGTGCGCCTTACACCTTCAATGCGGTGGGCGGTGCGTGTCAAAAATCCTCTGCATCATGTTTGATGAAATTGAGATTGATGGTCTCTGAGGCCATACTCGGAGTCGCATGAACATGACGATGGTTTCGGATATAACGACAGAGGTGTAGACACGCATTTTAGAGCAAAATTTGGTGTGCTAGTCACGGTACACGGGGAAAAGTTTTGGGGTATCAGCATCCGAAACCCGATCGGCTCTTGTTCCGAATTCGGCATTGTTCAGTTGTTCATCTCACGTTTACACACTACTTGGCCCACATAGAACTGCTCAAAAATGCGACCTGGTTGAATATAGTGAGCTTTCAAACCAGCTCTTTTTCATTTCTCGTAACCTTCAAGTTTTAATGCATGGATTGTGATTCTAAGTGACAGACGAATTTCATGCAATAAATTTCCTCCTAACTGGCAATCCATTACGCCCTGCAGGCATATGAGAACCACACAAGAAGCATGCGGGTGGACGCCACTCCAAGGTCATCATAATTTGATCAGGTTACATGTGTGGATAGTATGGGGAGTCACGCTGTACAATGCACAGCCGTCTGGAAGATATAAATATAAAGAGATGGGACACGCGCCTATATGACCATCTTCGCTCGTCTTCCTTGCTAACGCCCTAGTAAGACAAAACCTCTGAGCATCACGCATGAATTGAGTCAAACTGACGATTTATTTGAGCAAGTAAGGTGCGCCAGCTCTCGAACGAGTGAGAGTTGACAATTACTCAACGTCAAGCCTAGCTTTATACGACATCTTGCCGACCTGTCTGGCGAATAAAGCTGTGATGGCTTCCAGCTCGATGCAGCCCGATGCAACAGAGAACAAATCGATTTTAACACCAGTCATGACCTTGGAGGGACATGAACCATGGAAAAATCTACGTCCAGATGGTGAATATCACGAGTTCAAATATATTTCGTGCATTTCCTATTCTCCTGACGGCAAGCAAATGATCAGCGGATCATACGATAAGACGATTCGGCGATGGGACCTGCGGGAGGGTAAGGAGATTGAGGAGGCTCGGGAGGTTTGTGATAATTGTATATATGCGGTGAGGGTATCAAGGGATGGTCGATGGGTTGTCACTGCTTGTTGGAAGGAGCTCGAAGTCAGTGAGGTTGAGACGGGGATTGTGAGAACATTTTACATTGGGTCGATCTATTGCATCGATATCTCCGCGGACAGCGCGTTGGTAGCGGGTGGGTCAGAGTATGGAACAGTTCAGATATGGAGCTTGGACACAGGCGAACTCATAGCTGGTCCATTCGAAGCAGGCCCAGGCGACGGCTTAGTGATGTCAGTTCAGTGCCGGTATTCTGGACAACAAAAGACAAATCCATCATAGCCGCATCCAACTGCATGGATGATGACACGACAATCCACGAATTTGACGCGTCGACGCTCAAGACTGTTGGAGCCCCTTTCAAACACACTGAGGGGATCTGTGGTCTAGCACTCTCATCTGATTGTGTTCTTCTCGCCAGCTCTTCCCGCCACTTGATCAAGCTGTGGGCCCTTCGAGTCCCGCCAACTCCTCGCTTCATTCGACGTCTCGGAATTTCCCGAGCTTCTCGTGTTCTCACCCAATTCACGCCAACTAGCTTACACGATCTTCGATGACAATAAAATCTTCATATGTGACATTCCAGCCAACATCCTTGCTAGCATTAGACTTGAAGCACAGCCTAGTGTATGTATCCCCCCACATACATCCATCATTTATATGCTAATATTTTATAGACCAATAAATCTGATTCACGCCATGCTGGTCTGCTCAACGTATGTGGTCCTGCTCTTTCCTTCATCTGCACCGCACTTTTATTCATTACAGTCCAATGCAACACGTCCTCCCGCGCGTCGTAAACCAGTGATGATACCTGCCATGTCTCCCATCCCTCGACCTTTGCCTACCAGGGATCCACATGCTCGCCTCCGCTTTCTACGCAAGCTCTTTTCTCGTACAGACGCGGGTCGCATTGACGAGCCTAATCCTTTGGATGTATGTTTCTTTTACCTGTTTGCCTCCCAGTTGACTCTACAGTTGACTCACAGTTTCCTGCTACATCACCCCTGCCTCGTCCACTTCCAACACACGACGAGAATGTGAGTGCGACCTCTATCATCACATGTCAAACTTACATTCTTCCAGTCTCGACGCACACCAGCGCCACCCACCACCCAATCCTCTGTCATCAATACTTCCCCAACCCTCAAATCAAATCGACTATCAAACTGGTGGCGTGCATTGCCAACTATCGTCGATGTTCCTCTCGCGCCAGGTAGACTGGTATGTGCGCGCGTTTTTCTTGTCGTATTCGAATTCTCATCCATGTATGTACAGCGGTATGCTGCAGCGGGCGCTCCCGGCCCTGATGATGAATTGATACGCGACGAAGATTATGTCTCTCCCCCTTCCCCTAATCCCGGCTCGCGCCCAGGGATTTTTAACTCCGGACAGCATGGAAGCGGCCGGTTTTGTTTCTGCTTCTAACTCATCTCGAACTTCCTTGTTCCCTGGTATCTCGTTGCTGTAATCATTGCTCAGTGTATGCGTTATCCTCTCTACATTTATGTCGAATTTACAGTCACAAAGGGCTTGAAATATATCAACTATCTCAATGATCGATGCTGTCCAGACTCTAGTGTCTACGGTCGGAGGCTTTGCAGTTCACCGAAGGTATTTTTTTTTCGCTAAGAAATAACTGCAAGGACCTCCTGCGTCCAAACTTAGTGCGATCAGAATATCAGTACTAACTCCCAACACAGATTCATCTAAAAATATGACAATCTGATCTTTCATACGCACTAGGCCAAGTATATCAGAAAAAAGTGCCATTCATATATCTAAATTCTGTGCTCGTCGAAACCGATGCTCTTCCGAACGTGTATCGCGCGAGGCTCTGCCATTGCACGTGTGTCCGACGATCTACGTATCAATTCACGGTACTCCTCGTCATGAAGAGCCGCGAATCACTTATTTGCCACTGATATTGAAGATAAATGGTGCGTTATCAGTATACTAAAAGAAGTTCATAGTACGACGGGCTAACCTGCTATGCACTCGATCTCAAACAACACATCTTTCGGAAGCCGAGCAACCTCAACAGCTGAACGTGCCGGCTTGTGTTCCGAACCACTAAAGAACTCCTCGTAAATCTTGTTAACGGTGGCAAAGTCCTCCATATTTTTCAGGAACACCTATCATATGTAATGTAATGCATCATCTGTCAGATTCGACTCGGAGACAGACGACGGTCTCAGCGACGTACCGTAGTCTTGACGACCTTGCCAACTGAGCTAGAGCTGGCTTCAAGAACAGCCTTGAGATTTGTGAGGGCCTGCTTGGTCTGTTCCTCGATACCGCCTTCGACTATCTGCATCGTGGAAGGTACGAGGGGGATGCAACCCGAAACAAAGACGAATTCTCCAGCTTTGATAGCTTGGGAATAGGGCCCAATGGCTGAGGGCGCGTTGGGCGTCGAAACGGGTGTGATCGTAGACATTTGTCGTTGTGTTCTGGCAGTGAGTGCAAAAGCGGGGTATTGCGGGAGACGAAGAGCGGTTGTCCTACAGCTGGGAGGCCCACCACGGAAAACTAAAGATCTTGCCAGACGAATTACACCCAACATCGAATATTATAACCGCACAAGTGACGAATCCGATACACCCGAAAATGTTAAGTGCTACGATACTATAAAATGATAAGATAAGATTGCCTGGTACTACATCTATGAGTAGTTACTTGGCTTACAGGTATCCCAATATACAGGCAGTATCCAAATTACTATGTTCCTTATCTGCTCCAATACGCCTCAGATGCAAGTACTGTGAATGAACTACTCGGATGATACTTTCACGATCACTTTTTCTCCGCTCACTTGTCCATTTCGTACTACATCAAAAGCATCCTGGCAGCGATCTTGTAGCGATCCTTGATCAAATAGGCGAACTCGATTGGGTTTAATGATGCCTTCCTCCAACAGTCGAGGGAGAATATTTGGCATCAGGTTGTCACGAAGGTACTCATTCTACGCCAACTTATCAACATTTTTTGTCGGAAGAATTTCAAAAATACTCACCTGCTGGTACAGTAGCGTCCTCACGCCTATAAGTTTCACTGAATCTGGGAAGGGGTTTCTGTCCACCGGTAATTCCATCCACATTTGCGCATCTTTCCCTGCAACATGCGTTGTGCCTTCCGTAACTGGCAATAGCATGGCGACCACACCGTCGGAGCTAACGACATTAGATATGCTTTTGAGTGTGCCCTCAGCGCTGATGCAGTCCAAGACAAATTGAAGCTTTTTGCCTGCGGCGAGTAGGATCTTCTCGAGCATGTCGTCAGCGCTGTAGTCTATTACGTGGGCGGCGCCAAGAGACTTGAGGTAAGAATGGTGGCGAGGGGATGCTGTTGCAATGACACGCTTGTACCCAGCAAGGGCCAACAGTTGAACAGCGTATTGACCAGATGTAGCTCCTGCACCATAAACGAGAATCGGGGTCTCTGCATGGGGAGGTGGTGCCGAGACGGGGAATGTTGGTGGAGTAAGTTCCAAACAATCGAACAGCGTGTAAAATGCAGTTACGAAATTGTCAGGAATTGTTGCAGCTGCTTCGAGAGAGTAATCATCGGGGAGCTGCGAGTCCGATTAGGACTTGCATTAAAAACGTGATTTATTCCAAACCTTAGCGCAAGCGGAACTGTGTATAATTGCACGTTCTTGTAAACCCTTCCCCTTCGATCCAGCCGTTGCAAATCCGCAAACCTAGAAAACAAGATGGGGCCATTAGACTTGTTCGTTCATCTTGCGCATATATTTATGTTCACCTTGTCTCCTGTCTGCAGGCCGCCCACACCAGGGCCAACAGCTTCCACAACTCCACTAAGATTAAAGCCTAATACGAGGGGGTATTCGCCATTTACGATTCGACCATAATCCGCGATGTATGTGTCAAGGGGTATGACTGCGCTGAATGCCACTTTTACCATCACTTCATCAGGTCCAGGAGATAGTGTCGGGACCTGAATAACAGATGTTATCCCAACAGCTGTACTCGCGAATGCAAGATGAGTTTGCGTCGACATGGCAGTAACTGGGAGGTCGATGAGTCGAAAGTAGTGTTTTCCATGGTGGATACTGTCATGTATTTATAGCTCCTAATATTTCTCGATGTTTGTCGAATTCTGACACAACCAGGGTGGCGCTTACGAATCCAACATGGGGCTGATCACAAATCTGCGCCACTCCTAGTAATGTTGTATTTAAAGATGGCGTCAACTAGCGAGCGATGTTGATGTCGTCCGTTACTGGACACAGTCAGCATTACTACAAGAAAATTAGTCATGGACGATGTGATGGTTGTATTTTGAAGTGCTTACAAAGATATCACTAAGGTACCTCCGTGGACAACGGATGTCACAAATCGTCATAAGATTTGAATTCGAGTTTTCATAAGGAGTCGCAAGAACGATTTCGAAGAACTCAAGCCAACTGGATGTTTGGTCCTATTTACTTCCAAAGGTTTTGCTAAACATCTGCAAACAGCTTCCTTCGCATTGTCTGGCACACAATGCAACATTTATTTCCTCTTTTAGCACTGTCTCCGTCCCGAAATCGATTGCCCGTAGATCATCATGGGCCCATGTGTAGCATGCAATCCGAATTTTCCTAAAAAGGCTAATTTGCTCGAAGACGGTCGACACTCGATTCTTGATTTCCTGACACTCCGTCGTCAAAGCACCCAGCACCCGGATACTTAAGCAACGCGATGTCCGTCACTTTACTCATCATCAGCACTAGCGCCCTCAGCCTTCAAACTAAATATCTTTGAATCTCACACTCGTCTCCAAACAAATAGCTCGAGATGTCTTACACCACGCTTAACGTTAACACCCACTTCTCCCTCTTCGCCTCCCCGCCTGCACCCTCAAACGTATTTGCTGTCTTTGCTCCAACACAGTCCCCACGTGAGACACATGCGATGTACGCAGAGTTCCGCCAGGTGCTTGGCGCTTCCAACGGGCAAAAGAAGCAGGGCAAGAGCGTGCTGAAGAAGATCTTTGGTACCAATTAACAAGTGCCTACAACACGCGCCTTCAAGCGCATTATCCCATCCGAGATCAAGCTCTCTCGCTCGATGTGTTGAGATTATTCTCATCTTCCGAGTAACTCCACCAGAATGCGGCGCTGTTTACCGCTGCCTTCTCAAACCACCATATCGGCGAAGCGCAAGCACAACCACTATAAGCCGCTTACACTCCTTGATGCGCATTCGCATTTAAAAACTATTCGACGTGTGGATCGCGTCTTAGAATGGACAATCCGGGATAGTATGGATGAGTTGGGAGGAAAACAGGAGCGCTGCATACTTAATAGAATCCAAAAAATGCATCGGATGCAGTCTTCTAGTATCATTTCGACAACAACTTATATCTAGGACCTGCTTCAAAATACCATTGATCAATTAAATGCTATTAAAAGTATTAGATACGGATGTCATGAAGCGAAAGAGACATTAACGCATGCCACCAGGAGTGGGTGTAGGTGAGACCATATTGCTGCCTGTCAAGATCGCAGGCATAGGCATTCTGAGCCCCATTTTTGGCGCGCCAGATGTTGGCGGTTCGGGATTGGGGCGGTCGGGGGGTGTTGCACACGGTGGGGGTATATCTTCTTCCTCAGCTACTTCTTCCTGCTCTGCATCTGCGGATACCCGCGGTGGACGTGCTTCCACAATCCTCGAAATCTCGTCGAATTCTTCCTCGCCCGTCCAGCTCCCAACGATGTCTTCGAGGTTTTCATACCCCTTGGCTTTCGCTATCCTCGACTTCAGCTCGTGTGCATCCGTCTTGGACACCTCTAAGCGTGTACCCTTGAATTGAGTGACACAAAATTTCGTAGAGGCCCAGTGGTTATCCAAGTATTTGCAGAGGCGCATATATGAAGGTGAAAGTGTTGACTCAACATCTCGAAGTGGTGTCGCGGAGAAACACGATGGATTTGACTCTGCTGCAGTTGCAATCATGACCGAGTCTGCGCCTGAACGGTTTATAAGAATATATGCAGTGGTATAACCTCCACGATTAAACTCACCAGTGAGGTCCCTAATGCGCTTTGCGTCTTCCCTTCCTGTACAGTCTCCATTTTGAATTATCGCCACGTCCAAACCCAGCCCCTGCACAAATTCAACGATCTCTCTAAGCCTCTCAACCAATGCTCGTTCTCTCGGCCTCATGTTTCTCGTCCGACAGTGTACTGTGATCGCATTCACACCTGTCTTTGCAATTCTTTCTACCAACTTCTTCGTCTCTTCCTGAGTTGGCAGTAATCTGATCTTTGCCGATACACTGATTTCCCTCGGCAATTCCCTCCTCAGAGCCTCCAATATTCCACAAAGAAGGTCAGGATTCGTCAAAAGAGCCGCGCCCATGCCAGCGTGTGTGCTGAAGGGTTTCGGACACCCGCAGTTGAGGTCAACGCCTGAAACGTCCTGCATGACGGTTTTTGCGGCCTGCACCGCAAGCTCGGGGTCAGCGGAACCGATTTGGTATATGAGGTATGGCTTTTCGAGAGGATGAGTCGTAAACATGGCGCGAGTCTTGCCGTTGTACGAGATGACACCGGTAACAGCTGAAGAACATCAGTTGATCAGTGGAAATGAGACATAGTTCATACATACGGTCAATCTCGCGTTCTGCATGTAGAATAGCCTTGTCTACCATTTCAGGGCCCCAGACAAGCGTCGCACCATGCTTGAGAGCCATTAATCGCGTCGGTACTGTGATTAAAAGCTGCATTAACTCGGATCGGACTGAAAACACAGAACCGGCACGTACGAGCACCAGATCTAACCATTGGTGCGAGAAATATCCCATTTCTGAACGAATCTGGTGTAAGATGGTCGATTCGCGGACGTTTGGGTGGTCGTTCTGAATCACCCTGAGGCCCAGGGGTAGGTGATGTTGAGATTGGGCGACGAGACATCGCACAGGTTAAGAACACGGAGCTCGGTGATACGTGCAAAAGTTTTGAATGTGCTCTGGATGAACAAACAAATCGAGCGAGCATGAAAAATTATACTTACTTGACTTGGCAAAGTAGAAACCGTGCTGAGATGGCCCCGAGATCAATCGGGACCTGAGCCGAGAAGCAACCGACGAGAAGCACACTTTCCACGTGACCGGTTCGCGGAAGGATCTTCCGTGTCAGTTGAGGTCCGAGACTACTTATTGACCTCTCTTATTATCTACGTCTCCATTCATTGAAGTTGCGTTCAAGATCCACGAGCTGACTCAAATAACGCGCAGGATGATACCCACAAATCGAGCAGCAGCCTCCTCCCTCCTACGCTCTTCCACCCATGTTCATTCCATTCCACGGCCCTTGTTGGCCACAGACGTGAGCAGTAGCACGAAATATGCACGGACATTTCAAACGAAGGCTTCTGTTATCGGAGCCATGGTGTGCCAACCTAGAATGCTGGTACAGCCAGCTGTTTCACGAAGAAGATTTGCAACTGCCATTCAGAGTATGTGGTTTTCTTCCTCTGTGTGAAATATGCTCAGTGTCATTTAGATACATTGTCGTCTGAAAGAAAGCCTCACTTTGACAAGATACTTATCGCAAACAGGTAGCGTTCCAGTCTCTCTTATCGCCTAACTTGCCTGACCTGTCCTCAGGGGGGAAATTGCGTGCCGCGTAATCCGTACCGCAAAGAAGCTGGGAATAAAGACTGTAGCAGTATACAGCGAGGTTGACGCGAACTCGCTACATGTCCTGGAAGCAGATGAAGCCTACTGCATCGGCCCTGCGCCTTCAGCTGAGAGCTATGTCCGTTCACAATCCCGCTGATTTAGTAGTCTTCTACTGACGCTGCTTTACCTAGTTACGCATGGACAAGATCATCGGTGTTTGTCATCGAAGCGGAGCTCAGGTTGGTTCAGTCTCAAGTTCTGTCATGTGAGACGGAGCTTGACTTTGAACTTACATTATACCAATCACAGGCTGTCCATCCAGGGTGCATAGATTATTTTCCATGGTTGTGCATGGCAAACTGATGTCACTGTTAGCTATGGCTTCTTGAGCGAGAATGCAAAGTTTGCGGAGCGACTAGCAGGAGAGGGTATCGTTTTCATTGGTCCTCCCTCCGGCGCTATAGTCAGTATGGGTTCGAAGAGGTCGGTTCAAGCATCTTTGATACCAATATAGAGCTAATCTTCCTTCAGCGAATCTAAGAATATCATGTCTGGTATGATGCATCATACAGGGTGCTCCTGAAAGCGTGATGTTTAACCCTTTTGTACAGCCGCCGGCGTTCCATGTGTGCCAGGTTATCACGGCGTGAACCAAGACGCTGACCTCTTATTCGCAGAGGCCGAGAAGATAGGTATGCATCTTCATCCAGCTCTTCCCGAACCTCCCTATTAAGCATGTTATACCACACAGGTTACCCAGTCTTGATTAAAGCCATTCATGGTGGCGGTGGCAAGGGCATGCGTGTCGTCTTATCTGCATCTCAGTTCAAGGATTCTCTCGCTAGCGCACAACGTGAATCCTTGAAAAGCTTTGGTGACGCAGATGTGCTTGTAGAGAAGTACATCGAGCGTCCTAGACATATTGAAGTGCAGGTATTTGCGGATACGCTTGGAAATGCTGTAAGTCTTTGGGAGAGAGACTGTTCCGTGCAAAGGAGAAACCAGAAGATTATCGAGGAGGTAGGTTTGAAAGTTGTACCAAAAGTGTATAGATCGACAAATCTTGATAGGCCCCGGCGCCTGGCTTGAGCCCCGATCTTCGTGCAGACTTATCAGCGAAAGCAGTTGCTGCTGCAAAGGCCGTGAATTATGTAGGTGCTGGGACCGTGGAATTCATTTTCGACAACGATACAGAGAAGTTCTACTTCATGGAAATGTATGCACTTTCTAGTTGTGCGGCACACTACTCATGAAATCTCAGGAACACCCGCTTGCAAGTTGAGCATCCCGTCACAGAGATGATACTGGCCTTGACCTTGTCGAGTGGCAACTGGAAGTTGCGGCTGGTAACCCTCTTCCACTTTCGCAAGCACAAATCCCTCTCGTTGGGCATGCATTTGAGGCTCGGATATATGCTGAGAATCCGCGGAACGATTTCCTACCTGACTCTGGGCCACTATTGTACCTTGACACCCCGAAACCAACCCATATCTTTGCCCCTCCTATCCCATCACTCCCTCACAATGAGTTGTGCTCAGAACTGGACTCGGTGAAGCGGTCACCTGATACCTCAACGCATGTGGCACCGTCGATGCGCTTAGAACAAGGGTTCACGCAGGGCGCACAGATTGGTGTATTTTACGACCCGATGATCGCCAAGCTGGTGGTACACGGACGTGATAGGTCCTCTGCGCTTCGTGCTCTCTGCCGTGCGCTTGAAGAATATAAAGTGGTTGGTGTTTCGACAAATGTTGAATTTTTGAGAATGCTCGCTGGTAATGGCGCGTTTATCAATGGAGAGGTTGAGACTGGCTTCATCAAGGTGTGCCTATTCATCTCGCCGTCTTGTTCAAGATTATAGTGTCCTATGAATAGAAACACTACGAAGACCTTTTCCCAGCTGTCGAAAGTCCCTCTCCCGAGTTATTGGCACAAGCAGCGCTGTTCGTCGCATTACGAGAACATCCGGTTCAATCTACAGGCCTTTCGACACCATGGGCAACACTGACTTCAAGACGCTTTGGCGGAGATGTTTACGAGCGCACCATCTCCATCCAACCCGATGATGCCTCCGCAGATCCCACCCGAGTTTCTCTGAAATCCACATCTCCAGGCCATTTCGACATAGCTGTTCACTCTGCCACACCAAAGACATTTACAGGTGTCTCGGCTCGCCTGGTTTCGCCTACAAGATTGAGCACGACGCTCAATGGATCTTCGACAGAAATGACGATTGTGTCGCAGCGCCCGCCTCCTTCCCACCCCGCATCACGCGCGACGAACACCATGGAACGCCTACACGTGTTCTCAGCGTCGGGAACCAAGACTATGTTAGCCATCCCACCTCCTGCGTACCTCCTCTCCCTCGGCCAGGATGTTCTCACCTCATCCAAGGGCGCTTTGCGTGCGCCGATGCCAAGCTTAGTAGTAGAAGTGAAAGTCAGCATCGGCGATCGCGTTGAGAAGGGTCAGCCAGTGGTAGTGTTGGAGAGTATGAAGACGGAGACTGTGTTGCGTGCTGAGGTAGCAGGTGTTGTAGATGCGGTGGGGTGTGCGAAGGGAGAGATGGTGGAGGAGGGGCGGGAGTTAGTTAACATCAAGGAAGATGAATAGGTGTGGTTTGAGTCCTATTTGTATTTTAGTCAATGGATTTTCGGGCGTAAATGCACCGATGGCGTCTCCACATGCTCTGAACTTGAAATTTCAAGTCGATACTAACCGAGCCTTAGGACCACCTATGAGTCTGACGAAACAATGTGTATGAAGCAAGCTTGTAGTATGATTGAGACACAGCTAGACCCTCCCATACGGAGTCGGACTCTCTTCAATTCTCCCTGCTTTCGCCAGCTGACTTCCGATACCAATCGTATCTTGCAAAAGATCTTCCCCTAGGAGCCTGAGCTCAGCAAGACCTCTCCCATGCTTGCGCTGCGCAGGGGGGATACCAAATACAGTCTCTTCCTGCACTTCCAACCCACCGACATCACCATCAACAGAATCAAAACTATCGTCAAATCCATCCCCATCGTCCTCCACGGCGCGCGCAAATGGATGTACTGCACCGCCTTCGTCGCCGAAGCCCTCTCCGATCGAGTCGATGGAGTGGTTTGAATTCGACGAGCCGAATGAATCGTCCGCATCTTGATTGCGTGCGGAGGCCATTAGGAATGCAGTAGACTGGCTGTCCTGGGTGTGCAGGCTCGCCAAGAGAGTCAGAGTCGGAGTCGGAGTCTGGACTTTGACCAACTGGTTGTAGTGTACTGAGCTCTTCTTGTTGAAAATGGAAAAGGTCAGGGTATGGATCGGGGGTGTGGAGGGCCTGTGGTTGAGAAGTGGGGGCAAGCCGCGCTGTTTCAAGACTTTGGTGAGATCCGACGGAATGTGATTTTGATGTAGAGGTGGATTCGGGTATGCTGAGTCCTGTCTTGCACATTATCCTTGCATAACTTGAGCTCGCATCGTTGCTGTCGTGCTCAGCGAGATAAGTATGGCGAGTATATCGTGTTATGGATGGTGGGGTTGGGATCGTAGACATGGTGTCTTCTGTGCCTTCTGGAATGGAATAACCAAATTTCTTGAAGCCACCAAACCGGTCTACGGTAGCACTACTTCGGACGGAACTGTGATCAGATTGAACATCTCCAAGAAGGTCGCGACGGATACGCTCTGCAGCTTCCTTCTTGGGTGTCCTTCCCAATGCATGATGTAAGTCCTTGCCTGGTGTCCGACCAAGTGGAGGTAGCAGGCCCAGTCCCACGCTAGACCTCGGTCCGCGGGGAAATGCCACCGTTCGTGGTGGTGAAAGACCACGCATGAGTTCTGCGGAATCATCGAAAGAGTCGTTAAACTGATCAAATGATCTATTTGAGTCATCGGATGGTCTCGTTAAAGATGGTATATCTAGCATGGATGACGAATTAGAAGTCGATGACAGCGGGGGGTATGGCTTATGTGGAGAACGCTGATACCGTTGCCTCCTAGGCGACGGCAGCGGGGGGTCTGGATGATTGCGTGGAGGAAGATATGCATGTAGATGTTGTGGGATTGCCATAGGTGTCTTGGGCTTGACTTTCAATGGAGATACCCTTGCGCTAGTCGGGAGGCCACGAGGAGTGGGGAGCACACTGGGTGGAACCCGTGAGGATGAAAAATTGGGACGCGATGCACCCTGTGAGACAGAGTCTTCACGCGAATAATCCCTTGACTTTCCCTTATCTAAAAATTGCTGGACAGTGTTTTCTTCTTCATAAGCAAAGCTGTTGTAGGTAGAATCTTGGCCTGCTGAGGCCTTGCTATCCTCCCCAAGGGTAAAATTCTGGAGCTCGCGATCAAGCCGAACGAGTGGAGATTCTAGTGATGCACTCCAGGAAGGCTGATCATCCACAGTATCATTGCCAGACAGTCCAGTACGAGCTGGGGTAGATGATACTGCATTTGATGGCATGAAAGAGGATTCAGATGCAGTAGAATTTGGACCATAAGTGCGATTGCGATTATGAGAAGGCGTCTCATCATCTTCGGTATCGAACAAAGATTCCTCTGCGTCGGGCCGGGTGGAATTTTCGGCTTGGGATGTTGCTTCTGACTGCTGTTCATGCAAGGAGGAGTATTCCTCATACGTAGGAATATGTACTTGTGCGGCTTTCTCGTAAAACGATGTCCAGAACTGAGATGATACAGTAGGTTTCATCGGCAGCAAAACAGGACAAATCAAACTTACCTTTGCAGCTTCACGAACGGGTTCAGTGCTCACGGCATATCGCTTCACAGCTGGTAGTAGTTTTGTCGCCATAATATTCTGAATCTTCGAGAAATTCGTGTCGATATTCTAACGACTTTATTAGTGTTAGGCGACAAGAAGCACATAATTAACACTACCTGAAGTTTAATGGTTATCAGCTGTTCGATCTGGTCGATCTGGTCATTTACAGATGCATTAGTGTCGAGACCTGGAACATCTATGGATCCAGGATCAGCGCTAGCTTGCCAGCGCGGAGGATTCGGGATGATGCTCATCGTCGCGGATATCTGAGACGCGTCTTGTCACGTGTGACATATACGTGCTTCATGTCACGCTCATTTGACCAGCCAACTTTGACGTAATCAGAGAGTCCGAGGATCTAGAGTCTACTACGTCTAAATGCTCTTGGCTAGAATATTCTAAATCTTGCATAATTATTAGGCCTTCAGTTATAGCCCTTCTCGTCTGTCTCTCGTTGTTTATATCCTCGATACTCTGGTTCCTCGTCTTCTTTGAGCTAACAGGTCGGCCCAGAGATTCACTGTACTAGTCACTAATATCTTCAACGGGTTTTACGTGCGTAGTTTGAAAATTTTGAAACTACAACGTACGTGAGCAGAGCAGTTCTAGAATCGTAGCTCCCAATCGCAACGTTAACTGAGACCGAAAGAATACAAATGTATACTCCAACATAGGGGACGTGCGATACGTACTCCTGCTAATGCGGATTCGATACACCGATTTCGAACATCGAAGTTCGAACTCGCATTCAATGGAAGTGCGTTATCACATGCAGGTGGGATACCCCATGATTGCTCAACGTTCAACGTTTCACGCAGCCAAACATTGTCCCACCACCGTGGCTTTCTACCAAGAAGATTCAACAAATAATCTACCTGCTTCTGGAAGGGGATGACAAGGTAGTCCGCTTCGTCATCAGAGTGCACACAACTCCCTGTCGGCATTCACATGCTCGGGAGGCGCATCATCTTGTTTGGGCTGGAAGAACATCTCTATAGTAAGAGAACCAATTTTGTCAGCCCAGCAGGTATGCTGAAATCCTCTCAACCTTTTTTGGTAAGAGGCTCGAGAACATCTTCAGGATAGTGCACGTTCTTATGAGCCACTCATGGGTGTGCCAGAAGCAATAATATTGCTTGTGACGGTTCCTGTGTGTACAAGAGAAATTGAGCCTATGAGGACGACGAGAATCTGAGTGGTACGAGGGGTGGATGGGTTGACTTCGATTTAGTGCGCAACCTGAAGTTATGTCAACTTGAGCTGCGAGCGAAAGTGGTAAAGCAGCTGGCTCACCCTCGTTGCATCGATTGACGGATAAGTTCAGATGCAGACATCTCAATAAAATTAAGGTGAGACTCGAAGTAATATTTGACAAGCGAATTGAAGGCTGTCACCGTCAGGGTTAAATGAATCAACCTGAACGATGTCTTTAAGTACTTACATGTGTACATACTTCTCTTTCGTACTACAACGAAAATCTCGAAGGGATGCATAACGTTAACAAAATCAAGTTTCATCATCAAGACTAGTCTGCCCAACCACATTTGTACAAACCTGAAAATCCCGCAGAATGTCTCGCAGATAATCGTTTTATGTTACCCTATGACACCTCGAACAGTGTCCTAAGCCGTCGATAGAAATCGCCCGACATGAGGTCTGCGATAGCAGAGAGATTGACAGGGACATCAATATCATCCTCTTGGCAATCATAACGATGAAGATCTTCATCATCCTGTCCTGCTCGCGCCGCTCTGCGTCGATGCAAGAATGAAAATTGAAGGAGCTTGCGAGCCAACGACATGGAGTATTGCAAGTGTCAAGATCGGTTTTGATTTTACTCTCGAGGTAGAGCAAGTGTATTCGGTCCACGTGATAACTGCAGATTTCAAACCCACACCGTGGGCAGAAGAGATGACTGAATATATGTGTGGCCAAGTCCGACGAGAGATTATTGACCGCAGTGAAAATTCCCTTGGGAAGAGCGCGCGACACAGGTTCAGTTTGAAATCACGATACCAATGATGGTAGCCGAGGCGTGTTAAGTGACATGCTGGTGCTCTCTGTAGACATTGCAGGCGAATCCCCTGGGTTTATGTTGCAAGAAAGAGTGCGAACGGCCATCTGCACTGGGGTGGGTTGGGTTGTATGCGCGTCTTCGTTGGTGGTGTGAACACACAGGAAGTACAAGTGCAGCAATGACGATAAACTAAGACAGCCTGCACGTCATTATGAGCTTTAGACGATCATGAAGGGGGTGCAGGTAGACTCAACAGAACATGATAAAGTAGCTGTATTTTACATAACAATAGTGGTGAAGTTAGTCACAGCAACAGTCATTGGGTCTTTTCACTGCACTGTGTAGTAAGCTTGGAGTGGTATCAAACAACAGCCAGAGGAAGTTCACCTGTTCACGCAGCCCAACAAGGTGATTCATGGTGCGAGCTGAGCTAGTATCAAGGAGAAAAGAACGATATATTCAATGAAGCACAACTAGCGTCGTGTGCGTAACATAACGAGCATCCTACTGGTAGTACTCACGAAGGCACAATTCCTAATTCAACCAAACTACAGCATGTGAGCATATCCGTCCCACACACTATTTGCGTGTACATATATTATACGTCTGCACGCGGTATTATGAGGTGGGATGATTTGATATTGCACCGAAAAACCACTTCAGGAGCTGCAATGGGCAATGCGGCGCCTGTACACAATGGTGCGTTGATCGAGGTATTGGGATTACAGCGGCACGGCCAAGAGAAAGAAGCAGGAGAAGAAAAATAAAACAGAGATCTGACTCGCGACTCACGGGGAACTGTAGATGGAACGCGTTTCGAGGAACGATCGACTTTACTACCATCAGATTATCTGGTTGGGTACCACTGGAAGAAAAAAAACAAAGGCAGAGCGCTCGAGACTGTTACACATAACTCGGAAATTAGTGCTGTGGAGAAGAGGAAAATTTAAAATTTATTGAAGATGGAGTTTTGTTTGCACATGTTGATCTATAGCCCTGCAATCGCAACGATGTCCGCATGCACAGATATCGTGATTGCGTCTTGGCATCCGAGATTACAATGTAACAATCATGTTTACTTCGCCGATCAGCTTGAAGCATTGATCTACGCATGGGTTGGATTCATTATTGATCTGGAACCAACATCCGTTCCAACATTTCCAAATGGAAAGATCATTCGCCAGGGTTTGGGGCCTTTTGGCTATGTCAGCTTGTACTATGATTACGGGAACCGCGCAATCATCCCGCGCATGAGAATCGACATCTATCGTGATAATCATGTGAATGTCATTAATCAAAAAAATCACCTGCACCGAGCGCCGCTACGATGTAAAATACTTCAGTGAGGAAATTTTTTGTAATGCGTGTGTCTGAATAAGATAATCCCCAAGGATTAAAAGAGTATGAGCTATGGGCGTGGGCCAACTAATAATAATTTATAAATCCTGTCATCTGCTTAGAGTGCAAGACCACACTGCGACTGAACATAACGTTGCATCAGTAATAAATTGATAAAATTCACTAAAACCGTTTCAGGACTTACTGGATTCTCGGGGTACTCAAGAGCGGAGCTAGCATTCGATAATCTGTTATTCTTGGGATCATCCCTCAAGTCAGCGGACAGGTATTCTTTCCCCTTGCCCTTGTCCCTGGAATGGAACGGATACGGAGATGTGATGGAAACAGTCTCGTAGCTGTCACTGCCCCCAGAATCATCACGGAACTTTTGCCAGGACGTTTCACGTAAAAATGGATTGATGATGGAGGACGAATAATTGAATGGCGTGACTTGGGGACGGGACTGCGTGGGCGTTCGGAGGTCCTGACTTGATGAATCATCGTCGTCTTCATCACCTGGAAGCGCATTGAAACTCCGAATTGCTTTTGGCGTGGGGAGATCATTATCTACAGGGCTTACAGCCGCCGCCAAAGACGCTTTTAGCTTTAAGAACTGACGAATATTCATTGGAGCTTGTGCGGCGTTTTCAGATGAAGCTGGGACCGCTTGACAGATTTGTGGTGCACGAGAGGCCACAAAATAACGAGGATCGACGCCATCAAGGAACGGGTTCACGGGGGGAACAGGGAATGCCGAAGGACTTGGTGTGGGGCTATAGCATTCTTCATCATTATCCATAATAGCGTGAGCCCCCGCGTCAAGCATGGTAGCGGCGGTATGGTATGAGTGGAGATTCATGCTTGATTGAGAGCCGATCGCAATACCTATACCGCGACTCGAGCTAGATTGCTCATCACTAGATGCGTAAAAACTCTGTGCGCTCGCGAAACTGCCTTCTGATTCGTTGTATGAAAATATGTCGCCATTGTTCGACTCCCTGTCGAAGTTCTCGTGCAATGCTGACCCAGACAAACTACGAGAGAATTTATGCGGGGAACTGGCAATTGAGGGGTGAAGGAAGGCCGATGAGCCAAATGAGTTCGAGGCCTGATGCAGGTCGCCACGACTCTCGCTCGCACCTTGCTCTCCTACCACAGAGCTGTACGTAGGACTGAAAGGGTGATTCTCGCGCATTGTCGTTGCTTCTGCTGGAGAGTATGGCGCGTTAAGATCACTACCATAAAGTTGCTGCTGGGCCCGCGAACGCCGCCTGCGGCGAATGAGATAGTATACTGCAATACCGAGAAGCAGAAGTACTAGAACTCCGCCCACAATCCCTCCAATGATGAGGGCTTCATTTGACCTTGATTCCAGTGGGTTCTATGCAATGTAAAACGATTAAAATGACGTACCTGGTTCCCGAAGTTGGTACTGGAGTTGTAGTACGAATCACGGACGTCGATGTCGATGTCAGGGTCACGAGCGTTGAGGTAGACCCAAAACAGGAGTATGTTATAATAGTGGAGGTACCGATCGAAGTATAGGTGATCGAATAGAACGTATCCCCACTGTGTGTAATGAGCGATGTCGTGCTTATGACATTTTTTGCAACTCCAGCGAAGCTTAGAATCACACAATAAGGTCAACACATTTCGGTCATAGCTCTAATGACTTACGGTGAGTGAAGAGTAGTGGAAGACGGGTTGCCTACGGGATCGTCAGAGGGCGTAGGTGAATATGTGGATGAGACTGTGAAACCATTCCCAGTCGTAATTGAAGTGTTGACAGGGCTTCCCCACGGAGATTGCGGGATATGGGAAGATTGTGCACCTGGCACTGTTGTTGGAGAGCCTCCGGGGAACGTGGTTGGTAACGTGGGAGTTGGTGAATCAGCGGAACTAGTCTGCGAGGATTGCGGAGTAACGTTTTGGGGATTATCTGAGGTTGACTGTTGGCTGGATGTCTGTTGTCCCGGAGTGGAAATATTCGTGACCGACGTTGTAGATGGAGAAGAGGTTCTCGTGGTCAATGTTTCCGGTATGGATGGTAGAGAAGTTGGTGTAGATGAAGATGGCGAGGTGAGTATGGATAAATTAATACTTGGCGAAGTCGGTATCATTAATTGTGGCGAAGTCGGTATAGTCAAGGGTGGCGGGATGGATGTGAATGAAGGCAAGGCAGATATGACCGAAGGCAGCGAGCTCGGCAGTTTTATTGAGGGAAGATCTCTTGGACTAGGCCAAGATTCCTCACTAGGAGGTGAAGGACTAGTATCTGACGAGACGCTCGTAGTGGAATCACTATTTGAAGGGTCGAAAGTAGTAGGACTGTTTTGAGAAGTCCGACCCGTGCTTACAGGTGGCGTTAAAGTGGTAATTCCGTCACCTGGCGGTGGCCCATTTGTCGATGCTCCTCCACCAGTGCTCATCGATGAGTGTGAAGAAGGCAAAATGGATGTTAACGTATCCGTGCTCGCCTCTGACCCCTTATAATTAGTTGATAAGCCATCTGACCGTGCCCTTATGGTGCTCGTGTTAGAAATTCACCAGATTGCTATGATGGATAAAGATAATGGAACGTACAATGATGAGAATGGCGTGCTTATTGAGGCGCTGGGGATTCGTCTGGATGTCTGTGATGAAATAAGTTTATGTTTTGCAAGACAAAAGAGCACTCCGTACCGCCGGTAACGATAACGGACTCGTCGACGATTGTATACTCTGCTGATTCGTGTGTTGGGTCCTATCTGATGAGTAGCTGGAGGACGAATCTGAGGTTGGTGGAATAGGTAATCCTGCAGCTGTAAACGTAGGTGAAGTTCCCGTGGGGAGAGGATTGAAAGTGCCACCTCCAGAAGACGCAGAACGAACAAAGGGCCCTCGAATGGTCATACGAAAGAATGGGAACGAGGATGCGAAAGCCACTTTCATATCAGTCCATTCGCGGGATAATATCTACTTTTGCAAGCGACATAGTGAGTGCGGTGTAGGCTATCTGTGTTGCCCCTTGATGACGAGCGGTAACGTTCCGAAAGATCGATGGGCTACCCCACGGGAAGAACCAGTGTCGGCTCGTTCGTATAACGTGATACCGCCAAGATGTCTGAGAGTCGACATTTTTGTTCCAAGGGAGAAGCCTGAGGCTGGCTGGAACGCTCGAGAATTGCATGCAAATAAAGTTGTGGCAGTGATCCGGATTGCAATCAACATCATGATGCATATGTTACAGCAGGACAGCAATACATCACCGATCCAGGGAACAATCCACAACGAACACTACGCAGAACATGTGTCATGCAAAAGCTTATTCGTTGTCAAAGATGAGTTATGCGCTTGCCTTCAAAATGCTAAAGTAGAGCAAGAAGCTTGGGAAGGTGTTATCATCGATTATGCTTATCGAAAAGTACTGTTGTTCCTTTCGTACAAAGTTGTCAGCTGAGGTTGACCAAATGAGATCTTCAAATACCCACAGAGAAAAGCCGCAACGTCCACATGAAGGAAAGAATAAACTAAAATAAGAGTCCAACCGTCAAAGATTGCATAAGTGCCGTGTATTAATGAAGCTCTACGCCGGTGCTAGTGACTGATCAAGTTCGCGAAGAACAGTCTTCCATACAAACTAGACAAAAGTGCACCCCGATTGAGCCTAGCTCCGAGGCCCTTTGTAGTGTTTTGAAATGGCCCGGGTTCAATCATTATCGATTGATCACAATATATGGGAGCGTTGATTGCAGTGCTATACTAGTGCGTGAAGTCGTTCTACTGTGAGAAGCATGCCAGTGGGCGAGCGCGTGCGCGTTGGTGCGGGCTTGGGGTTGTGGGCGGTCCTGACGTCTTTACGTTGGGTTCAAGCGGCGCCAAGGCAGTCGCTAGTGTCACCCCCTAGAAGGCAGCGATAAGTTATCGATATAGAGAGAAGATACTTGCGATGGTTCTAAAGATACCGGGAATGGCTCCCCTGAACCATAGAAGTAGCGGGTCCTTCGTTCGGCAGGAGGCTTTTCCCATGAACAGTAGACGAATGATTATCTTGCTCGCCATATGGAAAGCGTAAAGTGCATGTCGGGGAGTTTTGAAGAAACCGACGTGTGACAGACTTGACATCGGCGGTCGGACATTTCCAGTGTATATGTAATATAACAATCCTCCCGCACCAACTCGAGTCTAGTAGCTCTCCGCGGGATACTATGAGGCGTTGGCCTGGCTCCGAGTCGATGTTTTTACTTAATATCGCTCAGGAAGCAAAGCTTAAGGTAACCGTATATAGCGGTGTGACAAGACAAAATAAAATGAAAGAAATTCAGAGAAAATATCCACGTGCGAACCTTCTTTTGGAAGCGCTTGTCGTCGCGACCTAGCCTCTTGTTAGCTTTGTTGCACTTATAAAAGCCATTTCTCAACCACGATTACATTTTCGGCTTTCTCTTTAGACCATCCTTGTCTCTGTGCCCGTCTTGTGGTAGTCCACGACAATGGCTCGGCCTCTGGAGCCAAACCGACGCCGATCCCTTTCCGATCCACTGGCTGCTGCGCTCATGCCCCCTCCAAACGAGAGTGCTGCAGATCGTGAAAGGAGATTGGAAGCAGAGTCAGAGGCCAAGCGCGTCAGCGATGGAATTGATGAAATGCTCCGTGCAGAGAAGAAAGAGAAGAGGACCAAACCTGAAATTAAGGTCTTGATTCTGGGGCAGAGCGAGAGTGGTAAGAGTACGACTTTGAAACGTGAGTCTTCGTCATCTACTTCGTTTCTTTATTGTTTTATGCGAAAACGAGCTACGAACATAATAAACCGTCGCTACAGTTTGGGGATATGTTGTTGGTTTCACCACATCATGTCTGGACCTTATACACTACCGGGTGGAAATCCATTGGCACGAATGTGTACTTGGTCAAAAGAACCTTCATTTTGGGTTTCGTTCGCGCAATACTATACGTTTCATGAAACCGCACCCCTCAGCATTTACGCATTAGGATGTCTGGGCCGCACTGACTTATCTCATCCAGAATTTCAATTAATGCATGCGACTGCTGCCTTCCATGCTGACCGAATCGCATGGAGAGCTGTAATATATCTTAACCTCGTGCGATCCGTCCGCCGGTGAGTACCGTCATTACTTCAAATTTAGCAGCATGTGTGATAACAACATCTAATTACAGCATCCTTGACGCTGTTTCCCCTGAATCAGACGAAGCAGAGGATCAAGAGACTGTATCTGGTCGTACAATCTCCTTTACTAGTCAGTCTTCCGTGATTTCTGCGACTAGGGTCCTCAAGTACCCCCAATATCGCCATGCATTGGAACCTCTAAGGGAGCTAGAGGAACGTTTGATCAGGATGTTATCATCTCCGAATGAAGACGAGCCTACCCACACTGCCCCAAGGCCTGATTGGAGTATCTATGCAAACGGTAACTCTAATACCCAAGTTACTGTTGGCAAGAACGGCCGACCCGCGCCATTCATTACCATACCCCCCTCACGGACATCCTCCCCACTTTCGCCCTCAACGAGCCTCCCTTCTCCTGGTGGGTCAAGCAACAGCTCGTCGAAATCAAAGAATGTGGAAGTTAGCGTTCATCATACCTCAAACTGGAAAAAGGCCTTTTCCCTTGGCAATAGGATCAAGAGTCCTAAGAGTGCACACACGAATGAGATTGAGGGCTGGTGGGACGATCCAAGCGACCCTGTTCATGTGCTCAATTCTTGCGCTCAGCCGATGCTGGCATTATGGAAGGACCCCAGTGTCAAGCAACGTCTACGGGAGAAACGGATCAGAGTAGAAGAGGGCAGTGGCTTGTGGGTGTTTTGTATCTGATATCGGATTTCTCTTGACAACAAACAGCTTTTTGGACGAAATATCCCGTATCACCGCTCTACGGTATTTTCCGAGCGACCGTAGGTCAATTGGCTATCTAAAAACATGCCATTTCTAATATTTGTTTAGAGGATGTCTTGAAAGCCCGGCTCAAGACCACGGGCGTCGTAGAGCACTCCTTTTCAATTGCTGATTCCCAGCGCCGGTTAATCCCATGGAAAATTTATGACGTAGGAGGTGCCCGAAATCAACGGCACGCTTGGGCGCCTTACTTCGAAGATGGTAATTATGAGTCGTTTTTATGACGATCATTCATTGATATCACGATGCAGTAAATGCTATTATTTTTCTGGCACCTATCTCTGCTTTCGATCAGGTATTAGCAGAGGTCAGCGGGTGATTGCTCATCTCTACGTGACATACTGATACATTATGCAGGATCCAGAGGTGAACAGACTAGAAGACTCCGTGTTGTTATGGAAATCTGTCGTATCAAACAAACTGCTTGCGCATGTCAGCATCATTCTTTTCCTGAACAAGGTCGATCTTTTGCAGGTCTGTTGTTCATTGTTTGCAAAGCAAGGTAATGATGCTGATGATACTTAAGGCAAAGCTCAAGAGCGGTGTCCGACTCAGCCACCATATGCCGCGCTATGGTGACAGACCAAATGATTACGAAAATGTATCTTCATGTAGGTGGTAACGGTCTTTGCCATGGGAGTACTTCTCAAGTGATTGATTCTGTGTAGACTTTTATAACAAATTCGGGAGCATTCACCAAACATTCTCGTCGAATAAAGAGAGGGAGTTCAAGAGTAGGCAAACCTTTATATCAGAGGATTCGCTTCTTACGCCCCATGACAGTTCATCTTACGTCAGTGACTGACACCAGGCGGACAGCCACGATCATACAGAATGGTTCGTGATGTTTTGTCCTCAAGGGCTGATTACTTACTACTTTGCTACAGTACGAGATATCATCATTACCGTAAACTTGAAAAACATTCATTTGATGTAACGCCTTTTACCGCTCTTTTTCCGAGGCGTCTAAAATCATTCCTTTGACGGATTTCTACATTATCCGCGTACTATTATGCCCTCTCTTTATTCATCTGTTATTCGCAATTGTTCGTTCCAAGCATCCCCCCCATGAGTTCTAATACTGTTCTTCTATCTCATATTCAGACCTTTCAGATTGTATACCATGCGTCCCAGCATTACGATTGTTGACTTAGTATTACAGATTTACCATACCTTTCCGCTAATTAGATCTTTCATACCAGTATTAACAACGTTCGACTACTCTTACCCTTCACCCAAATGCCAAATGCGACGAGATGCGAAGAAAGGCGTTAATATTGACATCTACCTCACACGTTACACGTCGTCAGTTTTTCCATTCAAGTCACATCCAACATCCAACATGCGCGGCGGCCGGGCTGGGCCGTCCCCCAACTTACAGACCAGACATTGCCTATGATAAGTCATTTGAATTTCGTTCAAACTTGAAGTAATCAGACATTCTGATTGTGTACCAATGTAGTGAGAAATTGCACTGAAATTATGATAGTACAAAGCAGTGAGGTACATTCGAGTGTATCCTGAATTCCGAGCCTATGATTTTTGCGTGCAGAGCACTGACATCTGGATAGTAGAGACGACTGGACTTCCTCGTTGGTTGCCCGCTTCAGGACAGTCATGAAAAAATCTCAAACGGCCCTATTTTTCTGCCCTCCATCGTGTTGTCGTTGGGTTTGTCGATGAGCAGGTCCAGGTTTGTTGAACTTTGTTCGTGTGATGGGTATTCTGCAGCGCGCTTAAATCAGTTTACAGGTATCACAGGCATGATATTGCATGAATATGATATGAAGACAAGCAAAGCTACAATTGCGGCACGATACTCGTCCACGACACCGCCAGGAGGAAGATTACGTATGGTGGTGAACATAAGCATCAAGAGCATGAGATGTCCTCCGATGTATGACGTGATACATCCTGCAGTAAACAGGTCCATGAGGCATCCAACTTGATCCAAGTAAGACTCCAGCAATGGGTGTGCCAGTTTTAATAACAGCATTGATGCGCCATAGGCCCTAATCTAACTGTGTGGGGAAGGCTGAAGCTAAAATACCAAGCAATACGATGGACCCTGTCGAAGATCGTTGCCATAAAGATTGCAGCAATTGAAGGAACATAATTGTCCGAGTCCTCTAGTTGGATGCTGCCATCAAATTTTCGAACTCGCTGCTTTCGGAATGTGGACAGGTCAAGGTCGGGGAGGCCAGCATTTCGAAAGGCGATACGAAGAACGCAGAAGCGATTTGCAGAAACACAGGGAGGGACTCTTGAATATCTTCAACCCTGAGGGAAACATAATCAGTAGCGGCACAATGATTGACCGAGGCAACAACATACTCATGAAAGTAGTCCCTTAGTATTGACGTAGTTGACTTCTAGTACCTGGGTAAGGGTCATTGTACATTGAGAGGCTTATTCCGCCACGTAGGCTAGGATATGAGGGATTTGAGAAGCGCAAAAGCAAGTTGTCGGTCCGGTTCGAGCGGATTTTCGTTGAACTCGAACTCGAACCTACTTAGTAGTTATATGCTTCCTCGTGGGTTCGCCAATGGACCGGTGGAGTGGGTACCTCTGCAGCGGGGGGTGGTACAGGCGGGTGTTTGCCACCATTTGCGTGGAGCCTTCGGGTGTTGTCGTAGGTAGCATTATCATTAGGTCGGGCCACACCAGGTTCCATCTGCCAGAGGCAGGTAGCGGAAGTTCAATTTCGATTGCACTCAACTCAGACGTTTTCCCCCCTTCCCTGAATCCATGACTTCAATCCCAGCGCTATGGTCATAATCCGCCGCACTTGCGGATGAGTTGTTTCAGACTGACTCGGAATGTCCAAATTCTGCAACCGCATCGAATTTACACAATGCTAGGAACTTTTAGAGTTGCGTCACATACGTTGTCTTAGGATCAGGCTAGAATCTCATTTCTGCAGTGATTTTTGCCGGTTCTGCGAGCTCCCCTACATTAGGTGGCGTCGGGATAATGGTGGGCATAGTTTCAACTTTTTTAACAGGTGTCAACCCCCACACCCTGGTGTCGTCCCTCAGGGCCTCAGCTGCAACTTGAAGTGGTTTAGCTGAAAATTTGAATACTGTAGGGTTTTGCAAGATTGCCGTGCTCCGCGACACTAGAAATAATAGACAAAAGACAATACAGCCGCCAGCCAAGCAAGACATGAAATCTTGCACAAAGATAGACTGTATATTTTCAATGTGAAAACGGCATGGCAACGTTTTTCACGTTTACGCTACTTGATCACATATGTTGACGATCAGATGAGCACTGTCATGGCCGAAGTATTCACCACTGTATACGTGTATGTGAAGTAGGCTAATTCTGACCTGGGCAGGTATATAAATTCTGCTGGAAGCTCTGGACTGGATCTGTTATTCCCGGTACCGCTCAGAGTGTGGTGTGATATCCATATGGCTATCAGACCGCAAACCCTAGCCTTCCACTGGTTCAGGCAAGCTACACGCTTCATATTTGGGCCCAGGGTGGCCCTAGCGCATTCCCCACGCCTGGTTATCTGGAGCCAAACAGCGAGCTTGAGTTCGCTATGTATACGCCACAGGCATACACACCTTTGAATAGTGGTAAGTCTGCGTTCGCCCATGCTAGCCGTTGATCTTATTTTTGAATACACTCAGGGTGGCAATGTGCCGGATGCTCAGGAGCATTACCCCAGCTCAAAATAAACTCGGCTCTTCCCGGTGTTGTCGCAATGATTATTATAATGCTGCTCTCTGGGTTCACTACCCTTCGCCGCGTTTTGGATTGATTGGAGTTGACCTATGATTCCTTAGGTCTGGTTTCTGGGGAGTCGTAGAGGATGGTCCCATTTGATTGACATTTAATGGATTATTATGGTTTGTAATTGGACTGGACATTTACATCACATGTAGACTTCATACTCATTGTTTGGCACGATATATACGGACAGGTAATGATGTTACACTTAGGTTACCATCAGAACTTTTTGCTGATGTCGTTATACACAGTACTACTGTCATTGATCGAAGCCTATTTTACCTGGGCAGCTTGGACACTAATGGCATGTTCGTGTATTGCTTTGCCTATCGCGCTGTTTCTTGAATGAAACTGGAAGCCTATTCCCGATGCATTACCGCTACCCTGACCCAGCCACATACTACTACCGAACTTTCAGCGCAATTTGCGCCAGACTGACCTATTGGCGTCCAAAGGCGTGTCCGCAGGTGCATGGGTTTTTTTCCTTGGGTGCCCCTCTATGCTCGTAATATGATCTGGGAGGGAGCTGTTCAACGACATTTCTGGAGGACTTCAGTCGGTGACTCAATTCGCTTATCAGTGTGACCGCTGAGGCGTCTGCTTCGGATAACTACGGGTATAGTTTTCAACCTTGATTTTTGAGGAGCATGGGTTCGTGGCCGACCATTATTCGCATTCGTTCTCTTGACTGATCTCACCTTCCTTGTTATCGTTATCAGGGTTCCTACCTGACCCTTGGCAAGTCATGGAACTCCGATTCCATTCGTAAAAAATACAGCTCAAAATCCGTTGTGGCGTCGAAACTTCTACCGGCGCATTGCATGTAACGTAAAGCTGTGACGGAGCAGGCGCTACGGATAAGAGTAGATAGGTATAGTCACCTCAGCCTTCATAAATATTTTCCTGAGGACATCATAGAAACACGCTGGTCCTATCCAGTGATACTGATCTACCTTTTTGACACCATGGCCAGTGTGGCTACGTAGTACCGACCGACGGTCGCCCGGTGTCTGGGTTCAGGATTTGAACGGCGTAGATATCTCGTAACAGTTCCAGAGAGCTCTCGGAAAGTCCAATCTGGGTTGCACCACAGTCCAACGAAGGTTTCGGTTTGCAAGACTGCCCCAGGCCCTACCCCCATGGGGAACTTATGTGACACAATGACCTAGTTCATCACGTTGACAGTCCGGTAAGCATATGTGCCGGCCTATCACTTCATTTCAATGCTCATATAGGTAGATCATTCAGGCCCATTCCCGATACTATCAAGAAGACGAGCTAGATCGGCGACTATGTACCATATCAAGCTCTTATCACAGCAGAAGCTGTTAGAAAGAAGACGCGCCACAAAAACGATATAGGAAAGACATGTTAGCTAACCTCCGACTAACCAAATTTTCTCGTTTTTCACAAGGCTGACCCTACCTTTGCAGCCTAACGCTGACAGAATCATGGTCACACCTGCCGGCGTCGGATAATCACAATATACCGCATTCATTTATTGCGGATGTATATGTGAAGTCAGCCGATTCTGACCTGGGCACGTATATAAGTTCTGCTGAAAGCTCTTGACTGGACCAGCAACAATTCGCCCCTCTTTCAACTTTTGCACTCCTCATCAGAAACAATATTTCGGAAGTTATGGATGCTCGCCCAAAGATGATATACCTCCCAGACACTATGGTTACCTGGCCCTGGCCTCGTACCATCAATCCTCATTACAAAGATGTGAAAGCTGAAGTCGATGCTTCATTCCGTGATTTCAAGGCACTGAGTCCTGAGTTGCAAGAAGCATTCGACAAATGTGATAACGGTTCGGCCTATCTCACGAGCCCTCAATTCTGACGATGATTAACACATTTTTGTAGCCCGCCTATCAGCACTGGCTTATCCCAACGCACCAAGAGGTTCGTACTCTGGCAATTAAATCACCGCAGAACCCTGATTCCGTTCCTGAACACAATAGAACACCGTCGAAGCGGGTGTGACTTGTTGAATTTATTATTCATTGTGGATGAGTACACCGACATCGAGAATGAAGCAGTCACGAAGGAAATGGTGGATATCGTGCTCGATGCCCTACACAATCCCCATAAGATACGACCAGAAGGCGAATGCATTCTCGGCGAAATCGCGCGACAGTGAGTGCTTCTGAATTTTTTGACGATCATCTGAAGCCCGAGCGGTTTTTGCATAGATTTTGGGCTCGTGCGATTCGATCCCCAAGCCTGCCTTCTCAACGTCACTTCCGTGAAACCTTCGAAGAATACATTAATTCAGTAATTGTCGAGGCCCTCGACCGTGAGCAAGACCGGAAGCGCAGTCTCGATGACTACCTGAAGCTCCGGCGCAAGACTATTGGCGCAAAGCCTTGTTTCCTAATAACAGAGATGGGGATAGACCTTCCTGATGAAGTGTTCTACCATCCCGTCATCATGGATCTTGCTGATTGCATCACAGAGCTCTTGATCATCGATAATGTAAAGGGATATTGAGAACTTCATAGTTTGCGGTGTGCTAACATCTTTCACAGGACATGATGTCGTACAACAAGGAGCAAGCGGCTGGGCACGAATTCCATAATCTGATCAACATTGTCATGTTGGAACTGGACCTCGACAGAGGCAGCGCGATGGCTTGGGCAGCACATTATCATGCTGAAGTTCAGAAACGATTTATCGACGGTCTTGCGAAGGTTCCTTCATGGGGACCTTCCATCGACGTCCTAGTCAAGGAGTACCTTGACGGAGTAGCAAACTGGGCTCTAGCAAACTATTTTTGGAGTTATGAGGGTCAAAGGTAATGACAGTTTCTCGTTGGTATGAACCATCACTTAACCCGATTGAAATTGCAGGTACTTCGCCGCCAAGGGCCCGGAAGTACAACACACTAGGCTTATCCCGTTATTGCCAAAGGTCAGCGCCGGGCGCTCACAACTACTATATGCAGCTCCTTCCGCATGAGCTGGTCCTGACTTTTCTTGCACTTCGTTGTGATTAAGCTACAATAGATATGCTTTCGCACTGCCGCTCGCAGGTGTTACTCTCGTCTTTTCATTTTTCTACCTTCCAGTTGATTAGAAAGTTGAAGTGATATGCCATTCCCATTCGTGTAATAATAGTTTAGTTCTCTGAACATTGACCAGGTTTTGCAATCACTAAATGTTAGCAAAGACGTCCCGAGGCTGTTTGATTAATACCGTCATCTACCTGAAACATTACATGGCGTCAATAATTTCCTTCAGTTGTACTTCATCTAGTATCGCAAATCCTTTCTGTGGCGTGACCTGTGGCGAAGTTGGTTACGAATATTTGAGAGAGAACGTAGGGAGACACATGCCTGTGCCAACTGGACGTTGTGGTGGTCTAGTTTCTCCTCCATGACTTGCTTTAGAACTCGCAGCGTCAGTTTTTGCGCCTCAAGCAACGTCATTTGCTGTTCAATTGTGTGTTTAATACCAAAAAAAACACGTTCAAGAAATGAGAATTATACCTTATGCCACTTGTCTTGTAGCTCGCTTTGTGCTGCTTCTGAGCCTGACCCTATGGCTTTTGCATTATACCGCATGAAGGTGCCCGAGGGATCCGTGTGGTATCTACAAAGGGTCCGTATGGGATCAGGTTGAACAAGGCTATCCACTCGATTGCACTCACAGTTGTGGTCCCAGTTCGTCGACACCAGCAACAAGCAGCGCAACACCAAACGGCCGACTCATCATCGCCTCTTCGTCGTGCACACTCTCACCAAATCGCAATGCCAGATCACACACAGCCTGAGTGACACTCTCCACTTTAATCTTCTCGTCATAAGTAAAAGCGTGGTTCTGGGCGGTGACGCGTGCATGGTCAATCATTGTGCGAGCGTCAGCTGTGAGGCCTGACATTGCGCATCCTAGATGGGTATCGATTTCCATAATCTTTTCTATGGAGCTTGATTCTAGGAGTGGAGATTGAACGCGCTTCTCAACTGCGAGGACTACGCCGTCCGGAGTGCGTACGCCAACTGTTGTCGATCCGAGCTGAGGAATATGAGATATGAGTTGCCGTGTTGTACGATATTATGCGTACCTTGATAGCTTCGATAGCATATTCGACTATATCCTTTCAATAGCAATTTCAGAATGTCGGGTTATCTAACGCACCTTGGAACAGCCGACCTTCTGGGGAGAATGTGTTGACACCACGATCTGCAAATACGATGAGATCTGCCATATGACAGCGTTGAGCCCTCAGAATTAACATACCGTACTCGGAACGCGTCAAGAACATGGTTTACAGGTAGTAGATAAGTGGAAGTATGAGGGGTTCTAGCAGGCTTTAAGTGCACTTGTCGACGCGCGTCGGTCAAGCTGGCTGGCGTGTGGAAAACAGTTTCCATTTGCGGATTTGTGTTGGTACTTCAGCGTTTTTGGTTTGTACTCTAACCTGCATCTCGAAAAAATGATTGACTGATTCCAGACTACCCTTTTCTATGCTTTACTGTCCAGTCTAGTGGCGTTGACAACTACTGGGTATCCAAAAGGCTTCATTTTAGCCCGGCTGAACATTATCGTAACATCATCGACAGATTCAGGTGGCAGCTGACAGCTGCTGATATCTCAACCCAGCTCCCACAATCGACAACTTGTTACGAGAGGCGAGTATCTCTGATGATGACCACTCTTGGTCCTCGTAAGTCTGGATCTCACCTTGCGCTGTATGTTCCATACAGCATATGAGAAGGTACGCGCGCCCATCTACAAAGCGTGTTATTTATCATCTTCTACTTATCACCAGATACGTTGATCATAGCACCCTCTTCGTCCATGATTACCATATTCAATGACTCTGGTCCCTTCATCCATTTCAGAACAGTGTTTAGGATTGCGAGTTTGAATGCGTCGTTGCTAGCAAAGACCTTGACATGTTTTTAGTGGCGTGGTCGCGTCAGTTAGTCTCGTTAAACACCAGTCGCTGCAGAGATGATACATATGCATCTAGATCTGCTAGTTAATTATAAGCTCAATGATATCAATAGATCTCTTAGAGGTAACATTCTTGGCCCTCAGCGCAACTCGGCTAGCTAGTGGACTCAGCTCAGCTCAGCTCGATTACTCCACTTACTTTCGACCACTATGTCAGCCAATACACAAACCGTCGACCTGCGCTCTATCTTGACTTTTACTGTCAAGCTCGCGCGTACTGCCGGTACATTGATTCTCGAAGGCTCGCAAGCCATTCAGTCAACTTCGGATGTCAATGAAAAGAAGAATTCCGTCGATCTGGTCACTGAATACGATGTTGCTGTCGAGGAGCTCGTGAAGAGCGAAATCACAAAAGCTTACCCCAGCTTCAAATTGTGAGTCCATAATACGCGCAGAAACGGGATGATGCTGATCGATCGATGTCTTCAGCATCGGAGAGGAATCATACTCCTCTGGAACACGCAATGAGCTTACAGATGAGCCGACATTCTGTGTTGATCCGATCGGTGGGCCACGATCTGCTATTGAGTTAGTTGAGATCCAACAGTGACTTTCAGACGGCACCACGAACTTTGTCCACGGCTTCCCATTCGCTTGTATTTCTCTCGGACTGATCTACCAGAAGCGGCCCGTTCTGGGTGTTATATACAACCCCTTCCTAGATCACCTTGTGCGCAGTATAATACTATCAGATTGAACGCAACCACTGACTCTTACACAAAGTACACCGGGATCGAAGGTCAAGGGTCATTCCTTACCCGTGGCAATGGCCAACCTCTAAAATTACCCCTTACCAACCCTAAGCCCCTCCCCTCCTTGCAGAAGGCTCTTCTGGGTACGTCACGCGTCATGTACGAGAATATCCGAACTTACTTTCCCAGCTGTCGAATGGGGCTCTGACCGTGGCAAAAAGACCCTGGTACCAAAGTCTGATTCATTCTTGCGTCTCGCGGGCGATCCTGCAGATGGAATTGCAGGGGGACGGATGGCTCATTCCATACGGTCCCTAGGTAGTGCAGCGCTTAATATCTCAATGGTTGCTCAAGGTGGCTTAGATTTGTACTGGTGAGCCGTATCATTGCACATATCACACTTGATGACACAAACGTGTTGCCTTGACGCAACGTGGACAGGGAAATCGGTTGCTGGTAAGTGTACTACACTTTTATGTTGACCATCACGTTGATTCCCGACAAGGCCATGGGATGTTTGCGTAAGTAGACCTGTTGTATATGCTCGATATCTCCACCTCACCTGTTCTATAAGGCCGGTATAGTTATTGCCCAAGAAGCTGGTGGTGCAGTAGTTGGGTCTCATGCAGCTCTGGCCGCCGCAACATCTGCTGGCTCTAGCATTGATCCTTTCAAGGTCACGCCAGATGTCTTGACAGGTCGCAAGTATTTGATCATCCGTGCTATTCCGGACACTCCCAACGAAACGGGTAGAGAGGCACAATTGCGGATTGCCAGGGATTTGTACCAGACTGTGGAAGACAGTGAACCGAAGTAGAGTTTTCCTCGCTGGATACTTCAAGGTGCATAGATTGGGATACGAAAATGATTCAACGTGATATATATCGACCCGCTGCATGTTAATGGATACTTAACTTAGCATTCTTGGAGAAATGGCTCGTAAAACACAACGGCAGGTCGCAATATTACCAGACGAATAGTGCAACAGCGTCGTACGCATACATGAGCCAAAGGTGATCAGTGATGTCGGAAGAAATGCCAGCAGCCTGACGACCAAACACCATCAACGTTGAGGCTATGAGCAGCTTACCAGGGGAAAGACACAGGCAATTGTAAAGACATTTAGGCCGGCGGGCTAGGATAACATTTACATCACCAAACGCAAGTTCTCCCTGCAGACTCCAAAGGCATTTGGACCTAGTATGGCAACGTGTCCGTCGACACTTTAATTTCTTAGCTATGAGGTGTATTTACACATCCCAAAGGGCAAGATCGAGCAAGAAGATAAATACTGCATTGACTTGACTCGAATGAAGACATTGATAGGAACAAAGGCTTGCACCGCCCAGAAGAATTTATCGGTCTAAAAGACAAAAATAAGAGGAGGGAATACACTCCGGCACAGGTTTCCGAGGATGCAGACTGAAGTCGCGGTTCACCTTGGAAATGCCACCGGCACCAAGCAGCTTGATGTGAAGTTCGTGGGTTATTTTGGGCTATGTAGTACTAATTATAGTTACCTTCCTGAATTAGATCATTTTGTCATCGACATACGTGGGACACTATCGGCGGCTATTACTTACTAGACCTGACAACCAAGTCACACCGACCCGTCATGACAGATCTAACATGACGGCTTTGCGATGCAAATCGCAAGGTTTAGCTGTGGTTTTCTGGTTAACTACGAGTTTGGCGTTGACTTTCTCCAGACTAAGCCTTACTTCAATCTCTGAAAATGTGGTCGGGAACTCTTTTGCTGACGCGGACGATTCAGTTTGTTCACAGTTTCGACGTGGGGTCATCGTTTCAGCCCAATCCTATTTTGGGACCAAGTCAGCGCCTTGTTGTGGTCAGGCTGAGGGCTGTGACTGCAGTGCTTGATATAGCTCTTCTTGGGACGCCAGTCACATCCCGTGGAAAACAACGACTGCGGCAGAGTCTAAAACAAGCCCTGCATGGAACTGGGACGCATTCCGTGTGACAAAGTCATGCTCTCCCAAGGTGCACGGTTGCACTACTAGTTGTTCTCTCCATTCCACACTCCTTCCGCTAGTCGTCCCGCCTACCTCATAGACACTCTTCTTCCTTTGAGCACAACAAGTCATGGATCGTCAGCTTGATCTGCAACGCAGACAACAGAATGGAAACGCTTCAGTTTCAGCTTCCCCTTCAGCATCAATCTCTGGCTCGGCATCCCTCGTAAATGGGAGTACCCCGTTGCCAACAGTCCCGACAGGAGCTCAAGCTGGATCAATCACTATAACCATGCCTCCCCTTCAATCTAATTCCTACTACAAAATCGCCCCCAGTGAATATGTTACGTTTGGGTGGAACTTTTCGAGCATCATTGTGACACCCACTGCCCTCACGGTTGCGGCAGTCGCAAACGGGAACACATATCCTATAGGCCCCACCGATGGTGTCATTCCCGGGACCGCTCAGAGCGTGGTCTGGTATCCATATGGCTATCAGACCGCAAACCCTAGCCTTCCACTGGTTCAGGCAAGCTACACGCTTCATATTTGGGCCCAGGGTGGCCCTAGCGCATTCCCCACGCCTGGTTATCTGGAGCCAAACAGCGAGCTTGAGTTCGCTATGTATACGCCACAGGCATACACACCTTTGAATAGTGGTAAGTCTGCGTTCGCCCATGCTAGCCGTTTATCTTATTTTTGAATACACTCAGGGTGGCAATGTGCCGGATGCTCTGGAGCATTACCCCAGCTCAAAATAAACTCGGCTCTTCCTGGTGTTGTCGCAATGATTATTATAATGCTGCTCTCTGGGTTCACTACCCTTCGCCGCGTTTTGGATTGATTGGAGTTGACCTATGATTCCTTAGTCTGGTTTCTGGGGAGTCGTAGAGGATGGTCCCATTTGATTGACATTTAATGGATTATTATGGTTTGTAATTGGACTGGACATTTACATCACATGTAGACTTCATACTCATTGTTTGGCACGATATATACGGACAGGTAATGATGTTACACTTAGGTTACCATCAGAACTTTTTGCTGATGTCGTTATACACAGTACTACTGTCATTGATCGAAGCCTATTTTACCTGGGCAGCTTGGACACTAATGGCATGTTCGTGTATTGCTTTGCCTATCGCGCTGTTTCTTGAATGAAACTGGAAGCCTATTCCCGACGCATTACCGCTACCCTGACCCAGCCACATACTATTACCGAACTTTCAGGGCGATTTGTGCCAGACTGACCTATTGGCGTCCAAAGGCGTGTCCGCAGGTGCATGGGTTTTTTTCCTTGGGTGCCCCTCTATGCTCGTAATATGATCTGGGAGGGAGCTGTTCAACGACATTTCTGGAGGACTTCAGTCGGTGTCTCAATTCGCTTGTCGGTGTGACCGCTGAGGCGTCTGGTTCGGATAACTACAGGTTTACAGCCTCGATTTTTGGAGGGCATGTGTTCGTGGCCGTCCATCATTATATCCCCATTCGTTCTCTTGATTGATCTTATCTTGCTTGTTATCGTTATCCGGGTTCGTACCTAATCGATGATCCTTGGCAATCCACGAGTCATGGAACTCTGATTCCATTCGTTAACACCTCCAACTCAAAATCCGTTGTGGCGTCAAAAATTCTACCGGCGCATTGCATGTAATGTAAAGCTGTGACGGAGGATAAGAATAGATAAGCATAGCCACCACAGCCTTCACAAATATTTTCCTGAGGACATCATAGAAACACGCCGATCCTATCCAGTCACCAGTGATACTGATTTACCTTCCTGACACCATGGCCAGTGTGGCTACGTAGTACCGACAGACGGTCGGCCGGTGTCTGGGTTCAGGATTTGACCAGCGTAGGTATCTCGTAACAGTTTCAGAGAGCTCTCGGAAAGTCAAATCTGGGTTGAACTACAGTCAGAGTCTGTCCAATGAAGGTTTCGGTTCGCAAGACTGACCCTACTCTTGGGAACTTATGTGACTTAGTTGATCACGTTGACAGTCCGGTAAGCATATGCGCCGGCTTATCACTTCATTTCAATGCTCATATAGGTAGATCATTCAGGCCTATTCCCGATACTATCAAGAAGACGAGCTAGATCGGCGACTATATACCATATCAAGCTCTTATCACAGCAGAAGCTGTTAGAAAGAAGACGCGCCACAAAAACGATGTAGGAAAGACATGTCAGCTAACCTCTGACTAACCAAATTTTCTCGTTTTTCACAAGGCTGAGCGCTGAAGCCTGACCCTACCTTTACAGCCTAGAATAATGGTCACACCTGCCGGCGTCGGATAAGCACAATATACCGCATTCATTTATTGCGGATGTATATGTGAAGTCAGCCGATTCTGACCTGGGCACGTATATAAATTCTGCTGAAAGCTCTTGACTGGGCCAGCAACAATTCGCCCCTCTTTCAACTTTTGCACTCCTCATCAGAAACTATATTTCGGAAGTTATGGATGCTCGCCCAAAGACGATATACCTCCCAGACACTATGGTTAACTGGCCCTGGCCTCGTACCATCAATCCTCATTACGAAGATGTGAAAGCTGAAGTCGATGCTTCATTCCGTGATTTCAAGGCACTGAGTCCTAAGTCACAAGAAGCATTCGACAAATGTGATAATGGTTCGACCTATGTCACGAGCCCTAGATTCAGACGATGATCGAACACATTTTTCTTATAGTCCTCCTAACAGCACTGGTTTATCCCGAGGCACCAAGAGGTTCGTACTCTCGCCATTAACGCACCACATGACCCTAATTCCGTTTCTGAAAAAAATAGAACACTTTCGAATTGCCTGTGATTTGATGAATTTATTTTTCATTTACGACGAGTACACCGACTTCAAAAATGATGCACTCACGAAGGAAATGGCGGATATCGTGTTCGATGCCCTGCAAAATCCTCATAAGAAACGACCAGAAGACGAATGTATTCTGGGCGAAATCGCGCGACAGTAAGTGCTTCTGAATTGTTTGACGATCATCTGAAGTTCAAGGGGTTTTTGCATAGATTTTGGGCTCGCGCGATCCAATCCGCAAGCTTGTCTTCCCAACGTCACTTCCTTGAGACCTGTCCTGCATACCTTTATGCAGTGGTTGCCGAGGCTCTTGACCGTGGACAAGATCATAGGCGCAGTCTCGATGACTACTTGAAGCTCCGGCGCAAAACTGTTGGCGTAATACCTTGTTTCTCAATATTGGAGATGGGAATCGACCTTCCCGATGAAGTGTTCTACCATCCCGTGATCATGGATCTTGCTGAATGCATCATAGATTTAGCTCTGATCGACAATGTAAATCGGTATGGAAGACGTCTTGGTTTGTAGTATGCTCACGATCTTCAACAGGACATGATATCCTACAACAAAGAGCAAGCAGTTTGGGACGAAGGCCATAACATCATCAGTACCATCATGTTTGACCTCGGCCTTGACGTAAGCGGTGCAATGGCCTGGGCAGCACACTATCACACCCAAGTTCAGAAACGATTCATCGACGGTCTTGCGAAAGTTCCTTCGTGGGGACCTTCCGTTGACGTCCTAGTCAAAGAGTATCTTGACGGGACAGCAATGTGGGTTCGAGGCAACCATTCTTGGTGTTATGAAACTCAGAGGTAATATGAATTTCTCATTAGTAGCCGCATCACTTAACCCGATTGGAATTGCAGATACTTTGCCACCATGGGCCCAGAAATACAGAAAACTAGGCTTGTCCCGTTGTTACCAAGGCCCGATCGCAAATTCATGTGAATCTATTAAATCTGTTCAGATACCAAGCTCTTTCCACAGAATCTGACGCTAGCTTTTCTTGTACCTCGTAAATTTCGTTTTGATATGTTACTACCATGCTTCTCACTCGGTCTCTCATATATTGATACCTGCCTCATTCTATAGTGTCTTCCCTAATCGGAAACAGTCTGTGAAAACATAGCTTGCTCATCGTTTAAAATAACATGGTCAGCGTACAAGTACACGGACACCATCGTATCGATACGTAGTATTACAGCGCATATATATCTTCAGGATTTCTCCACCGAGTCAGAAGCTCCTTTCTCATGCACTTCGTGATGATACTTCTCACTCGGTCGCCAGCCTACTGATCGCCAGGGCAGAATGCCAGAGCGGTACAACTCGTCCACCTAGTTGTTCATCAGATGGGCAGCAATTTACAATGTGCATGAATCATCACCTCTTCTAAAGTTAGACCTTTGGTTTCAGGAATGGCAAAATATACATAGATATATCCAAAGACAAGCATGCCAAAGACCAACATTATCATTGGACCAATCCTAGTGAGGTGTTCAGATACCGAGAAATGTTTTCCGAACCTTTGGCTGTAGTTTAAACTCACCGATCGACAATCCTTGGAGAGAAGAATGAAAGCATGAAGTTCCAGAACCAGTCTTGGATAAGCGTGAGTAACGAATTCAAATAGTGAAAATGGAGAGCAATCGTACTGGTCGCGCTGCCGAGAGCAATTGACTTGGGGCGCACTCGAAGAGGGAAAGACTCCTCAAGATACACCCACGGAGTAGGTCCCCAAGTTGTACCGAAGCTGAACACTTGACATACTGCGAAAGCGATAGCGACGTCGCTCCCAGCTCTATTGCGAGCAGTAAGTGCCGAAGTTGGTATTCCGGTAGGCGCAAGGGTGGTATGCCCAACCACAGCAACCTAGTGCAAGTATCAGTTCAGCACTCTTTGTCAACGGATAATGTGCACGAACGATTAGTGCAGACAGCTTGCGCAGATGCGCCAAGTAGAAGGGACTAGAGAAAAAAGTAAATTTCTCCTCTGATCGTCTAATGGAAGAAGGAATACCTTTCGGCGACCCCAAGCCTCGATGAAGTACAGTGCGGGGAGAGTTCCAAAAACTGACACAGCTCCAAGAACTGTCTGGATGATATAAGGTGAAAGCCTGACATTACATGAGCTAAACTGCATTAAGTACATAAATTCAAGACTCGCCTTGCACCTGCACTCTGAAAGAAGGTGTCGCTATTACCAACTGAACGAGAGTATGTCGTGCCGGTTTGGATGGCTACGCCGACAGTAAAGATAGCCGACCAGAACAGAATGGATCCACGGCGTCCAAGCCGATCAGATGTGAACGCTTGGGCGATGGCTCTACTTTAAGCATCGTCAGATTATTATAAGAGTAACGAGATATAGTTCCCTCACCAGAACGTGCTACGATGGGTGTGAATGTCAGCACAGAGTAGAATCAAATATCGTGGTCCTACCCAGCCGACAGAAGAGACGATGATCGATTGTCTCGAACTTGACAGGTAGTACTGACCATCTATTCCTTCTTGGCCGAATCGGCGAATAAAGTCAGACATCCCTAGAGTAGACGAACGGTTTAGACTCGGATGTGCCGAGGATTGAGGAAGTAGGAGTACATACGGAAATTACGCCCATATCATGCCCAAACAGGAAGCCTGTATCACCGTAGGTGTGTCAATCTACTGCCCATGTAAGCAAAGAAATGGGAGCTTTGCAGTTGGTAATCAACGACGTACGTTTTATAGTCTGTATATGAAACCCGCGCACCTCCTGCAAGGAAGAGTTCAACGAGCACAGGATGGCAGTGACGAGAATGAACTCACCAAACGCGATGAAAATGGCGAGCAAGACCGCTCGACGGCTCGTTGGAACATCTCTTGTCATGATCTAGTAGGACAAACGTCTAAGAAAAGGCGGTTGGAGAGTCCTCCTGCTAAGGAGGTAGTATGCTTAAGTACAAGTTCTGAATAAGCGATGTGAATATCCATCCATCGTGACGTATGACAGGGGATCAAAGAGAGGGAATTCTTCGATCCCCAAAGGTACAGGCATGACCCACTCCCCCGTACACAAATGAGCTAAGGTGAACCGTTTCGTAGGTAAGAAATAGCCAATGCATAGAGTTTTTCAAGGCCTCGCTGCACGCACAAGCAACCACTTATCTGGCCAGTCATTCTGAGCATCATTCAGAAGCAGATTGGTCTACAATACCCGCGCTAAGTTTGTGCGTCGGTCGGACCTCGATACATTTTGAGGGTCGGTTTTTATCACTGACTCAACGCGTGACCTGAGAGCTTGATGCCACAGCCCACGAGCGCGAGAAATAGGGTCACTGGGCAAGATCACTGCTGAACCAGTACACCAGTATGTTGAGGTGGTCAAGGCATACTAGCCTTGAGCTTGAGTACTTGAGTGAAAGAGTGCCAGTGCACACGTGAGCGAACAACCAGACACGTGTTCTCAGCTTAGAAATAGTAGGTGTGCCTCTGTAGCAACTGGCACGCTTAGCATCGCTAGGTATCGCTGCACCTAGTCTGGTGTCGCTCCTTTTCCCGGGGAGTGCTACATGCAAGGTGGCTACACGTCGCAGCGCTGTGGAGCATTCCTAGCAAGACATTCCCGGTAAGACGGACACCTCGTATTTCAATATATAGTGACTATTTCCAGGTAGAACGAACCACGTAACTATGTGGGTGGCAACGTCGTTTTCATCACATGTAGGCTTACTTCATACTCATTGTTTGGCACGATATACACGGACAGGTAATGATGCTTACACTTAGGTTACTACCATCAGAACTTTTTGCTGATGAGTCGTTATACATAGTAAGTACTACTGTCATTGAATATTGAATAATGAATCTTGATCGAAGCCTATTTTACCTGCGCAGCTTGGACTCTAATGGGATGTTCGTATATTTCTTGGCCTATCGCGCTGTTCCTTGAATGAAACTGGAGGCCTACCCAGATGTTACCGGACCCTGACCCAGCCACATGGTTACATACTACTACCGAACTTTCAGCGCGACCGCCAAACTGACTTCTTATTATTATTGGCATCCAAAGGTGTATCCCCAGGTAAATGGGTTTACTCCCTTACTCAATGTAATATGATCTGGGAGGGAGCCATTCATTCCCCTACGCTAACAGTTCGGGACCTCAATCGGTGGCTGAATTCACTTATATATCGGTGTGAGGTGTAATTATAGTCACAGTTTTTAACCTTGATTTTTGAAAAGCATCATGATGCGTTCGTGCGCGTGGCCGCCCATCATTATGTCCTCAGTCGTTCTCTTGATTAATTTTATCTTGCTTGTTATCGTTATCAGGGTTTGTATTTGACCCTTAGCATTCCACGAACCACGGAACTCTGATTTCATTCGTGAAAAACACAACATGTTCGACTCAGAATTCGTTGTGGTATCAAAACTTCTACCGGCGCATGTCATATGATGTAAAGCTGTGACGGCTCGGGTGTCACGGATATTAAGACTAGATAAGTATAGTCACCTCAGCCTTCACAATGTTTTTCTGAAGACATTATAGCAACACGACGATCCTCTCCAGTGATTTCCTAACACTATGGCCAGTATGGCTATGTAGTACCGACCGTTAGCTGGTGTCTAGTTCCAGGATTTGAACGGCGTAGATATCTCGTCCCAGAGAGCGCTCGGAAAGTCCAATCTGGGTTGCACTATAGTCAGCATCTGATCAACGAATTCGCAAGGCTGACCCTAACTTCAGAACTTACGTGACACTAATGGTTGATCACGCTGGTAGTCCAGTAAGCATATGTGCCGGCCTAGTATCACCCCATCATTGAAATTGGAAGCCCATTCAGGTCTATTCCAGATATCAGTATCAAGTAGACGAACCAGATCGGTTATTGTGTACTATATCGAGCTCTTATCAAAGCAGAAGCCGTCCGACAAAAACGATATGGGGATGACATTTTGGCTGACCTCCGATTAACCAATTTTTTTGATCTTTCATCACCGACGCCGACAGAATCATGGTTACAGCCGCCATCGGTAGTTGGATAAGTACAATATATCTCATTCATTTATTGCAGATGTATATGTGAAGTAGGTTTATTCTGACCTGGGCAGATATATAAGTTCTGCGGGAAGCTCTGGACTGGACCAGCGACAATTCGCCCTTCTTTCAACTTTTGCACTCCTCATCAGAAACTATATTTCGGAAGTCATGGATGCTCGCCCAAAGACGATATACCTCCCAGACACTATGGTTACCTGGCCCTGGCCTCGTACCATCAATCCTCATTACAAAGATGTGAAAGCTGAAGTCGATGCTTCATTCCGTGATTTCAAGGCACTGAGTCCTAAATCACAAGAAGCATTCGACAAATGTGATTTTGGTGCGACCTATGTCACGAGCCCTAGATTCAGACGATGATGAACACATATTTTTCTTATAGCCCGCCTAACGGCACTGGCTTATCCCAACTTACCAAGAGGTTCGTACTCTGGCAATTAACGCATTACAGAACCCTCATTCCGTTCCTGAACAAAATAGAACACCTTCGAAGCGGTTGTGACCTGATGAATTTATCCTTCATTGTGGAGGAGTACACCGACATGGAGAATGAAGCAGTCACGAAGGAAAGGGCGGACATCTTGCTCGATGCCCTACACAATCCCCATAAGATACGACCAGAAGGCGAATGCATTATCGGCGAAATTGCGCGACAGTAAGTGCTTCTGAATTGTTTGACAATTATCTGAAGCCCAAGGGGTTTTTGCACAGATCTTGGGCTCGCGTGATCCAATTCGCAAGCCTGCCTTCTCAACGTCACTTCCTTGACACCTTCGATGAATACATTAATTCAGTAGTTGTCGAGGCCCGCGACCGTGAGCAAGGCCATATGCGCAGTCTCGATGACTACCTGAAGCTCCGGCGCAAAACTATTGGCGTAAAACCTTGTTTCCCAATATTGGAGGCAGGAATCGACCTTCCCGATGAAGTGTTCTACCATCCCGTTATTATGGATCTTGCTGAGTGCATCACAGACTTAGTTCTGATCGATAATGTAAATCGGTATTGAAGACATCTTGGTGTGTAGTATGCTCACGATCTTCAACAGGACATGATATCCTACAACAAAGAGCAAGCAGTTGGGCACGAAGGCCACAACATTATCAGTATCATCATGTTTGACCTCGGCCTTGACGTGAGCGGTGCAATGGCCTGGGCAGCGCACTATCACACCGAAGTTCAGAAACGATTCATCGACGGTCTTGCAAAAGTTCCTTCATGGGGACCTTCCGTTGACGTCCTAGTCAAAGAGTATCTTGACGGGACAGCAATGTTCGTTCGAGGAAACCATTCTTGGAGTTACCAAACTCGCAGGTAATATGAATTTCTCATTGGTAGCCGTAGCACTTAACCCGATTGGAATTGCAGATACCTTGCCACCATGGGCCCGGAAATACAGAAAACTAGGCTTGTTCCGTTGTTACCAAGGCCCGATCACAAAGTCATGTGAATCTATCAGATTGGTTCAGATACAAAGCTCTTTCCACAGAATCTGACGCTAGCTTTTCTTGTACCTCGCAAATTTCGTTGTGATATGTTACTACCATGCTTCTCACTCGGTCTCTCATATACGCCACTCTTGTCCTCCCATTTCTCTAGCTTTCAGCTGACTTGTATTTTTCATATATGACTTTTGGCAGTCGCATTTACTTGAATGAAACGGGAGGCCTACCCCGATGTTTACCTGACCCAGCGACATGGCTACATACTACTACCAAACTTTCAGCGCGATCTGCGTCAAACTGACCTATTGACATCTAAAGACATATTCTCAGGTAAATGGGTTCATTCCCTTGAGTGCTCCTCGATCAAGCTTAACACGGTAACAGTTCGGGACCTCAATTGGTGGGTCAATTCACTTATATATCGGTGTGAGGTGTGCGGATAATTATAGGCACAGTTTTTGACCTTGATTTTTGAAAAGCATGGTTCGTGGCCGCCCATCATTATGTCCTCATTCGTTCTCTTGATTGATCTTATCTTGTTATCGTTAGTAGGGCTCAGCATTCCACGAATCACGGAACTCTGATTTCATTTGTGAAAAACACAACATACCCGACTCAGAATTTGTTGTGGTACCGGCGCATTGCATATGATGTAAAGTTGCGACGGCGCGGGTGTCACGGATATCGATAAGACTTGAAGCTTGAGCTTGATCCCCGACTCCCAGGGAGGGCTTTGTCGAACGCAAATGGATTCCCCATCACTATAGTAAGTGCTCCCCTTCGCATATAGCCATCCAGCGGTAGTGGTTCCTCAAATGCCCGATGTCCATTACATACTTGATGCGCACGTATCCGATTTTGCATTGCGTGATTGCAAGCTGCCATGCTCATTCGATATTCAATACTAATTGCCTCCAGACGCTTGCTTCAACTACAGAAAGTATTGTTCCTGTTGGGTGAGGAATACATACTTACGTCCCGCAGCTCCACCATCCTGGCCAACACTTCTTTTGTTCATGAGTCACTTCCATTTGATCTCATTCGTTCCATACTTACCCACAAAATCTTGCAAAGTTCCACTCGTCATCTTCTAGGTTTGTTCCACATGCTCGTGATCCACGCCAGTTGTCCTAGCTCGATTACTGTCTCGGCACGGACCACATGTACACCCATGCCATGACGTCTCTGGACTACTGTATCATGAATTGATTTCTGATCACTCCAATATTCACAACACTGACGTACCCAACACGAACGCGCCTTGACCTTGGAATTTGGTTGTGAGGTAGCAGAGATTCCAACAAGTGATGTTCTCAGAGTCCTCGCACCTAATTCAAGCCTCGGGGCAATCGGCCATACCGGACGGGGAGTTTAAGCAGACCAAAAAGGGGACAGTCAGAGGGCTGACTTAGACTTATAGAGAAATGTACTAGGGAAATTAATATATGCCGGGCGTCTGGCAAGAAACACTATTGTGTCACCTGTAGGCATACTTCAAGAAGTTATCGCAGCGGCCACAGCCGCGACCAAAAGTAAAAGCAAAACAGACCAAGCCTAGACAAACACGGACAAAATAATTCATTATGGGTCCCAGTGGCACTGCAAGAGCTGAACGGATCACAAACTGCATGTATTTACCCAACGTCAATCTCCATTACTAAGTTGCATGTCAACGCAGATGGCACTAATCTGAGTATGATGAATTCTGGGAAAGATGGGAGCCGGGGACTTGGCGCGTGAGTGTCATTACCCATAAGTATAGTCACCTCAGCCTTCACAAAGATTTTTCTGAAGACATTACAGCAACACGCTGATCCTCTCCAGTGATACAGACCTACCTTCCTAACATCATGGCCAGTATGGCTACGCAGTACCGACCGTCAGCCGGTGTCTGGCTCCAGGATTTGAACGGCGTGGTTATCTCGTCCCAGAGAGCGCTCGGAAAGTCCAATCTGGGTTGCACTATAGTCAGCATCTGACCAACGAAGATTTCGGTTCGCAAGGCTGACCATATCTGCAGAACTTACATGACACTGATGACTTAGTTGATCACGCTGGCAGTCCGGTAAGCATATCTACCGGCCTATCACTCCATTTCAATGTTCATTGAAACTGGAAGTTCATTCAGACCTATTCCAGATACTATCAAGTAGATAAACCAGATCGGTGATTATGTACTACATCGAGCTCATATCAAAGCAGAAGCCGTTAGTTCAAAAAGAAGCCGCGCGACAAAAACGATGTAGGGGAGACGTTTTGGCTAACCTCTGACTAACCAAATTTTCTGATCTTTCATCAGGCCGACCCTACTACCTTTGCAGTCTGACGCTGACAGAATCATGGTTACAGCCACCATCAGTAGTTGGATAAGCAGAATATACCAGATTCATTTATTGCAGATGTATATGTGAGGTAGGCCGATTCTGACCTGGGCACGCATATAAGTTCTGTGGGGAGCTCTGGACTGGACCAGCGACAATTCGCCCTTCTTTCAACTTTTGCACTCCTCATCAGAAACTATATTTCGGAAGTCATGGATGCTCGCCCAAAGACGATATACCTCCCAGACACTATGGTTACCTGGCCCTGGCCTCGTACCATCAATCCTCATTACAAAGATGTGAAAGCTGAAGTCGATGCTTCATTCCGTGATTTCAAGGCACTGAGTCCCAAGTCACAAGAAGCATTCGACAAATGCGATTTTGGTTCGACCTATGTCACGAACCCTAGATTCAGATGATGATTTAACACATTTTTCTTATAGCCCTCCTAACAGCACTGCTTTATCCCAAGGCACCAAGAGGTTCGTACTCTCGCCATTCACCCACCACATGACCCTGATTCCGTTTTTGAAAAAATAGAACACCTTCGAATTGCCTGTGATTTGATGAATTTATTTTTCATTTACGACGAGTACACCGACTTCAAAAATGATGCACTCACGAAGGAAATGGCTGACATCGTGTTCGATGCCCTACACAATCCTCATAAGAAACGACCAGAAGACGAATGCATTCTGGGCGAAATCGCGCGACAGTAAGTGCTTCTGAATTGTTTGACGATCATTTGAAGTTCAAGGGGTTTTATAGATTTTGGGCTCGGGCGATCCAATCCGCAAGCTTGTCTTCCCAACGTCACTTCCTTGAGACCTTTCCTGCATACCTTTATGCAGTAGTTGCCGAGGCTCTTGACCGTGGACAAGATCATAGGCGCAGTCTCGATGACTACTTGAAACTCCGGCGCAAAACTGTTGGCGTAATACCTTCTTTCCCAATATTGGAGATGGGAATCGACCTTCCTGATGAAGTGTTGTACGATCCCGTGATCATGGATCTCGCTGAATGCATCACAGACTTAGTTCTGATCGACAATGTAAATCGGTATTGAGGACGTCTTGGTTTGTAGTATGCTCACGATCTTTAACAGGACATGATATCATACAACAAAGAACAAGCGGTTGGGAACGAAGCCCATAACATCATCAGTACCATCATGTTTGACCTCGGCCTTGACGTAGGCGGTGCAATGGCCTGGGCAGCGCACTATCACACCGAAGTTCAGAAACGATTCATCGACGGTCTTGTGAAAGTTCCTTCGTGGGGAGCTTCCGTTGACGCCCTAGTCAAAGAATATCTTGACCGGACAGCAATGTGGGCTCGAGGCAACCATTCTTGGAGTTACGAATCTCAGAGGTAATATGAATTTCTCATTGGTAGCCGCATCACTAAACCTGATCGGAATTGCAGGTACCTTGCCACCATGGGTCCGGAAATACAGCAAACTAGGCTTGTCCCGCTGTTACCAAGGCCCGATCGCAAATTCATGTGAATCTATTAAATCCGTTCAGATACCAAGCTCTTTCCACAGAATCTGGCGCTAACTTTTCTTGTACCTCGTAAATTTCATTGTGATATGTTACTACCATACTTTTCACTCGGTCTCTCATATATGCCACTCTTGTCCTCCCACATCCCTAGCTTTCAGCTGACTAGTACTTTTCATATATGACTTTTGTGACCCTACTGGCAGTCGCAGTTACTGTAATGATGTTAGTATGAGAACTTCTTGCTGATGTCATTATAAACAATACTACCATCATTGATCGAAGCCTATTTTACCTGGGCAGCTTGGACACTATAGCTAATGTGACTTATTGCGCTGTTACTTAATGAAACTGGAGGCACTCCCGATGTTACCGGACCCCATCATTATGTCCTGATTCGTTTTCTTGATTGATCTTATCTTGCTTGTTATCGTTAGTGCTAGTGGGGCTTGTATTTGACCTTAGCATTCCACGATCCACGGAACTCTGATTTCATTCGTGAAAAACAGAACATGTTCGACTCAGAATTAGTTGTGGGTGCACAGTGGTATCAAAACTTCTACCGATATAAAGCTGTGACGGCGCGGGTGTGACGGATATTAAGACTAGATAAGTATAGTCACAGGCTCAGCCTTCACAAAGATTTTTCTGAAGACATTATAGCAACACGACGATCCTCTCTGGCAGTGACTTCCTAACACTATCATGGCCAGTATGGCTATGTAGTGCCGACCGTCAGCCGGTGTCTGGTTCCAGGATTTGCCAGTGAATGGCATAGATATCTCGTCCCAGAGAGCGCTTATCTGGGTTGCACTATAGTCAGCATCTGACCCACGAAGGTTTCAGTTTGGAAGGCTGAAACTAACTGCACAACTTACGTGACACTGCTAATGACTTAGTTGATCACGCTGGCAGTCCGGTAAGCATATGTGCCGGCCAATCAGCCCATTTCAACGTTCATTCAAGCCTATCAAAGCAGACGCCGTTTGTTCAAGAAGAAGCCTTGCGACAAAGACGATGTAGGGAAGACATTTTAGTTAACCTTTGACTAACCAATTTTTCTGATGTTTCATCAGGCCGATCCTACTACCTTTGCAGTCTGACGCTGACAGAATCGTGGTTATATACCACATTCATTTATTGCATATGTATATGTGATGTGGGCCCATTCTGACCTGGCACGTATATAAGTTCTGCGGGAAGCGGACTGGACCAGCGACAATTCGCCCCTCTTTCAACTTTTACACTCCTCATCAGAAACTATATTTCGGAAGTCATGGATGCTCGCCCAAAGATGTTATACCTCCCAGACACTATGGTTAACTGGCCCTGGCCTCGTACTATCAATCCTCATTACGAAGATGTGAAAGCTGAAGTCGATGCTTCATTCCGTGATTTCAAGGCACTGAGTCCCAAGTCACAAGAAGCATTCGACAAGTGTGATTTTGGTTCGACCTATGTCACGAACCCTATATTCTGACGATGATTAACACATTTTTATAGCCCGCCTATCAGCACTGGCTTATCCCAACGCACCAAGAGGTTCGTACTCTGCAATTAACGCATCACAGAACCCTGATTCCATTCCTGAACAAAATAGAACACCTTCAAAGCAGTTGTGACCTGATGAATTTATTCTTCATTTTGGAGGAGTACACCGACATGGAGAATGAAGCAGTCACGAGGGAAAGGGTGGACATCGTGCTCGATGCCCTACACAATCCCCATAAGATACGACCAGAAGGCGAATGCATCATCGGCGAAATTGCGCGACAGTAAGTGCAAGTGCTTCTGACTCGTTTGACAATCATCTGATGCCCAAGGGTTTTTGCATAGATTTTGGGCTCGCGCGACCCAATCTGCAAGCCTGCCTTCTCAACGTCACTTCCTTGAAACATTCGATGAATACCTTAATTCAGTAGTTGTCGAGGCCCTCGACCGTGAGCAAGGCCGTAGGCGCAGTCTCGATGACTACATCAAGCTCCGGTGCGCAACTGTTGGGTTAAAACCTTCTTTAACAATATTGGAGATGGGGATGGACCTTCCTGATGAAGTGTTCCGGCATCCCGTCATCATGGATCTTGTTAATTACATCACAGAGCTCATATTTATCGATAATGTAAAGTGATATTGAGAACGTCGTAGTTTGCGGTCTGCTAACTTCCTTCACAGGACATGACGTCGTACAGCAAGGAGCAAGCGGCTGGGAACGAATTCCATAATTTGATCAGCATCGTCATGTTGGAACTGGACCTCGACAGTGGCAGCGCGATGGCTTGGGCAGCACATTATCACGCTGAAGTTCAGAAACGATTTATCGACGGTCTTGCGAAGGTTCCCTCATGGGGGCCTTCCGTCGACGTCCTAGTCAAGGAGTACCTTAACGGGGCAGCAAACTGGGTTCGGGCAAGCCATTCTTGGGGTTTTGAAAGTCAAAGGTAATGAGACCTTCTCGTTGGTATGAACTGTCACTTAACCCGATTGAAATTGCAGGTACTTTAGCACCATGGGCCCGGAAATACGACAAACTAGGCTTGTCCCGTTGTTGCCAGTGCCCGATCGCAAAACCATGTGAATCTATTAGATCTTTCCAGATTTTCCACAGAATCTGGCGCTAGCTATTCTTGTACCTCGTAAATTTTATTTTGATATGTCACTACCATGCTTCTCACTTTGTCTCTCATACACGCCACTCTTGTCTCTAGCTTTCAGCCGACTAGTTACTTTTCGTTTTGATATGTCACTACCATGCTTCTCACTTGGTCTCTTATATATGACACTCTTGTCTCTAGCTTTCAGCCGACTAGTACTTTTCATATGACTTTTGTAACCCTACTGGCAGTCGCAGTTACTTCAAGTTTTTTGTTGATTATCGTTGGAGTAGGAGTTCCGCGGGCATTGTGTGCTACTCTAGAAGCCATCGACAATCTACCAGTGACCCCTTTCAGTGAACTCTTCAAGTTGAAGCTTTCGCACAACTCGAACTTTATTTCGCAAGAAACACGTTATTTCTAGTAGTACTGTGAGCACTTTCTAAATCTGATCGTTCTGGTCGATCACTAGTAGGCGTCGCAAACAATGTGAATCCCAGCTTGTAAGTGGATCCGGATGATGCATGTCCTACTTCACAGTTGTAGGCCTATACTTACTGTCGCCATGCCTTGTTATTATTGATACCTGCCTCATTCTATAGTGTCTTCCCTCATCGGAAACACATAACTTACACATCGTTTGGAATAACATGGTCAGCGTACAAGTACATGGATACTATCATATCAATACGTAGTATTGCGATGCATATATATCTTCAGGGTTTCTCCACCGAGTCCGAAGTTCCTTTCTCATGCACTTCGTGATGATGCTTCTCACTCGGTCGCCAGCCTACTGATCGCCATGGCGGAATGCCAGAGCGGTACAACTCGTCCACCTAGTTGTTCATTAGATGAGCAGAAATTTAGAACGTGCAATGGATTATTACCTCTTCTAAAGTTAAACCTTTGGTTTCAGGAATGGCAAAATACACGTAGATATATCCAAAGACAAGCATGCCGAAGAAGACCATCATTATCATTGGACCAATCCTAGTGAGGTGTTCAGACACTGAGAAATATCTTTAGAACCTTTGGCTGTAGTTTAGACTCACCGATCGACAATCCTTGGAGAGAAGAACGAAAGCATGAAATTCCAGAACCAGTCTTGGACAAGCGTGAGTAACAAATTCAAATAATGAAAATGGAGCAATCGTACTTGTAGCGCTGCCGAGAGCAATTGACTTGGGGCGCACTCGAAGAGGGAAAGACTCCCCAAGGTACACCCACGGAGTAGGTCCCCAAGTCGTACCGAAGCTGAACACTTGAAATACTGCAAAAGCGATAACGACGTCGCCCCCAGCTCTATTACGAGCAGTAAGTGCCGAAGTTGGTGTTCCGGTAGGTGCAAGGGTGGTATGCCCAACCACAGCAACCTAGTGGAAGTATCAGTCCAGCACTGTTTGTCAACGGATAATGTGCACGAACGATTAGTGCACAGACAGCTTGCGCAAATGCGCCAAGTAGAAGGGACTAGAGAAAAAAGTAAATTTCTCCTCTGATCGTCTAACGGAAGAAAGAATACCTTTCGGCGACCCCAAGCCTCGATGAAGTACAGTGCGGGGAGAGTTCCAAAAACTGACACAGCTCCAAGAACTGTCTGGATGATATAAGGTGAAAGCCTGACATTACATGAGCTAAACTGCATTAAGTGGAGAAATTCAAGACTCGCCCTGCACCTGCACTCTGAAAGAAGGTGTCGCCATAGTAGTCTGTCGACAATAGTCTTTATAAATGAAAAGGAAATCGGCATGAGGGATCTTACAGTAAAAGTTCTGGCCGTTAAGCTGCTGAATAAATTGAAGCATCATGCCATTGATTGTCCGACGCCACAGTGCATTTCTCGTAGAGAAGCATTCTAACCAAGTCGCTTTGCCACCCTCATTCTCTGCTCTGATAGCAAAATCGAGTTCCTCGACAATCTCAATAACAAGAGGGTCGTCTTCAGGAACTCCGTTGAGTTCTGCAACTACCTTGCGCGCTTCGTCACCTCGTCCAGTTCCTAGAAGGTGTCGGCTAATAAAGGTCAAATTCGTCAGTTTGAAATGAGAATTTTTCAGATGTTGCACGTACGGAGATTCTGGAAGGAAAAAAATTCCAGATAAAAGTATGATGCCCCAGACCATTTGCAATCCAATAGGGAGTCGCCAAGACGTGGAGTTGTTAATTGTGTGACTTCCAAGTTCAAGTACATAACTCAAAAATATGCTAGATAGCAACCGTTAGTGAGTGTTCTAATGGAGGATGAAGACTTTACGGACCCCGAGATAATTTGAACTTGATAGATGACCAAGATCGTGCCACGAATAGCTTTCGGTGCCGTTTCTCCGTTGTACAGGGGCACAATAGCTGAATAGATGTAGTTAGATTCACAGAGTCTTATCCTGACATCGGCACCAACCTGATAATGAACCAACACCTAAACCTGCGATATAACGCCCTATTACCAACTGAACGAGAGAGTATGTCGTGCCAGTTTGGATAGCCACGCCAACAGTAAAGATAGCCGACCAGAACAGAATGGATCCGCGGCGTCCAAGCCGATCAGATGTGAACGCTTGAGCGATGGCTCCACTTTAAGCATCGTCAGATTATTATAAGAATAACAAGATATGGTTCCCCCACCAGAACGTGCTACGACGGGTATGAATGTCAGCACAGAGTAGAATCAAATATCGTAGTCTTACCCGGCCGACAGAAGAGAGACGATGATCGATTGTCTCGAACTTGACAGGTAGTACTGACCATCCGTTCCTTCTTGGCCGAATCGGCGAATAAAGTCTGGCATAATCAGACATCCCTAGAGTAGACGAACAGTTTAGACTCGGATGTGCCGAGGATTGAGGAAGTATGAGGACATACGGAAATGACGCCCATATCATACCCAAACAGGAAGCCTGTATCACCGTAGGTGTCAATCTACTGGCCATGTAAGCAAAGAAATGGGAGCTTTGCAGTTGGTAATCAACGACGTACGTTTTATAGTCTGTATATGAAACCCGCGCACCTCCTGCAAGGAAGAGTTCAATGAGCGCAGGATGGCAGTGACGAGAATAAACTCACCAAACGCGATGAAAATGGCGAGCAAGACCGCTCTACGGCTCGTTGGAACATCTCTTGCCATGATCTAGTAGGACAAACGTCTAAGAAAAGGCGGTTGGACAGTCCTCCTGCTGAGCTGGTATGCTTAAGTACAAGTTCTGAATAAGCGAAGTGAATATCCATCCATCGTGACGTATGACAGGGTCATGCGGTCCGGGATCAAAGCGAAGGAATTCTTCGATCCCCAAAGGTACAGGCTTGACACACCCGTACACAAATGAGCTAAGGGAAACCGTTTTGTGGGTAAGAAATAGCCAATGCATAGAGTTTTCCAAGGCCTTCGCTGCGCGCACAAGCAACCACTTATCTGGCCAGTCATTCTGAGCATCATTCAGAAGCAGATTGGTCTACAATAGTACCCGCGCGAAGTTTGTGCGTCGGTCGGACCTCGGTACATTTTGAAGGATCGGTTTTTATCCCTGACTCAACGCGTGACCTGAGAGCCTGATGCTACAGCCCACGAACGCGGGAAATAGGGTCACTGGGCAAGATCACTACTGAACTAGCACACCAGTATATGTTAAGGCGGTCAAGGCATACTAGCCTTGAGTGAAAGAGTGCTAGTGCACACGTGAGTGAACGACAAGGCACGTGTTCTCAGCTTAGAAATAGGTGTTACCCCTGTTGCAACCACACTTAGCATTAGCTATCGCCGCACTTGGTCTGGTGTCGCTCCTTTTCCCGGGAAGTGCTACATGCAAGGCGGCCAGTGCACGTCGGAGCGCCGTGGAGCATTCCTAGCAAGACATTCCCGGCAAGACGGACACGTATTTCAATATATATTTCCAAGTAGAATGAACCACGTAGTGGCAACGTCGTTTTGGCTCATGGAATCAAGAACGCTCACAATCAGAGAAACAAATCAAGATCAAGGGCATCGATCGCTTTGCCATCACATCTCTACATTATATTCCTGTGGAGCCTAGCCAGCTCTCCCACTCTCTAACTATGAAAGACAGCTCACGTTTACCTTTTTCGCCTACAACGGGGTCTCCAGCTCCGTCAACAGCAGATTGACGATCATTGAGTGAGGCACTGAAGACACCCTCCACAATAGCGCGTTGCAGCCAAGGAACAAGAACTCGGGTATATGCTGCCCCGGCTGCTTGCAAAATCTGTATCTCTTTCGCATCCCCACCTCGCCAGTCCTTGGCATATTGTAGTAGACCGTGGCCTGTATTTGCAAGACACTCTTCGGCACCATCCACGACGCCCCACAACGCATCAACAGGCGCAAGCATGCGTAGCCTGTTTAGCGCACGAATATATGCGTTCAACATTTTCGCAAGTGGCGGGAAGGCGGTTAGCACTTGCGGCGGAGAATGCGAAGCATTGGATGGCGAGAGAGCGAGCGTCTTGAACGCAGGCACACTGTTAGGCGTAGCAACCAGCCAGATGGAAGGAGCAGAGGGCTTAGGTTTGTTCGTGACGTGCTTGGCGACCACGCCAGACCATTCATGCTCCGCACCGAGTCGTACATCTCGTACAAACCCGTTGATGACTGATCGTGAAATCAGTGGTGATAGTAGCGCACGAAAATCCTGTATGCGCACCAATTTAATGCGAGATGAATTAAATATGTATGACACTTACCATCCCTACGCGTGCTAAAGCAGAACTACAATAGGCAAGCTGTGTCGCAAGTGGTGCGAGGTGAGGATAAGCACGTTCAAGGTACGATCGGAGAGTCGGAAGGAGCAGCTCCAGAAGTGTAGAAGGCAACGTTTGTCTGATGATATAAGAGGATGTCGAGGCATCCTGATCTGCAGATGGTGCTATCCGTGCTCCAGCATGCGAACGGTCGAGGAATATCGTCGTATATTGCGTGACAAGATCGTACGCGCCTTCCCTCCAAATGTCAATGTACTTCTTTAAGAACCGGGCGACGTCATCAGCCTCTCTATCAATCTCTCGCTCTCTTTCCTCTACAGTGCTTCCAGCTGGGAACTTAAACTCCAGACTCCCAGCATCGGAAGGTATACCAGCATCCCTTTCAATACCATCCAAAGTATCGCGGAGGCATCCAATTCGGGCGCTGATGAACACGAGCGCTAGTTCGTCCTCATGTATGGCCTTCATTCGACGAAGAAATTGTACTGCTTTCCAGAACGCTGGTAGCTTGCGAGCGGGTTCATATAACGTGTTCAGGAGGATGAGTTGCATGGAATGCAGCGAAGAAGCTATCTCAGCTTGCAAGGAATCTGCAAGTTGAAGCGGCAAACCGTGCGTGGCTTCTTCGTCACCGCTGGAACTCTTCCTACTTTGAGCGATTAGGGAGGACAATGCAGATGATGCGTGGGCGGCTAGTGAGAGAGCTTCTGCATAGAGCCCGTTGCGGACGCATGTGTCAATGAGAACTGGAACATCAAGCAAGTCACATAGTTTGTCGTGCTGCTCCAGTACGACGCGTGCTTTCTGCCTTCCCTCGATAACCTCTGGACCAGTCTTCTCGCGAAAAACGCGTGCGGCGTCGTCAAGAGCTGGTAGAGCAGTGTTGATTAGAGAATTGAGTGACGTGTCAAACGAAGAGAGTGATGTCAGCAGTGCTGTTGATGTGTGGTGAAGGGAGAGAAAGGTCGGATAAGATGTATGTGTCAAAGCAGTGAGTGAAGAAGTCAATGTATGAGATTGCGTCGTGAGCGCGGTCGGCGTTGACAGTAAATCTGACAGCGCATTGGTAGGTAATTCGGCGAGGAAATGAAGATTAGATGAGCTTGACGCGAGCAGCGAGCCAGAGAGAACGTCTGGAAGGCTCGACAGCTCGCTGGATGTCGAGACCGCCGTAGTCATCGTCGACTGCTACTCACTTACATACTAGTTCATCACTGTTCCACGACCAACAAAATGAAGAGCGCACCTTGCGGGGGTCGAAGACTCGAAGCTATAATAGCGTGTGTATCAAGAGTCAAATAGAATTCAAGCACAATAACCACCTCAAACTGGAATTATCTTGGCCGTTTAAACGTTTATGCATTATGACCCACGGCGACCCTTGGAACAAGACCATAACCGTGATCAAGAAGATATTATTGCATGAATCAATGGTCGAGCCCTCGTTATGTGCAGTAGAGTAATAATTCTGTCATATTGATGTATGTATAGGCTGATACGTATTCCGACAGCTACAATAGAAAATATTCATAAATGAATAGGGTGTGATTAGAAGATGATCATGATAATGCAAAAGCCGACGTAGAATGGGGGGTCGTGTCACAGTATTGACAAATATATTGGTACTCGTAGGTAATGGAATTCTTCAAGTGTCATGACGGAATCACAATCGTCGGATTATGCCACAAAAACAGGGCAGATAGCAGGTTGCATGCTGTCGAGAGTATGAGTGCGCGGGTACGTCGGCGGCACAACTGGATCCCCGCGCTATTCGGTCGATCAATGTCAATTTTACAGCAGGAAAGAAGGCTGTTTACTCACTACCAACAAGCGCATCCTTCGCACATCCCGCGTTAGACGGAGATCAACACCGCGGTATGCGCACGCCATCTGGAGAGATGCGAACTGGGGATGACGGTGGCCGTCGCGCCAAAGGTTAACTGTTACTGCTTGCAGGTCGTCCCGAGTCTTGACGAGATCAACGATAGGATTGAGAAGGGTATCCAGGTCCAGCCCGAATGCTAGGTGTTGTATGGTCTCTGGCATTTGACGGCAAATGACAGGAGAAGACCATGAGCTCTCGGTGCGAAGCTCACGAAGAGAGCGGCATCGCATCGCCGCATGTGCGTGTTCATGCGTGGCAAAAGATGGAATGGCCAGCGAGTGCAACGTTTCGCCGTGCTTCTCGACGAGGAAGTCTAAAAGTTCGGGACTTGGCTGACGTTCTAGGTCAATGACTCGTAAACTCTTTTCTTCCGCGGAGCAATGCAAGAGCCAGTCAAGAAATTCCTTGGCAGGTTCTCTTTGGCAGTTCAAGCGCAGTTCTTCCAGAGCGCAGGGGAATGGTGGATACGTCATGCCAGGGGATAGAACGGGAGATGTTCCAGTGATGGAGAGTGATTTCAAAGAAGGCCAAACTTCAAGAAGTTGGAGAAGGGACTGATTGTTCTCCGACCAGTTGCTGAAGCTCAAAGCCGTGATGTGCGGGCCAGCAATAAGTAATGCTAGAGAATGCTCGTCAAAAGACGGGGCGGGACGCCGCATGCGTTCTTGAGCAGGACTTCCAACGACATCTTTACCAGCAGCCACGTACCCGTACTGAGCAAGGTCAAGCTCGTACAAATTGGGGCAATTAGCCACTGCAACGGCGAGCGACGACTGATTGAGGCAACCAGGCTGGTTATAATCAAGGACAGCACGCATTTGAATAACGGCGTCACCGAGTATTCGCCCTTGCGGAGAATTCCGGTTGACAGCGTGAGTAAACGAAGCAAACGCCGAATGCGAGCGGAGGCGAACTCGTCGAAACAAAAGCTTTTGAGCATGGAGCGACCATGCTTTGCAAACAAGTGTGCACTTGCTTAAGAGGTCGATGTCAGGACCACCTCTATCATCGAAGTACGCGGTCTCCAAGATGGTCAGCACAATTTCAATAGGGATGCCGCTAGCAGGCACGCGCGGTGTTCGAATGTTGTCGTAAACTTCCGAGTCATGAGCAGGACTAGACGTGAATTTGAGTGATATTTCGTGTTCCACAACCTGCAGATATGTCAACGTGCGCCCCGACGACCTGCATCAAACTACTCACCATTGGAGGCCCGGAATATGGTAAGTATCCGCAAAAAGTCATGATATTAGATCACTGATTAAGATACGCGATGTATAGAACAAGATTGGCCCAGTGCTGTTCAGCACTTGTTCAGCTGTGGCAGGCTGAATATTGGATTCAACGTATTCCATGGAACCATATTTATATGAAGGCGGTGAAATGAAATGACCACAGCTCATAACAAATTTCTGACACTGCCGCCGGAGCATGATGGTAAGTAGATGGCCATTACCTCCGTCTACACGGTTCACACCTTCCATTTTTAAATATCAATAAATCGAAACGTTAACGAAGCTTATACGTTTACTGAAACGAGACCCTACGAAGAGTCCACAAATTCTCCGATGGTCTGTACACATCATCGATTGGGAAGTCTTCCTTCAATTGGGAGGGACATAGTAGGGTCATTTAGCTTCCTATGCCTTCAGGCGACTCGGATTTATCGATATTCCCCTGATTCCAGTGCCATTGGATCACATCCCACGACTTACGGTCACCGTCCGTCATTATGACTCATTTTCATGTATTCCGTTCTGTCAAGAACCTTCTTCCACTGCTAGGGGCAACCCACTGTCGGTTGTTGCCGTGCGGACGGCCCTCAAGCTTTTGGCGCTCAGACAAAGCAATCCACTCCAGTCAATCACAATCGATAGACTAAATCCCCCACAACCCCGCTCGATGCCGCAATGACACTGTATAAATTAATCGCAGACGGTACATCGCTTCAGATCGAGTCGGACGCGAAATGATGTTCTACCCAAAGGGTTCTGGGTTCTGCTTCAGTGAGTCGGAGGCGAAATAGTATTTTCTCGGAAAATTTTGGTCTTCCCCCTGATTTACTAAGGCACCCGCGAGTTTACACAGGTTGACACGCGACGGTCGTGTTCTCACAACTAATAAATTGTAATAAAGCCTCATGAAGGGCCGCGGTTGCACCCGCTCATTGAAAGGAGTTAGGGAACGTTCATTGTAGGCCGATCGGCAATTACGTTCTTGCCTGGACTGTTCAACAAGAGGCCGCGCGTTGAGATTATCTCACTTGATCAAAACGGAGTGATGGAACAGGGGGGATTGCGCCACATGTAACAACTCTCAACGAGATTGCAGATACTGTGGAGCTGATCGTGATACCGCGACTGATCTCGGTCAGGTTTCCACCAGTTGATCGCAGAGTGCACCAGCCGCTTTAACGTCACTGACGTCAGCGATAAGGGGACGTACACTGATTCTGGGGTATATCGTCGCTTGCTTTGAGATATAACAATACATGTATGACCTTCGATTGCTGAGTGTAAACCTTGCTATTGTATCGGATCGAGCAGGACCGATGAACAAAAAGGCCTTGAAATTGAATTATCATAGAACTCTATAAGTTGATAAGTCGATCCGCGGAGCTCCCCTGAGCATGCCATGCGTCGTCTACGGAGAAACAATCACGCGAGACTTACACGAGAGTCGAGACCATTCATTCAAAAACCTTCTCGTACTTGGGCCGAGTTTTCGTCAAGTACTTAATAAGAGTCAACTTAGCAGATCAGGCAGTATGTGATCGAGCCGACGCCTGCGGAAAGTTTGATTTCGGAAGGGACAAGTCTCAAAATATTTGCCATGTCGTACTTGGGTCAATTGAAGTTCGCTCGCCTGTGAAGATGCATCCGAGAGCGAGTTATGATCCGCACCTATGTCGCCGACGGACCGGGAGCCACAATAAGCCAAACAATGACAAATATAGCTGTGGGATTCAGATTGCCGAAAGACTCTCAGAGGGACGTTGTCAAACATGTCCAAGTCGTCGCTATCCTCTGTCGTTTCAAACCTCGTCCGGGCGTCCATGGGGACAGCCGTTTCTCCGTCCATCACTGATGACGACCTTGACAGACACGTTGCAGAGCTCATATTGAGGGAAGCGAAACAGAAGGCCGAAAGCTACGGCACAGTAGGAATTAGGGCATATCTTCCACCTGCGTGAGTCTATCATCCAAAAAAATCAAACCATCAACTCACTGAAGATTTGTTTAGGCCTGACCCAAATGCGCCTCGCCCGAATAAGCGTTTCCTCAGTTCAATCATTAAGAGCACAGATGATCACAACAAGACTATACTTCGCGCACAGGCGCTTGCTGCACAGGAAATCAAAAGAGAGAAGGATGAGCAAGAGCGCAGAGATAGGAAAGCTCGTGCGGAAGAGGCTGTCGCTGCCGAACGCATGAGGAGACGGAGACCTGACCATGATGAACATGGTTGGGGTATTCAAAGGGAACGTGACCGACGGAGGGATAAAGACCGGAACAAGGGGAAAGAAAAGAGTCCTGGGAGGCATTACAAAGATGATAAAGATGATGACAGTCACTACAGAAACAGGCCCAGCAAAAGGAGACATCAATCACGTTCACCATCAAAGGAACGAGGTAGTGATACGAAGCACAGGACAAGCAGCCGGAGATCACCATCTTCCGAGAGAACTAGTTCTTTCGATCACCATCAACATAGAAGACGTAGACGACATGATGACGACAATCCCAGAAGGAAAAGACGCCATACGAGCCGTTCTACTTCTCCACGTCGCACCGACTCGCTAGCGCAGCCTGTTCCAGGGATTCCGGTCTCCAGGAAAAGGACGCGGTCAGTATCTCTATCTGATGATGCTCATAGAAAGACCACCAAGCAGACGCGGCTGAGTCGTCGTACGACTCGGTCCCCTTCCCGGTCATCCCAAACATCCCCAGACGATGAAGCTGTGGAATCCACAGGGGAAATTCTACCTTCTTTCAAGGGTCAAGCAGGAGCTCCCAACGAATTTCCCAAACCGCCCCCTCGTACCCTTTCACCTTCCCCTCCACCACGCCGACCCCAACACGCAGTCACTTCGTCAGGTTCATACCACAGCGTTCGGTCACCGTCTTCATCACCCCCTCCTTTACCGCCCGCGCAGCTTCCCTCAAAGATGGACAAATACTTTCAAGACTCTTACGACCCCCGACTCGATATCACAACACTCCCTGTTCCCAACGTACCTGCTACTGGCTTGGTCAGTGACGCAGAGTTCGAGGGTTGGGACGCCATGCTTGAACTCATTCGGCAACGGCGAGAAGATAAAGCTGAAAAGAAACGTCTTGAACGTCTCGGAATATCAAAAGACAAGGTCAACAAGAAAGGCACAGACAGTGAAGTTGCTGATCGTTGGGCTAGTGGGGGGGATAACATTATGGACATCGAGTACAAGAAAAGGGGGACTGTTCGAGAATGGGACTTGGGGAAGGAGGGTTTTTAAGAGTTGCTTGTCAGCAATACTAATTTGTATCTACGGGACAGAATACCATCATCACATAACGCTCTTGCTTTCATGTACAATATGTTTTCGTAGTAGGGAACTGACCATCCAAACTCAGTGATCAATAGCGTGGCGCACAACCATAATCTCCTCAGCCGACAATTGTTCCATGCTTGCGGAAAAGTTGTTGACATTGTGTGATGCGCATTCTTTGAAGAATGTCACCAAGTGCGCCTGAAATATCTGTCAGGCACGTACGAGTTGCTGTTAAACCAGCAACACCTACCTGCATGTCAATCTGAGAGATGGCGTCGTTTCTAAGGTCTTCATCATCCGTCTCTTCGAGAATGTCGTCATTATCAAAGTTGACGCCGCGGGGACCCAGCATCTCGGAGAGGAAGGCAAATTCTTCTTGCTTGAAGCCCTGATTCTGCTGCTCTTCTTCTGACCATTCTTCATCCTGTTGATCGCTTAGCAGGACATATAAAGGAGCCTGCAAACAGTACGCACACCATCATCCGAGTCCACATCAAACTCGGCTTTGGGGATCGTCGCAGAGTCGCCCCCAGCTCTGAGATCGTGCACGAGCAGTTTAAGCGCCTTCACAGGGAAAGGCACTGATGTAAATTCATGTGGTGCTGCGCCGCCAAAAGTCAGTATCAAACGGAGCAAAAAGAACAAGAGATAGGCAAATGATGCATACTCGTCTTCGTTCGCGACCGGGTCATGATCACTGTCCCGGAAGCACAAGCAGAAACCGTTGAATATCCAGAAACAAGTAATTCTTTATGCGGAATGAAGACTCACCATTCTTCGTCTCCGGCTTCAAGATAATATCGCCCTTGACCATCAATGATTGCAGGCTTGGACGACCAGAGGCGTACAATTTTGTGAGCGCCAGTGTGCTAACACGCGATTGCCAGAAGCCCTGGAACGTCTCTGCGTTCTCACACCACGTCTGGATGAGGATATCGAGACCGTTCCTGCCATTCGTCGTAGTCGATTCCAGCAAATACAACACCGTGTCCTGCTGGTTATAAGCGAGGAACGCGAATGGAATGACAAGGCTCTGGATGAATGTGGCCGTCTTGGCCGATAGCATCCGCAATACCATAGCTTGAAGAAGCTCTGGAAGTACTGGGAGAACAGCTTCGCCTGCATGACGCAGCAAGTGGATGATGAGATCACCAATGACCAAACCACCGGATTCATCATCGTTTTGCAGGAGCTTCGCAATAACTTTCAGAATATGATCGAGACCGGATTGACCGGATGGGCCCCGCCATTCTAGGATCTGCCTGCAGTCTTTGCGGACTATTAAAGCAAGACACGCCATGCCGTTTTGTAGAACATCACGATCTTCTGCTTCACTAAGGCAGCTAAACAAGCTAGGTGCTAGGAGAGCGAAGAAGCCGTCTCCAAGGCCGCCTTCGGGTGCACCACGAACGAGGCTTGAGATTAAGTCAATGGCAGACCCTGCTATCCAGGCTTCTTGAGGTTTGGAACTCGCGATGGCAGTACAAAGAGTTGGAAGCGCCTGTTTGACAACCGTTTCGTACACTCCTGTGCCAATCGAGGAGGCCAGCGAGGTGAATATTTCGGTGAAAATTGATAGGAAGATGGGATCTATGATCTCCGATTAGTTTGTTGAAAGGTGGAGGTGAGGTATATTCTACCTTTGTTATTCTTCGCCCAGACTTCCAGGACGGCCAATACCAGAGAATTGGACAAGTCAGTGGTGAGCCATTGAGCCCTGTTGACATCTAGAACAACCGACATCGTCTCGAGAACCAAGGATAACGTGTCCTCAGTCGTTACCAGTAGGAATGGCCCCAGGTCCTGTGCAATCCGCGACACGAAGGGCGTAATAGCCGACTCCTCCGCGCCTTCACAGAAGCTGCTGAGGTATTAGATGGATGTCATTCGAAGCACACAACACGTACTTGTGAATAGCTTTGACAGCAGATATTTTCACAGGAATCCCAGCAGCATTCGATTCAATGACATGCATAGCAGCTTCCAGATACTGACCAGCCATCTGTAACGGCAATAGCCTGGCAAACTGACTCGCGAATACGAAGCCTCTGCCTTGCAAGAATGGAAAGTCTGGAGAAATATCAAATAACGTGAACCCCACGTGAAGATGCGTGATGCATACCAGACTGGTTTAGGACTGACGGAACGACATTGGCAAGCAAATCCTCCACATCAATAGGTTTTGCTCGGCCAGAATCCTGTTCATTTTCAATGCACTCGAGGACATCTTCGGATTGAGAGCCAATCGCAGCCAAGGATGCTTCAAGTGGTTTCCACCTGTGCGCGACCGATTAGAGGTTGAACGCAATCAATTTTTCAGCAACTTACCAAGCAGTTGACCCATTTTCTCGTGCTCTCTGTGATGTTGCAATGACCTGATGAATCGTAGTCTGGAAGGTAGCACAAATTTGGGCGGGAGAACGGTTGAGAATAGTCTGCGGAAGACATGAGTCATCTTTTGAATGTGTCTAGCCCACCACGCACATATAGCAACTCGAAGCCAGCGACTCTGACGCCATAGGCCTGTGTGTCATCTTCTTCATGTGCCACGAAAGCATTGGCATTTGTCGCCCACGTCTCTTCCTGTAGTGAATCAATAAACATCCAAAGCAAAGACGTGGGTGGGACGAACGTCATCCGCCGTCATCCGTGAATAATTGAAAATCGCGGAGACCAAACTGTTCAGGTTCTCCATCTGAAGCCACTCCTTCGCTTTTCCCCCTCTGACAACATTCGAAACAAAGTCGAACAAAGGGCAGATGAGGTGCGGTATTTCTACTGTTTCCTCCTCTGATGACCCAGGGGCACTTCCGGATCCTGAGATGTAGAATGTATCGTATGTTTCGGACATCACCTGAAGGTGACGCAAGGATGCATCTAGATAACCACGAACGTACGAGGTCATGGCACGAGGGAATGACGTGTGAATGACGTCCAGTGTCTGAAATTGCATGCATCAGGAAGCTCGTTGGATCGTGTATTTAATCAAATACCTTGAAGACCTGGATTCTGACGGCTAATCCATCCCAGTTATCCTCGTTGGATACGTCCTTCAAAGGGTCAAGGTTAAGAAGCACTTTGAATGCCTCCAACCAAACTGGCAGGATGGTTGCAGTAGCTTCCTTCACAGCTTGGGGGTGTTGATCTTTGACCATGTAGAGTGCTGTCACGCATTGACGAAAAACTGACACAGTTCGTGCCCGAGTCAAAGGTGTATGTTGCTATTCTCGGAATTTCAGTCACAAATCAAACTTCAGAACGGAAGTTGAATCGCACCTCCGTGGATCCAAGGATAGTAAGCAAGACAGGAAGAAGCTGTCGCAATACAGGTAAAATTTGATCTTCGGTGAGGTCCGATTTTATAAATTCGGTGAACACCTGCATCGCGCCATGCACAGCGTCAGAAGAACTTGAAGAAATTAAGGAAATAAGGGAATTGAGTAGTTCAGGGTATTCATCCGGCCAATCGCAGTTCCCAATATATGACATTGTATGAGCCTTCGCATAGACATTGAGATCTAAGGTGCCAATGGCTCAAGTTGAGTTGGGACTCACACATAAAGACCGGATTTTCCGGTTCGAGTCTGATAAGCCTTGGAAGACAGCATGGCGTATTCGGGATTTGATCTGTGGAAGATCGATATGATGAACCCGGATAATGTCGAGAAGCATACCTCTACTGAAGGTGCGTTGCCCTTGAACGATTCAAAGTATGGAGACCATCGTTCCTTGACATATTTTCTGAGGACAATGCTTGCTGAGTGCTAGGTAAGATCCAAGATAAAGAGGCAAATATCGCAGCAAGAAGGGAAAGAACTTATCTGCCGGAGCGGGATATCAACATCCTGTGCTAAAATAAGCTGGGCTAGAGCTAGAGCTGCCTCTGATAAACGCGGCCTAAACATCAGATTTGCAGTCAATGGTCGCGATTTTGAAAACCAGCCTTGATGGAGCAGAACCTCAGAAAGCTTGAGTTCAGCAGCGATCCTAGTATTTGCATCTGCGCTTAAGGTATCTGCCAGTATCTGAGAGACATTCACCGCCGCCATCGTCAGTGATGATGATATACTCAGAATAGAGCAGGAATGATATGCTAGGGTGCACCTCACGTGCAGACGCGACGCGTTTGAAGAGCGGAAATTGCCGTTTATTCGAAAACTCAGTGAGCCCAAGACGATGGAAATTGGGTTCCGACCGAATCCTACCGTCTCTTGTTTCTTGTTTCTTTCCACCGTCATCACAGTAACTTTTCTGTTATAATTCTTTGATTAGCAGCATACTAGCAGTTCGTTGACAATGCGACCACGAAACTCGGTTGCACAAGCGCCCGTCGATAACGGCAAGAAGCCCCGCAGACCCCCCAAAAAGCGTGTGCGTGGGTCTGACGTCGACGGAAATCAGCCAAATGTCGAAGTCGTCAAAGTCGGTGCAAGGAGAGCCAAATGGCAGCCCAAGCCGGGAAAACTTGCCGCCCTGATGAATTTACCTCTGGACGTCTTATTCGAGGTTTGCCCCTTTTGCTATGGTCGCTATGTGTCTAGTATCTAAAAATGCTTCAGGTCTTTGGCCACTTGAATCCTTTAGATATACTTCGTCTGGCTCGTACGACGAAAGAATTTAGACGCGTGCTCATGCATCGTTCTTCAATGTCCGTATGGAAAAACGCTAGAGACAACGTGCCAAACATGCCAGATTGTCCTCCTTTCTGGACGGAACCCCATTATGCGAACCTAGCTTTCGATCCCCATTGTCACGTAGGCTCCCAATTTTAATCATAATGTGCTTTCTTACATCTAGAAAAAGGAATGCGGTGCTCCTGGTGTGCGCAACGTCGACTGGCGCATCGGCAGGCGTATCTGCGCAAAGTGCTCCAAGACTTGGTGTGTATATCGTTTCGAACACTTGACTTTGCTCATCGAGTCGACAGCATGGTAGATGCCTACCACGGAGAGTCCGTAATTAGCGGCCTTGTTCCGAGTAAATATGGCAGTCTGTACCATCTATCCGTCATCTAAGAATGATTTCGAGTTGATATCTACAGAACGGGGTCGTCTTCTATTCTACCGCAAGGATGTCGAAGAGGTCCAGAAGAATTTGCATCTCCTCGCAGGTTCAGATGGGCTTGAAGCCTATCGCGAAGAGCGAAGGGCATTCGTCAAGGAAATGGAAACGGTGAGTAATCTTTCCCCTGTGATATTAGCACCGTAAACATATCTGTCCAGCAAGCGAAAGCGTTAGAAGCATGGGCAGCGTCTCAAGCTAAAGACCGATCCGATCAACTAGAGGATGCTAGGCGGGACAGGAAAACTGCGTAAGATACAAAGTTTGTGATTGCCCCAACACTTAACCTGACACTTCCTAGCATCATCGAAAGGCTTACTGAAATTGGTTGGGGTGATGAAATCGAACATATCCCATACACAGACGATTTGAGCCATCACAAGTTGGTCAAGCAACCCACCCGCCTGACGGATCGCAGTTGGTTTTTTTCATTGATGATTCCGACCCAATTTCTTATTAGTTATTCAGTTTGGAATAACATCAAGAACGACATGATCAAGTACATGGAAGAAATGAGAACACGACGTCTGGAGCGCGAGCGCAAGGCCCTGCTTATTGCCCGAAAGCGTACCGCCATTGGGGTTCTGCGTCGCTATAAAATCGCTCAACTCCCATTCACCGGTGTTATGCCAGAGGCAGTGGACTTCTGTTCCTTCCCCGAGGTCAAGGCAACTGTTGAAATGCCCACAGAGACAGAAGTTACGGAAGCGTCCTTTGTGGACGTTTCTTCCCGAATGCATGACTTAGTCAACTCCTGGCGCACTCACATCCACTCCCAGCTCAGGGCTAGAGTCAAAGATAATCTGCTTTTTGCCGGAAAGCGGCGTGCGTCTGCGGAGCGAGTGACACCGGATCCATTATACCAGGAGTACGTGGAAAGCCTTGGTGCTACTATAGACGTCAAAGGCAAGAAAAAGGAAGTATCGCTATCAGTGCCCGGTGACGCTGAGATCGATCAGATGATTCCGTTAGCGACGACTGTGTTTCGCTGCAAAACATGCACTCCATCCATTGGACTCCCAGGCGATTCGTCCGATAGTGAATATGACGATTTCCTTGATATTCTCGGCGGACGTCGGTCCAGATCCGTTCCCCTCTTCTATCCCAAAGTCATGGGACATTGTTGCCTAACCAGATCGAGAACGCTACCTTGGGACTATTTTGCCACGGACGACCCCAACTTCCGCATTGATTTTCCAATGAGCACCCGCACAAATTGGAACACCCACCTCCTGCAGGTGGATGAACAGGCAAGCAAGGCTGCTCGTACCGTTGTGGAGGCATGCGGTGAAGATCCGCTCATCACCACTGCGACCAAAATGGATGAGTTAGATCCCCGCTTGGCCTGCCTGGACTGCATGAGGTGGTCCAAGCATGAGGTGAATCAAGGCGAGGTACCCGTCTTCACTTGGCGTTCAGCGGTCTGTGCTTTACCATTCCGTGTCTCTGATTTCATGGCTTCTAACTCGTTTGTAGGTTCAGCACAGAATGCGGGAGCATCGCCCTGACCGACAGCCACCTAAATGGAAGAAACTCGAGGGTGAATTACTCGAGGAGTCCAACCAAAATGCTCGCAATATGCATATACACATTTTCGATTTTCCACCTTTCGCAGATATCACCCAACCTGCTGCAGGCGTCATCTGGCTTTGCGTCCACTGCATGGATTTGCCACAGGAGAGAGAATGCCATGAACTTGGCAAGATGAAGAATCACCTTTCTACAATGCACGTTCTGCTCTTTTTCTCATCGCACTGAAGATGTTGTCGCTTACTGATTCGTAACATTAGTCATGGCATCGAAGAGCCTGTGGAAGATCAAGATTATTACAAGGACTATGAAGCACCGCAGGGCCGCAGACCAGACTTCAAACTTTCTGATTCCGTAGTCACTTTGCAAATGGAAAGGCCACCTCATGTTCCTCTACCTGGGCATGGTTTCTTCAACTTTGAGGATGATGAAGATGATGAAGATGATTATGGAGACTACGATGATGAGGATGACTTTTATTTGGGTAACTCTTTTTTCCCTATCTTCTGATTGGAACAATAACATTCACCATAATTGCTACCCCTACAAATACATACTTAGCTCGAGTCTTAATATTACTGGACACATTTCTTGATGCAACGAATTTTAACACATTCTACATCAATTCTACATACATATCCATCCTCTTCTTCAGGTGCATACCAATGAAAGAGTTTTAATTATTGATGTCATTCAAACAAGAGCGACTCGCTTGCCGAAGTGTATTGAGTGAGATAATTCTGTAGATGATGATCAAACTACCAGCTCTCCTTCGATACTCGCAGCGTCGAGCCCAAGTTGAGGAAGAATAGCTTCATATCGGTCACGGTCAAGTTTCCTCAAATATTTAAGTATCTTGGCCCGCTTGTGCACAAGCTGACGAAGGCCCCTGCGATTATCTATGTCCTTGCGGAAAGCCAAAAGGTGCTTCCATAGCCCACGTATTTGGATCGTCAGCAAGGCGGCTACATCCAGAAGGCTTCAGCATAAGTCGGCGGTGAAGAAATTTTGTGGTAAGCACCTTGTACTTCAGGGCGGCCAGTATCAAATGGATTTCCCGGCGGCGAAAATAAGTTGATGCAACGGCGGCGGTTCTCGAATGCGAGACCTTTCGCATTTGCATTACGCAAATCAATAACCTTTGCGAACATGTTCGCTTTGGCCTTTTCGTTTTCCATCGCTTCTTGCATTTCGCTGACCACGTTTTCGCTGAACTTGGTCACGCCCTCCTGAGCTGACAACGGAGGTAACACTTTGAAAAGCAGCTCCTTGGACCTCTCATTAATGCCAAAGCTTAGATGCGGCGGAAGCTCGATGTCGCCTTCGGGACTGTGAATGATCTCAGGGACAGAATCTGAGTATAGCGCGTCCTGCGTGATGACGGCCTTTGCAAGGGCACTGTTCTGCCATTTGTGATCTTGCCCTGGACGGTGACCGAGAACAGCATATTCGCGTTGCGCATCGAATGCGTGCTTGTGATTTATGCGTGCTTGCACCTTGGAGACCTTCTCATGTCGAGCTTGTTTGCTCGACAAGCGGGCATTGAGAACTGCTGAAGTATGGAGTGATGAACGGCTGGACGACGCGACGGATTGTGATACTACACTCTGTCAGAAATAGTCAGAACATCGTGGAACTGAACACACCGTTAATTAGGCAGGATTTCAACATAGCAAACCCAACGCGCCTCGTCCAAAAACTTAAGTTGGCAAGAAAGACTAATAAGCCGTGGGAATTTTTGTGTACATTTCTTGAGGTTTTGAAGATCAAGCTCAAGTCGTCGAGCGTCACGGCCGTATAGCACAGTGCACGATGGCGCCCATAAAAAAGACCAAGGCTTCACCCAAGGTCCGCTCTTCTGGATCCAAGGAACCATCACTCAAAAAAGTGAAAGGCGAGAACTTTTACCGCAATGCGAAACAAGTCTCCCGTCTCAAGATGCTGTCTGGGGGGAAGGCCATCCGGGACAAGGATGGCAAGATAATCCAGGCTGCTGCTTTTCAGAAGGGAGAAGATGAGACAAAACCTGGCCGAGTCCAGCCCGATCGTAGATGGTTTGGTGAGTTGCGTCGGGATATGTGTAGGCCCATTACTTATGAAAAATAATAGGCAATACGCGAGTGATCTCACAGACAGCTCTTGATCATTTCAGAACGAGTCTTTCGACGAAGAAAGATGACCCATACTCAGTGCTACTTCGCCGGAATAAATTACCCATGGCACTCTTGGACGATGCGTCTAATCCTAATACTCGAAAGGTAGGTTCTGACAAATTTATATTGTTTGTGGGCTGATATTATACAGCGATCCCACATTGTAGAAACAGAACCTTTCAGTGAAACTTTTGGACCCAAAGCTCAGCGCAAGAAGGCCAGGATTGACGTCGGCACTTTTGAGGAACTCAGTAAATTAGGCGCAGCCGCGGCGGAAGACGCAGAACAAGCGGCCAATGCTCTAGAATTAGGTGCTTCATCACGTGGTATTTCTCTCCAATTGAACATGTTCTGATGTTGTGGTAGCGCAATCTTTCGAAGTCCCCGAACTGCAAACTCACGCAGACTATATTGAACCCATTTTCGCCAAAGGAACGTCAAGACGCATCTATGGGGAGCTGTACAAGGTTATCGACTCTTCAGACGTTATCCTGCATATCCTTGATGCTCGAGACCCCCTTGGCACCATGTGCGAATCCGTACTCGAGTATATGAAAAAAGAAAAAGCACACAAACAAGTTGTTCTTGTCATCAACAAGTGTGACTTAGTTCCCAATTGGGTTACCGTAAGCTTTTGGTGATTTTATGTGCATCCCCCTACTGAATGTGCCACAGGCAAGGTATATTCAACATCTAACACCCCGATACCCTACAATTGCCTTTCACGCATCACCGAATCACTCGTTCGGCAAGGGCTCTTTGATTCAACTCCTTCGCCAATTCTCCCAGCTTCATTCAGATAAGAAGCAAATTTCCGTTGGATTTGTTGGATACCCAAACGTGGGCAAGAGCAGCGTTATCAATACGTTGAAGAGTGGTAAGGTCTGTCGCGTTGCCCCTGTGCCAGGAGAAACCAAGGTACGCGTCAAGAATGACTGTTAAACTGCCTAACTCAACATGTTTCACTTTATGAGCTTAGGTTTGGCAGTATATCACATTAACCCGGCGGATATATCTCATTGACTGTCCCGGGGTAGTCCCCACGTCCGCACATGATTCCCAGACGTCCACTGTGCTCAAAGGTGTTCTACGTGTGGAGGCCCTTCCCGTACCATCTGAGCACATCCCCGCTCTCATGTCACGCGTCAAGCCTTTGTACCTCTCACGAACGTATGGTGTCGCCCTTCCGGACCCCGACGACCCCTCTCGCTCGTGGGATCCGGAACAGTTCTTGGACACTCTTGCGCGGATGAAGGGACGACTACTGAAAGGCGGCGAGCCAGATGTAAATGGTGTCGCTAAAATCATACTGAGCGACTGGGTGAGAGGCCGAATACCATTCTTCGTGCCTCCACCTGAGCGGTCGGAGGAACTCAACAAAACTGAAGCCAAAGTGAAGGCGAGAAGTAAGGGCAAAGCGAAGGCCGTTGACAGCGGGACCGAGGTTCTGGCGGTCAAGCAGAATTTGAAGACCATTACACAGAAAAATACGTTCCTTGCTGAGGACGTGCAACCGTTGGATGAAGATGACAGCGAGGATGATGAAATTTCCAGCACCCCAGGAGATCATGCATTAAACTCGGACGAAGAGGATGAAGGTAGCAAACTCGGTAGCGACGAAAATAATGAAGACGAGGTCGAAGAATTGTCTTGGAACGATGTCTTTAACGATAGGACGGAGCCGGTCAGCGAAGCTGTTGAAGACGATTTGTCTTCGGCCGAGCAAGGTATGGTGTCATTTTGTCGCAATATCTGTAGGCTAATCACGTCTACAGGTGACGCATCCGGTATAGCGGCCACTGCCCCGACAAAGAAGCCACGCATGAAGACGAACAAGGTATGACCATTTCTCATTGCTGTTCGTTTCCTGCGCTAACCAAGTACGTAGAAAAAGGCAGAGAATTTCTACACTAACACTAACGTGAAGAACAAAAGTCGAAACAAGGCGGCTGTGATGAAGTCTCTTCCTGTGGGCAAGAAGGGTGAAGGACGTAAACGGCGCTGATACTTGACTAGATTATATGTTGCTGTACAAAGCGGTGTCTGGTACCCTGTTATCATCCGGAGCTTTCTCGGTTCCTTTGAACGACTTTGAAACCCTGAGCACACAAAGTCCGGACACCCTGTGAGGCACGTCATTCACAACGAAAAGACCCCAGACTCTGCTCGACAGCGCTTCAGCTTAGTGTCGTAGCGCATCAGTATATAACGGCTTCTCTCTAGGGTGGGAATCACGAGTCCCTGAATGGCATCGAATTGATTACATCAGCGGTAAAGACCTCAACCACTCTACAGTAAGTATATTCGGAACGAGCTCGTCATTCTTCCTACCCTCGTGCGTTCCTATTCTGCGCTGTCCTGCCACGTTCGCTTCACTTTAATGTCCATCACCGAGCTAACTGCTCCGAATCCTGCGCCCAACCCCTTTGTGCGCTTTCGTTTCCTACGACCTACGGACATAAGCACCGACTCGGACGGACCTCGATTGGAGTCACCAAATCAACACTTCCCCACAATATTTTTTGTCCTCTTTATCCTCGTGTCCCCATCTCCCTCGTGTCTGCTACCCTCTCCCACGCGGAACTTTGGTGTGTGGTATAGTAGAATACTATCTCCTTGACAGTGTTTTGTCCTTTACATCTGATGAAATTGTAATCATGAACCAACTTGTTAAAATTCTCGTGTCTTTGGTTTACTAGGTGAGAAGAACGTGCTGCCCGGTCTTGAGATGCTGTTCCAAAAAAAAATCGACCAGCGAAGACGACATAGCTAGGCTGCAGTAGGAAGGGGCGGGAGCTCACGCCCAGTGAAAACCGGTCAGTGCGGGAGCGTGTGAGAGCGTGCGAGAGTATTACGCAAAGTGCCAAATCGTGTAGATAGAGTTGATAACCAATGGACGCCTGTTTTCTTGCGAGTGCAGCGCATGCAAACGCATGCACCTTGCGTGAACTCTGCATTCCCTTCGCATTTGTGTCGCAACTACACGGATTTCGCGACACTTTGCATTGCAATCACATTGCACTCGCATCTTCAATTGCATTCAGGTTGTGCACTTCACCCAGGTAAGCACAATTCCGGCGACGCTATACTCTGGCTTAGTCGATGCCTACGACTTACTGATCCTTCTTAGTACTAGGCCTATATCTACTAGGTACATATACTAGCTAATTCAACAAGCCTTTGTTTTCTCAATGGAATCATTCTTGGTCCGAAACTAGACCTATACGAGTGATACTATGTCCAACTTATATTGGTGTGTCTGTCGACGACACGGAGGGAGACGTGTGCAAGTCGGGCGCACTACTTACTACGACCACCTGCGTGAAGCAGAGACCGACGAGGAACGCGAGCAAATCATTAATGCACAGGACGATCCTGAGGCCATCCAGCTGATTCGTAAATACCTGAGCAAGCGGTGTGCCAGTCCAACTCATGCTTCTCCTGGAAAACGCACTCGCACGGCCAGTCCACATGTATGTATGTTATTTTATTCAATGGCCATAGTACTAATGAGCTTATGCAGCATCGAAACGACGAGCCTATGTCTCTGTCAAATGACGAGAACATGCAGCCTCAAAACGACGAGCCTCATCAGCCTCAAAACAACGAGCCTCCGCATCCACCAAATGACGAGCCTCATCAGCCTCAAAACGACGAGCCTCCGCATCCACCAAATGATGAGCCTCTGCATCCACCAAATGACGAGCCCGCTGCAAACCAACCACAGCCACCCAACCCTCCTGGCATTGATATTGATGAGCTTGAGCAGCTCTCTCAACTCCCAAAATTTCACCAAGCTTTCTCATTTATTCAAGCGCTTCGTGCAGCATCTCTTGATGACCCAGTTGCGAAACTTACACCTGAAGCTCTTGAGAAACTGCGAAATCCGCCTCAGCAGCCACCTCGTATCGCAAGTCCAATTATTCGTCACGGTATCGAGATGTATTTTCATCTTGAACATGCAGCTCAGGCTGCATATAAGGGGATTGCTGATTCTGCAGCAAGAAGTTTCCCTGGAGCGGAAGATATCCCATCTTATCGTGGTGTCGAACGCCTCGTCGCAGAACTTAGTGGTATTGACTCAATCAAACACCACATGTGTTTAAACACTTGTATCGCATTCACCGGTCCCTTTTCTGATCTCGACCAGTGCCCATTCTGTGACTCACACCGATATGACCAGCTGAAACTTGAAGCAACAGGCAAACAGGTTCCTGTTCGCGAGTTTCATACCATTCCCCTGGGACCACAGTTACAAGCACTTTGGCGTGATCCCGAGAGTGTGGGACACATGCACTATCGTCGTGAACGTACAGCTGCAATTTTTCAGTACTTGCAACAGCACGACGGCGAACTCCACATCATTGATGATTTCATATGCGGCAGTAACTACCTTGAAGCTGTCATGTTCTCGGAATCCCTGATTGTCTGACCACCGATGTTATGCATCTAATTGCAAACATTTCAGATTTAATTCTAAGCTTATGGCGGGGCACGATCAAGTGCGACACTTTGGATGATGTTCGTACTTGGCGTTGGGCCATATTTCGTGACGACGATGCTTGGACTGAGCATGGTGCAATTGTTGGTGCAACAACCTACCACATACCTGGCTCATTTGATCGTCCGCCTCGCAATCCAGCAGAGAAACTCAACATGCAGTATAAAACTTGGGAATTCCAGCTTTACATTTTCGGCCTTGCACCTGCACTCTTGCATACCATTCTTCCACAAGACATATGGCTAAATTTCTGCAAGCTCGTACGAGGGATTCGCATTGTCTGTCAGCACAGTATCTCACAAAACAAGCTTTGAGAGGCTCAATTGCTACTTGGCGAGTGGGAAACTGAATTCGAGCAGTTGTATTACCAGCGTCGTCATGATCGCATTCATTTTATCCGACCATGTGTACACCAGGTCAATCATCTCGTCCGTGAAACCATACAAAAAGGCCCTCCAGTGTGTTATGCACAGCGGACAATGGAACGGACCATTGGCAACCTTGGTCAACAAATTCGACAGCCTTCAAACCCATATGCAAACCTTTCAATGGAGGCTGTCCGACGATGCCAAGCAAATGCACTCAAGTCCATACTGCCATTCTTAGCTCCCCCTGACAATGTTCTTCCACGTGGACATCAAGAACTTGGCAATGGGTATGTCCTCCTCTGAATGAGGGAAAAGCGACCATATCGTCCACCAGCAATTCATGTAGCCCTCCTCAAAGATTTTGTCCATGCACGGCTTGACTCCGACTTCCATGTGGTCAAATTGCACGCACTGCCTGGCGTGAATCAGAACGGCCACTTGAAAAATTGCGCATTGCACGTCACATCAAAGTATGTGTTAACTGTACTTCACATAGCATGTACTGATTGTAGTATACAGGTTATTATTGATGGGACTGTCCGCTTCGCAGAAGTCCAGTACTTCACACAGGTTGCAATTGCTACGGAGAATATTGGTGAATGGCGCGATGCAAATATTGCTGTAATCTCAGTCTTCTCCGCTCCAGATGCTGACCTTGTTCAGCTTTCAAATCAAACTGTGCTTTCATGCAAATACCTTGGCGATGAAGGACTCTGTGTTGTTGATGTCACCTCTATCAAATCTGTTGTCGCAATGATTCCGCACCGTCCTACTCTACCATCTGGAGTCATCGAGGATCGCTTTTTTGTTCTTGAGCGTCCTGGACTCGATATTTATCAATTTGGTGTTGAGCAGGATCAAGAAGATGAGGTAGACCAACAGGAAATGGAAGCTGAGGAGAGAAACTAGTTTTATGGCACTTATACAGCACTCGTCTGTTGTTCCTTCAATACAAGAACTTCATTTGACCCTAATATTGCTTGACATGGTGTAGATGTTGTAGTATACAAATCGGAATTTACCGACACTTGCTATGACGTCTATGTTTAGGTTTTACCTTTTTCCCCTACCACCACAATGTCTGCTGTCAACACAGAAAGTGGTATCCATAACTTTGCTAGGTCGAGGAAGCTCTCTCAACAACACCTAGAGGCTTCACAAAACTTCTCCGAACAACGATATCCTTCTCCAATTACTCCTGTTTTCAATACTCCTAATCTTCCTTTGCATCAGTCGACATCAAGTAATTTTCCATGGCAGCAACCTTATAATTCGGACATTTCTCCTTCACAAAATGACTCTCGTTTTTCAAGCACTTCAAAGTACTCGTTTCCTGCCACACACAGGCATACCACAGACACACACGTAAGTTTGATTTATATTCATAGATGTCATGTCTGGTGTTTACCGCTCTACAGGGCGCATATATGCGTGATACAGACCAATTCATGGTTACATGACTCATATATGCGCGACATCCATGACTGACATTCTTTACAGCAAAGAATTGAAATATTAGAGAAGGAAAACTTAGAATTACGAACAGAATGCACCACCCTAAAGTAAGTTTCGAGTGTAGTGATATTAGAATAATGCTAATCTATAAGTAAGGAATGCATTTCAGATGCTTGCTAATTGTGTGGGACTACGAAATGCCGATGCCAACAATTTTACTCCGCCTCCTCATGCTGATGGAAAAACTCCACATATTGACCAGTCCCTGCCTTTGCGACCTCCTCTGTTGAGCTCTGACGATTACGACACCAAGTTTTGGGACATTGAAGACTGGAAAATATGGTGCAACAGCACTGAAGGATGTGGCTCAATCAAGTTGCGTGGCTCAGTCCCTTTCTTAGAAGATGAAGATGGAAATCCTCTCGTGTCGACAGCTATTGATTCTATCCGTCGCACAATGTGTCGACTCTTCGAGATGTTGGCATCCAAGAATATTGCACCACCATCCTGGGGACGCTTATCTGAACAAGCTTACCTTCTTTTTCATATTGCTATCGGTACAGCACACCCAGAACTCAGATTCTGCTCGAACGACTGGAAAGCAAATGAACTGGCAAAGAACGTGTATTCAGCTTGGCGAACGGCACGCAGGCAAGCAAAAGCGAGGGCTAAGGGCGTCAAATCTGAGGAACTCGATCAAGATGATCTAGGCTCTTATTCTGGCGATGACGAAGATGGAGACGATCTTGAGAACCGGAAGCGGAGCGCCATGCCAGAAGATCTCACACATACCATGAAGAGACACAAGACATACGAGTCTCCACTCTTGTCCAGTAGCACTACTACCCCTTCATCAGAACCTGAAGAACTTACCTCAACCAATCTCACACCATCAGCAGCGCAATGCGATAAACCCACTGCCATTGAGACTTGGACAGTACCTCAAATCAAACTGAAAAATCCACTGTATGTCAATTTTTAAAATTCTTCACAACGCTAATTCTGAATTTATTGACAGTGATGGTCTTACTCTTCCCCAGAAGTCTCCGCTGGTGCTGCCATCATCATCCGAGTCTACAACTCCAGTTCTCAAATCTGCTGCTGCCATCTCCCAACCCAATGCCCTCATCGATGGATTTGCTGGCAAGTCTCCTGAGGCTCTGGTCAAGACTGTCATGGTCACACCCCCCCTTGTTGATACACCCATACCAAACGGCCAGCCCACCACTTCGGTCTCCAGTGTTCCCATTCACAGTGTCACCGAGCCCACCAAAGTGCCGAAGAAAGCCAGCAAGGCGCGTCCCAGCAGTAAGAAGAACGGGAGGCAAGTATTTCTTTCCTGCTTATATGCTATCATTAGTACTGACATTGATACAGGGACCTTTAGTGATGTGCGGGCCCGGCTCGGCCTGAAAGCCCCGGCTTAGGCCCGGCTTTGGGGGGCTTGGGCTTTGCAAAAGCTCAGGCCGAGCCGTGAGCCCAAGCCAGGCCAAAGCCGCGGCTCGGCTTGGGCTCAACGACGGCTTTCAAGAACAAAATGATCTAAAATTCAATCTAAGCATATTTGTAATGGTGAGCAATCAACGACACGCGCATACCAATGCCATCCACCACACCATTCCCAACACCACGAACGCCATGCGCAAACGCCCAGTGCACATCAGCAACTCCTGACATGGCTCAAACGAGTGCGGACGACAGACACGAGTAGGAGGAGGGAAGAAGATGAGGAGATCTCGCGAAGGGTAAGTGGGCATTGAGAACACGGCAGTGTTGGGATGGTGCTCTAGGGGACTTGATCCGATCTTCTCGCTGAGATGTCAGATTATTTAAATATTGACTATACTCGGAGAGTGAGGACAATGCTGTGTCGCGGCGGGATTGATGATCATGAGATGGGGAGTGATATCCTGATTCATCTTGGTTGCTTGTACTATCCCAGCTTAGAGGTGGCGGCGAGTTGGCAGTCGGTATCACCAATGCAATAGACGGCACTGATGAAGGACGTGTTGATCCTGAAGACAACGTGTAAGTGGATGCCGAAGACAACGTGTAAGTGGATGCTGAAGACGACGAGTACATGGATGCTGAAGACGACGAATACATGGATGCTGAAGATGATGTGTAAGTTGATGCGGAAGAAGCAACTGGACTCGATAGTGCCATCGAAGACGACTCCTGCTCCAACTGGCGACGCTCCTCGTTTTCACGCTCGAGAACAATGGACATGGGCATGGGGATGTGATCAGATTTGTGAAGCTGGAATAGTACTCGAGCGTCTCTCCAAGCGGGATGTAATGCATCTATGTGTGGTTTGCATGAGACTGCACAGTGCATGAAGACTCTCGGCGTTCTCTAAGTCCTCTGCCAAAACGGACCTTGTTGGTGACAAGCTCGAGGCTCTTGAACGGAAATGATGGCGCCAGCAGTGTCGTGTGGATGTTGATTCACCTGCCAGAGATGGTGGTGCATGCACATGGCGAGGATTGCAAGAATCAAGACCTGAAAACCATGGTTAAAGGTCTAACGAGACATATGAGAAAAAGTGAGGTTGCTCACGATTGGTGGGCGCACAACTCTGGGTTGGGCTGGATGAATGGCAGTACGCGTCAAATTAAAATGTCATTGAGTCCGTGGAGGTCTGTAAAATCGATATCTATGAGGGACAAAAAGCCGCGGCCTGAGCCACCAGCTCAGGCTTTTCAACACCTCAAGCCGGGCCCTGGGCCGTGGTCAGGCCCTGACTTGGGCCCGGCTTGGCTCGGCCTAATCAGGCTCGGCTTTGGCCGGCCCACGGCCTGAAGCCGGGCCGTGCACATCACTAGGGACCTTTGCATCCTTCATTGGCTCAAGCAAGTCAAGAAAGACGGGACTACAGCAGAGTTTCGTATCTACTGGGACGCACTCGATACCCAACAGTGCAATGTACATTATCGTTTTTTCTCACTGCTACTACTAGTAGTACCATCATGCTGAACTCATCCGATTCTGTTAGTCTTACGAGTCTGAAGCGGTTCAATTGGTGAGTGTTACTTCAAGTTGTATTTGCAGTATTGATCCGAATCTTTACTCAGGTTTCCTCGAACGTCTGGGTCAAGAATACAGTCGGCGCAGTCGTCGACGGTACTTTGCATTGAGCGCGCACATTGCATGCCTGCGCTGTTCGGACTACCTTCATTCCATTGTTTTTGTGCTCTGTTTCAACTGCATATCATTCCATGGATTGTATCCGTATTTTGTACTACTAGTAGCTACAGCTTGAAGCAATATGATATGAACCGTTCTCGCACGATATCAAACCGCTCGCAAGGAATGCAAGGGAGTGCCACATTGTGTAGAAACAGCTTGAACAACTCTCGCACGATGACGCACAATATGGACTCCTTCTGCATCGTGTATTCGTCCGGATTTCTTGTCGAGATCGTGTGAGGGCGGTTTCAGCTGGCGGTGCACGATGTGGCACGCTCTCACATGTTCCCGCACTGACTGGTTTTCACTGGGGCTCACGGGCACTAGGGTTGGCAAAAAAAAAGGCAGAGGACGCTGTTGGCCGCGAGCAGAATATTGATCAAAGCTTCGTACCTTTCTCCAACATAGTCTTCGGGGTCCGACCTTACTAAATAACGTCAGTTGAATGGTAACATGGTTTCTGTAAAGATCTAGAGAGCCAATCTATAACAGGCCTGTCACAATCCCAACGTTCATCATAGCATTGGTAGCCACGCTTGTAAGGACACTAGCTCTAACGTATCAGCCGGATTTGTGAAAATGACCGAAATCTGGTACGAGGACTGCGTGGGAAAGCACAGAAGCTGATTATCTATAAACCTTCGACTGAGATTTCACCGAATCGCCCCATCTTGACTTTTGTCCTTCATGTCTGTTACCAAAGTCCACGCTCGCCAGGTAAGTCAGGCATGTCTCCACTGCAAACATGACTCGAATGCTTGCAGATCTTTGACTCTCGTGGCAACCCCACCGTTGAGGTCGACCTTTACACTGACAAAGGTACGAGATCGAACGCGATCTAACTTTGGGTTCCGCTCTTACACGTATTTCTTAGGTCGTTTCCGTGCTGCCGTCCCCTCTGGTGCATCCACTGGTGTCCACGAAGCTGTCGAGCTTCGCGATGGCGACAAGGCCAACTATGTGGGAAAGGGTATATATCCCGTTTCATGAGTACTAGTCACGTCCACTGAACATCACTCAGGTGTCTCCAAGGCTGTCAACAACGTGAACACTGTTCTTGGTCCAGAACTGATCAAGTCTGGCCTTAAGGTCACTCAGCAGAAGGAGATAGATGACCTTCTGATCAAGCTTGATGGCACTCCTAACAAGGGCAAGCTCGGTGCCAACGCTATTCTTGGCGTTTCTATTGCCGCTGTGGAGGCTGGTGCTGCTGAGAAAGGTATTCCTGTATACCAGCATCTCGCTGAGCTGGCTGGTGTCAAGCCCCCCTATATTATGCCTTGTCCTGCGTTCAACGTCATCAACGGTGGTTCGCATGCAGGCAACAAGCTGGCATTCCAGGAGTTTATGCTCCTTCCTACCGGTGCTACTTCGTTCACTGAAGCGATGAAAATCGGTACCGAGACCTACCACACGCTGAAGAAGGTCATCAGCGCAAAATATGGTATTGATGGTAAGTAATATATGCTGATGTCCTGCTTGGGGCTGAATTATGTGCTTCAGCCGTCAACGTCGGTGATGAAGGTGGATTTGCTCCCAATGTCTCGGGAGCTGAGGAGTCTCTGGAGCTCCTCACGGAGGCTATTAGCAAGGCCGGATACGAAGGCAAGATCAAGATTGCTCTTGATGTTGCTTCATCCGAGTTCTACAAGGACGGCAAATATGACCTTGACTTCAAGAACCCCAACTCTGACCCTCAAAAGTGGATCTCAGGCACTGAGCTCGCAGACCTCTACCTCAGCTACGTCAAGAATTACCCCATCGTCTCCATCGAAGATCCTTTCGACCAAGACGATTGGGAGGCATGGACTCACTTCACCAAGAATAGCTCAGTCCAGATTGTTGGTGATGACTTGACTGTTACCAACCCTCTTCGCATCAAGACGGCCATTGAGAAGAAGGCATGCAATGGTCTCCTCTTGAAGGTTGGTGTTCGTCATTTTCCAGGCAGTCATGTCGTTTGACACTGGCACTACTTAGATCAACCAAATTGGTACCATCTCGGAATCTATCCAGGCGTACGTTACTGCTACCATGAGCGTGCGTATGAACCTTGGCTGACGATGTTTTAGTGCACAACTTGCTCAGTCTGATGGCTGGGGAGTTATGGTGTCACACCGCTCTGGTGAGACGGAGAACACCATCATTGCTGACTTGGTCGTTGCTCTTGGAACCGGTCAGATCAAGACCGGTGCGCCCGCTCGTAGCGAGCGTGTCGCAAAATATAATGCATTGTTGCGCATTGAGTGAGTGTTTGTTTTGCACTGAAAAGAACTTTGTTGATCATTTGTCAGGGGCGAGATTCAAGACGGAGTTTATGCTGGTGACAAAGGTCTTTCCGCTGGTTTGGCGGCACCTGCTCTGCTCAAAAAGTAGATCGAGAGATGCATGGACTACTGACGGGAAGCTCAACTGTATGATTCATAATTTAGGTAAATGCCATGTTGACAAGTGTACGTTCGATCATGACGATAACCCAATCATTTTCAAATGCCTGAATACACGTCATATGTAACTACGTCGCGATACGTTGAGATGAAAGATATAGTATTCTTGTCGTCGTATTCTGTAATCGATTTGATTGTGATTACAGGGATTGAGGACAAGCATACTATTTCCCAGCAGCGCCTCCCTGAGGGCATTCATCGATATTCATCTCCGGCACTCCAATGAATACGTCAATATGGTGGAGCTAGTTCCTGGATCATCCATGTTACTCTGACGGGCTTACAAGAGATGAGGGGGCACACGCATCGAAGGAACATTTCTTCATCCAGACCTTCGATAAAGGAATAGAACAGCTTAGGCTGCCACGAGCCATAAATAATAAGTATCAGCCCGAAGTAAGTCGAGGAATAGCCGTTCGTGAGCAACGTCTAAAAGAAACAATCTGATTGTCCCTCGATGGCTTGAAGCCCCCTTGACAAAGTTGAGGTCCGGTATTACCTTGCCACACTTAATTCTATATCAAAGTAATACTCAGGCTAGAGTGACTTTATGGACTAGTGACGACATGCTAGCTAACTAGCCCTAACCTAAGTGTTCATGGACCTATATCTTCTTTCGTCCGTCGTTTCTCGATCGCTGACTATGTCCTGCACGTGCTGGTCTTCAAGTTCGCTTTCTGTTCCATTCCTATCCCCCAGCCTAATTTTTGGAAGGAGCATATGATGCTGCTAATCTTCTTGCCTATTGCGTGTCCGAAGCACAGGGAATTTCATTTGCATGATGATACACCTACACATCTACTACCAGGTACTGTAAGCCCCTTGGTACCAGAGTTCCCACAATCTACACAAATACTGTCCGGGATATTGAAAGACAAGCTTCCAGTATCACTGCCTTTTGGCGTGACGGTCAAGCGGACGCCAGTCTTGACTACTTACAAGTCCCTGCAGATATTGTCACCTAGGGCAGCCAATATTAGTCTGCCAGGTCTGGGTTAAACATCCATCTGGACAGGAAAAGCGACCTGATATCGATCGCGCATGTGTCCGCCTACAAATTCGTCCTATTAAACCATCGCTGTATCCGCAAATCAAACACCTACCCATGTCAAAGTAAGCCGATCTTCAAGTTGTTCCAAGAATAAACAGAAGCCCTGCGTTGGAAAAAGGAGTGCGGCAGACGGTCAGTGTAAGCAGGATCCGGGAAAATAATGTCTCTATTGAAGTGCAAGTGAATTACCGAACCTGCCTTGCAGATCAGAAGGTCTGGTGAGTCGGGATCATATCTGGTTTTCTGAGCGAGCAATGACTCGCTTATTGAAGTCCCAGATTTGCACGTAGCAGCAACTGTCAGCGGAGAGTACTCCCAGTCTTTGTCCAGGCTCAAGAGTACGATCTTGCGGAAGATCATAGGCCATTTTACTACCAACTTGAGACACGCCAATTTTGTGGCTCGGGTGGTGCGGAAAGCAGCATGTATGCTGTAGTCTCCACTTTAACCAGATAATCTGCACAGGTGTCTCCGAGTGCAAGGCCGTTTCTGAGAAGATGACCACATCGATGACTAGGATAACCTCTTGGTCTAAGGGAAACTCTGGAACCATTGGAGCAGGCCGAAGGGCTCGCAGCCCAGAGACAGAGCAACCAAGCTGGAATGAGGTGAAGCTACGCGACAACATGCTCGAGACCTAGTCTACACGCCGACTAAGCTATGGAAAGGGCCGATAGGCCCTTGGTGCGTGACTCTTGCCCTTGGGGCCCCTGGTCCACCATGATTTGTGACTCTACAGAGGGCATACAAGTAAGCATATGTTCTGGGCGAGCCGCTGCGCAACCACGGAACGATGGATGGGCATGAACCGTGAATGAATGCTGCTTATGTTGAGTAGCAAATTTTTCCAAAATAGAGGGAACCTACACTCTTTACATATTCTTTCCTCCAACCGACTACTTGCATGAATGTGCCAGACACCTGGGCGTTACCCATGTCCTCAAATTGATAGAAGACAAATACATGGTCATTCCAGATTGCAGGCAGGATATATTCGACCGTTCACAACGGCAATTGCCTCCCCGTCTGCTTGCAGCTCCGACCTAAGCCTGATCTGGAGTTGTATCACATTTGCTCATGAATGCATATCATATCTCGACTCTATTCCTTGGGCCGAGTATGAGAGCTTCCGCACTAAGGGGTGCTGATTGCGGTTCTCCATATGTCACGGTGCTTCTGTTCGGATATATCAGCGTTTCAACCCTCTGATAAACAATTATAGAATGATAGTCCCGACAGGACTAGTGTGGCATGAATTTGCAAAGTTCGAATCAATCTTGACTTAAATATTCCTGGGTCCGAGTATCGCTCCTACGAGAGCTTCTGCTCCGGATGTCGTTGATTGCGGTTCTCCGCATATCATGCTTCTGTACAGATACATCAGCCCTCTGATAGAGGTAAACAATTATAGACTCTACAGCAGATTGTCACGGAGCTTGGGAGTTCAGGCTATATTATGTGGAATGGCTTTCAACGAGCAACGCGAGCAGAATCGTCATGGCACAATCCACTCCTCGAATTTGGCTAAGTGACTTTGTGCATGCAACTGCTCGTCGTGCGGGTTACTGACTGCCAATCGTAGTTACAGGTTCTTCCTCTGGATTCAGCAGGGCGATGGTGGAAGAGGTCTTGCATAACGGCGAGATGGCTGTCGCTACTCTGCGCAAGCCATCCGTCCTTGATAACCTCGCGGCTCAATAATACCCGCCCACTCAGCTCCTAGTGCTACCCCTAGATATGACGAACGAAGCGCAGGTAAAATCTGTCTTCGCATAGGCTAAGGATGCCTTTGGGCACATCAACGTCGTATATAACAACGCGGGGCAGGCAGTATTTCAGCAATTGAAGGGAATGTCGTTGGACTTGCCAGGATGCCAATTTCTGGAGCGCGGTAACAGTAAGCTTTGAGGCGGTTGGATTCTTTAAAAAGGGAACCCGAAGGGTTGTGGGGGGATGTTCATCCAAGTATCGAGCCTGGCAGCGACCACCGCAGTCCCGCTTGTCGGGTTCTATAACACCACGTGAGTGGGTTGATGCTGTCTGGGTAAGCGTCGTTGAGACATTTGTTGTTTGTAGAAAAGCAGGTAGATTGGTTATGTTGCTTATGGCACATTGTGTGCCTTCGATTCACCACTGTTAGCCTTGGATTCGTTCACCGAGGTTCTGGCACAAGAAGTCATTCCCGCTTGGAAGATTCGTATGAGTAATTGATTCGGAAGGGATGAATGCTGAGTGCTGAGTGGCCATATAGCTCGTGAGTGTCCACCCAGATTGGACGCGCACGTGAACGATGAATATTTGCGCAGAGATGTTCAGGAGGGCATTCCAGTCCTTGTGAACTTGCATACGGGCATGGACTTGCTGGAGTGTGCACTGCGTGCATGTGAAGATTGGGCGGCCGCAGGGTGAGCTAATGTGGAATACGAAGGTTGTGTTCTAAGCGAGTCTGAGGAATTAAACGAAGACGACTAGTAAATGACATAGTCACAGTCACAGTCACAGTGCAACGCGCACTCAAGCTGGGACCATTCTATTCTATTAGGACGGAACGTTTGATCCCGCGAGAACCAATTCGTGTGACTCTCCTGTCTGTGCCCCACCTGAGCTCGAGCTGAGCTCCACCTGTGCTGTCATTTATCAATGCCATACATGATACTACTAGACAGGGGATTATCGATTAATACTAGAAGGACTTCGAATGCCTACTAGTACCTTCTCTTCTCTTCTTCTCATTGGCATCTCTGAGCCTGTTTCGGCCCCGACAACGCCCCCATCATGATGTACGGGGTGTCAATGCCCTATCTCGTCCTCTGCACGGCTATCTCGAGCGCCAACACGACATCTTATCATTTCAGGATAAGTTCTCCTTTGTAATTAACCTCTTTTTCGCGCATCTCCAGAAACGTGCAACTTCGTCAGCTGAGAAATACCTTGGATTGCAACACTGTAGGTCCTTTTACTGCAGCCAAGTTTTCAAACGCTTATGCACGCCCAGTCCAATTGAAAGAATCGTACACCCTCGTTGCGTTCAATCGCTGTTACTTGCTTGTAACGTACACAAAACGTAAGTATGTGGATTCAACGTTCTTCAATTATTGGCGGCAGGGCGCAACTCAAGGCATCCTTATTTCATACTTACGCGCTCGAATCCTTTTACAGACGTCTTCCAAATGTCTTCTGTTCATCTGTTCAGCCCCTTATCACTTTGGGCCCAGTTACCCCCACTCCTGCTGTGTCATACACTACATCCTTGAAGATACCGGGGAATGGTACCCAAAACCTCATTCCGGCGAAGATTACAGCTTGCCATGCCTCGCGAAAACAGTTTCACGGACTCTGTTGGATGTTGCTTGACGCCTGACCTTGAGGACGAATTCGTGCCATCGCTGAGTCCACCACCACGTTCCGCATCCCCTGCCCATATCGAATCGTCTCTACCCTCTAATGGATCCTCCCAAGAGCCTGTACCTCAGTCTTGGCGACGTGCATCTTCGTCAAAAATTCCGGCCTCACTGCGGCCAAAACGTGCTCCTGCCCTCTATTTTCAAACACCCAAAGATCGCTTCCGCGCATGTGTCCGCAAAGTGATTTCCATACACCGGAAAACAACAATCCTTTTGGGTTTCGGTCTCGCCGGTGCAGAACCTGGTGTTGACCCGCGCAGGCAGTCCGCAGATCTGCATTATGCGCACATTCGCGAGCGCTGCGAGATCCAAATCGCCGACTATAGTACCTTGAGGAGTAGCTTTGGAAATATGGATAATGAGCGTTTTGTACAAATGTTAAATGATAAGAGAAGTTCGGAGAGGGAGCCATGGGTGAAGGTGAGGTGGATAAACGTGTGCGGCATCAGCTGGGATGTGATGAGTGCGCTTGCCCTGAAGTATGGTATGTAAATGGCCACGATTCTTCATGCGAGGTGTTGATAATAATCGTGCGTAGGCCTTCACCCGCTCGCCCTCGAAGTTGTCCTGCACAAACACGGACATACGCGCTCCAAAATGGACTACTACAGTCAACACCTCTTTATCCATGTCTTATCTCACACACTCACTTCCTCCTCTTCATCTCCAAACCCTTACACACCAGAAGGCGAAGACCCGCCACGGAGCTTTTCGCCAGGTCCAATGACGCCAGGGGACTACCACAAGGAGTATTTCAAGGATGACAGCGTCCGTGCAGACGCTGGGGATGAAGGTAGCACGATGTATGGCGGCAGTGCGCCTGCAACCTGGCGACTTGGAAGCACCATCAGGAGCAGAACGTCAGTGACAGCTGACATGGAAAGTGTTGCAAGGGCCAGGGAGGATGGCTTAATCCCGCTAACATCCGCTACGCGGAAAGACAGCGCGGTGAGTTGTATCTCTCACATTTTGCGTTTTTTCTCGTTGTATTTTCGTTTTTATCTCTGACCTGCATCGACGTGATTCATCATATTTCGATTTGCACTCTTGTCGACAGTACTTTTCTACTCTTTTCTCTTTAAATCAACATAGTCCCAAACCAATACTTATTACAATGTCCTTCCTGCGCAGTCCCGAAAACGCCGGGAGAAAGCTCAGATGACTCTCACTGATCTAAAGAAGGCGGGCCGCGTGAACGTTTGCATCCACCCGATATCAATTTTCTTATTGAGAGATGGTGAGTGCTGGACTCATTTGCCTAGTTGTGTCATCATTGTGTGGTTTTACATTTATTTCCTGCCACATTCTGTCCTTCCTTCTCGGCACACTTGTCTTGTCATGTATCAATTCATGCCGATCGGACTGCGACACATCCGGTGGGCTACGTGTATGATGCTTTGTAGTGCATATATGTCGATTTTGAGCCAACGTTGACCATCGAGTCACTAGTATTATATACTTTTATTTCCACGCATATACCGCGATTTGTGCGCATTTTTTGACGTATATGCTTCGAATAATAATAGCTGACTCTGTGTGACACAGGCACAGTGATCTCTGTTATGCCGTCCAATTTCATCGACTTCACAGGTTCCATCATGGCGCGTCTCCGACAGCCTGACACGGGGCTGCGTACATCTGCAGACCCCAGTCTACTCGTTCAAAGCCTGCTCGACCTCATCGTGGACTCTGCACTTGAGGTGGTGGATGCATTCCATGAGAAGATATTACAGCTGGAATACGATGTGTTGATGAAGCCGGATATGAAAGTGGTTACAAGGCGTGCGCATTATTCCCCTTGTCCGTGTCTATTTGTGTTGACAGCCCTGAAATCAGTACACATTCTTTCCGGTGATTTGATGTTGCATAAGCGGACTCTTGGGCCCCTCAAGACGGTTATTGGTGGGCTACGACGGTACGACGAGGACCGGTGTGCTGCACTTCTCTCGCCTGCTGAGAAGTGGGTTCAAGAGCAAAGCAGAGAGAAAGTGAAGGGTTTCATGTCCCATAAGAGCAAAATATACTTGGTGTGTCATGACCTGTCTTCAACCCCTTGTATAAGTTTTGGCTGAGTTGAGATGCGGTGGCAGGCGGACGTACACGATCATATGGAATATATCCTTACAAGCATGGATATGTTCGCAGGGATCACAGAAAACCTGATCAACTACACGTTCGATGTGCGCAATTACTTTATCTCAAATTTTTTTCGTGCTGATTGACGTGAGTGACAGATGAAATCATACGAGATGAACGTAATCATGTGCGTGCATTTTATTTCATCGGCATGCTTCGAGTTGATGTCGACTGTCAGGCGCCGCCTCACTCTCGCAACTCTCATATTCCTCCCGCTGACATTACTCACGGGTTACTTTGTGAGTTTCTTCCCGCCTCACTTAGCCCGCCGAGTTTAACGTATTGCATAGGGAATGAATTTCAAATCTATGTGGAGTGTCAATAACCATTCCGACGCCTTGTCCGTATCCCGAACTCGCGCAAAACTCGAGCTGACGTATGCACGCGCACAGATTTTGGATGATCGCAATCCCTGTCACGGCATTCGTCATGCCCTTAGTAATCAGACTTCAAGCGTACTACGCATCATGCTGAGAGGCCGTGGGCGGCGAAGTTATTAATGGTGCGTTATTGCTTAGTTTGTTGTGTGCTTATATGTTTATAATTGCCTGATAGACTATATCAAGGGCAAGTTGGCGTGAATGCCACTGACAGATGCCACAGCTCAGCGCGGTTGTATTGCCCAACTTTACACGGTTTGTTGTTTTATAGATTTCGGCAGCATTTGCTTGTTCGGGCTGGGTATGTCTTGTTTTCTATTTATTGTTAGAGTGTAACTGTACTCGTTCGAAACTTCTTGTTCTTGAAAGCTTGACGTACCGGTCTTTGCTAAAGTAATTATTGCAAGTGATTGCCGCTGCGCAGCTTGTCTTGTAAAAGGACATTCTGTACGAGTTTCTATCTGCTTATAGAAGATTCCTTTTTGTGTATCAATATGTAGTATTGTGTATAGTATGTTGTCTATCTTGCCCTACGAAAATAACATCCAAGTATACGTGCATGGTATGTATGATTAACAGATGCTCAAGGAGCTGTATTGAAACGAAAGATAGTTTGAGTGTGAGACGTTGGCTGCATGCAGCAGAAATCAGAATTCGGACACAGGCACTAAAAGTAAACATAAAAACTCGAGTTGCGTCAATTGAATGAGTCATGATTGAAATTGAGTACAGCTCTGACAGTTGTGCGCAGTGGGACGTTGGCTGTCGTTAAAAGCCATATGTAACTTGATGTAAGATGAAGTAGAAATTGAAACTCTAGCGGGCAACAAACAGTGTGAACAATCACAAAAGTTTTAACATGAGCAGATGCAAAGCCCAACAGGGTCCATTGAGCATCAAAGGATGGTCCTGTCATTCCTGTGGTTGAATTATACTTCATAGCGCCGCAGGCAGTACTTGAGGTCTGAAATATTGGACTACTACATACCCGCCGGGAAACAAAGGTTTAACACCTAGAGGAGTAGGCAGACCACGGTTACATTCAAAAGTACCTCGATAACCTGTGTACTAGCCATGGTGAAGTAGATATCAACGCGAAAGCACAAACCAACGAATGTTGGCGCGTTGATCCAGCGGCATAGATTTGAGGTAGTGATCAAAGCGCTCCAAAACTTTCCTCCTGTTTCATGAAATCATTTGAAATACGACATTTGAACAGAGGTAGAAAAAGTGAATATATCAAACAAACAGATCGGTGTTACCCGCCACCCTCAGCGGGTGTACCAGGCGCCTGTCTGTCTGTCTGTCTGCGATACCGCAGTCGTCGACCAATCTTTCCCCTTGCACGTAGGTGACATGCTGATTTTTCAAGTTGCACGCACAAGTTGGAGTACCCTACCCTATATGGAGCCTACGCTTGATGCGTGTGGCTCGGGGAGTATTTCAAGTTGTACTTTGTCAAAATCAGTGGGCCGGTGAGTTCTTGCTGGCGATTATGTTGATTGCGGTGCATTTACATGCTTTATAATGGCCCGTGGTTCTGCTGCTGTAGTAGATGATGAATGTTGAACATATGGTGGGTCGAAATTGGGAAGCGATTTCCCTACAGTGGTCAGCTTCAGTAGGAGATATATCCACGAGGTTTATCCATGAAGGACTCCATAGTAGTAGACACTGGACTGTCTCGACAGAGGATGGTGTGATTACGTTTGACGCTTGCTGTGGTGGCACGTGACCGTGAAATACCATTTCAAATTTTCTAGCATGCACTCAGAAGCACTCTACGTCGGCAAAGCCTTGTCTCTCCTACAGCCAGAATATATATAAGAGGAAGACTGCCCTATATTCAAGTTATCCCTCTTTCATATGGTCTAAGTATCTGACATATGTTTCGGCTGTTCGGCTAGGACACGCTGGGTTTGTGAGCACCGATCGACAGCGCATGGGAGGAACCAGCACTGTGTGCTCAATTCCATGGGACAGTGGAAGGTCCAAGTAACTAGCCATGGCACAGCAGCCATAGCTGATGCGTACTCGCCATTTGGCTACACCGCAGCAGCGGGAGTCATGACTGTATGATCTGTGGCGGTAGTAAGCAACACATCCTCCTGAATATTTGCGGTCTCCGAGTCGGCAGGCAGAATTCATGCAAAATCGACGCAATTATTGTCAGATCATTGATTGTGGGTCACAGACCGTTTCCAGTTACCGGTTGTTCCTCTAGACCTGCGCAAAGGAGTTCAGGGGGGCATTCAAGATCTCGTGAACATCCAAGCGGGCACGAGATTCACCGGAGTGTGTGCAAAAATTGGGCGGTTGCAGGGCGAGCTGATGTGGAATCATGATCGCATTGTCTCCAGGATTAGTAGTAGTTGTGTGGTGTATATGCACAAGTGCACGTATGGTAATTATTAATAACTATTGGACAACATCATTAAAACTAACTTCGAGGCACTACAGCTAAACGATAGCTCGTTATTGTGGCTGTGGTCGTGCGGATATCCTGCACTTCATTGCGATCTCCGTATGCTCTCCACAAAAGCAAGAAGATCATCTTCCAGCATTGGTTTCAATCCGTAATCGACGTCCAGCTGAAGATCCGAAAGGCGGTGGTCAAGTTCTTGGACCAACTCAGCAGGTGCAGCAGGTCTGTCCTCTAGTTCAAGCTGGTCGAGCCATGACCGAAATGTATGGATCTCAGCATCTTCTACGTTGACGTTGAGATCAGGACCAGCCATCTCTCCTTTTCCGACTTGCTTGGGAGGTTTGAAACGTACAAATGCATACGTATGGCATCGATCTCTTTCATTCCCAGAGCTGTCTATCGGTGGCGTATGTAACGCAAACACCCAGCCTTCTCCTTGGAGACCTCGCAGTGAATACTGCGGAATACACGCGACCTCTCTATTCTCGCTATGTGCTTGGCGGAGCCCAGAGAACAAAGTGGCAGGAGTGACAGTGGATACGTGCTCCAGGAGATCAAGTTGCCATGGGGAATCTTTGGGGCCAGATGCTACATCTAAGGTAGCGTGGGTGATGACAGTTGGCTGGAACAATGCTACGAGATCGAGGATAGCGTGGATGATGACAGATGACTGGAACAATGGCAGTGTGCATGCAACCGGATGGCTATGCGTGCCTGAGGCTTGTATGTAGGAGAAGGCAATGGGGTAGGGCGCGTTTTCACACGTGAGGGCTAGAGGCTGCAAAAGAGAGGGATGTAATAAGGTATCGAGTGAGCGAAAAAGATGCCCGTTGTATCGCAGGAGCTTATAAACGTCATCATTTTCTATCAAAGGACAACCTAGAGCTATTAATTTGTTCAAGTGTGGAGCAAGCTGCAAAATCCTTGGGACGATCTGCGCTGTGAGGTAGGAATTACGGGAGAGATCTAGTATTCTCATTTTGTTCCCATGGATGTTCAAGATTTCTTCAACCTGATCGTTTCGTACGGCTATCTCCGCAAGTGACAGCACGCCGTTCTTGTCGCTCAACTTCTTCGCGACAACACTGTGCAATAATGGCATTCCGTTGTGAGGAAATGGCAATAATCCCTGCAAGCCGCCATAAACTTGAAACGTTTTCCCTGCCTGCCAGAGTTCATACATCTGTTCGATGTCATACGTGTCATGGGTATCCTGTGTAATGGTAATGGTTGGAATTTGCGCATTCGATTTCATCGTTAGTTCTGGTGCGACTGATTGTAACAGAGGCATCCCGACAAGCTTTCTGACTTGCTCGCTGATCGTGAAGTCAAAGGCCTCAGATCCCGAAGAAGCACAATCTTGAGGAATTTCAGTCCTCTTGTATTCCTTTGGCCAAACCGATATCAGAGTGTCCAGGTTTATGAGCTTCACGTTGTCAAGTTTTGTGACATGGCCATTGTCGTGTAAATCACCCTCCGTATACGCATGCAGATATTGGCGCGCAGAGAGCGGCATACGTGGAGATGGGATAGCTTCGTCCTCACGATTGCTTGTCGTCCTTGTAACGTGAACGAAGCAATATGTCGGCGACCTCACCGAGGTGAGGTCAATCACAGTAATATCTTGTTGATTGTCTGCTGAACAGACTCAATTGTCGTCTACATTTATAACAAGGTGCAAACCTGCACTATCGTTTCCGATATTCTCATCGAGGGGAGAATATTGGCTATACCCAACATTTGAGTTGCCAGGAACGATAAACTTTGTGCTCCAGCACATAGCCATGAGGAAAGTAATGAACGGGCAACAGACAGCCGGTAGATCCTCGTTACTGCAGTACTTGTCATGCAGAGCGCTTGTTTCTGACTCTATTACTTCCTTATTACTCCCATGTTTCATCGTGGCAAGAAAGCGAAGAAGACAGCACAGCGCTATTGCCCCTTGACATTGCATGACATGATATGCTGCCACGCAGCGGTACTTGGTAGATCCTGAACCCGCCGTACGGACGCGAGCGATGACGAATATGTGTTGTCGTTCACCCATTGGAAATCTGAGTGACGACAAGAGTAGGGAGTTAGGACTGGACCGTAGTGAAGACTTCGATGGAGCTGCAAATAAGCTTTCGGACAACTCGGGGACTAGTGGCGTCAACTGAAGCTGTGCATGTCACGGCACGGGCCCGCGTCACAACCGCGGCAGACACGACAGGGTCGGAGTACGTCAAAATAGTTGCGCCCAGTGGTTAAAGCCAAAGCTTGTTCTTATCCAAACTTGTGCCAAGTACCATTGTTATCCGACCAATGAAATTTCATTCAAGGTTAACGTTAACGCGCATGTCAGGCCTTAAAGCTCCAGCATCCAGCGACGGTCAACTTGTTACTGGGTTGAACAGACTTGGACGTGACTGCCTGAATAGCCAGCACTAAACATATCTCCTTGCCAGACCATGTTCGACGTGATGGTTCTCAGAGAAAGCATCTGGGAAGTGTTGGGTGCTACTTTGAAGAAGAGTGAGTTCCACAACCGTCATAGTGACCAGAGTACAACATTAATGCCGATTATCTTGCGCTACAGGAGATACTACCACTCAGTGAGCCAATAGCACTTCTGCCGTTGCAGTATTCTCATTGCATACCACAGGTTCGACCATGGAGATATCTCTTTCATAATTATCGCAGGTGCCATGGTATTCTTTATGATACCAGGAATTGGTTCGGAATTTTCTCTCACATCGCATTTCCCATCCGCTCACTTACGGTGTTATATCAGCCTTTCTATATTCCGGATTGTCAAGAAGAAAGTCCGCTTTGTCTCTTATCTGGGCAGTGTCTGCCAGCAATGCAGTCTGTATCTTTCAGTGGTACTTCTGGGGTTACTCCTTGGCCTTTTCCCCAACTGCCACCAATGGATTCATAGGCAACCTTGCCAACTTTGGTCTCATAGGTGTTCTTGGCGACCCGTCACCAGGTTCCCCATTAATTCCTGACCTGTTGTACTCATTCTATCAGATGGAATTCGCATGCGTCACAGTAGGAATCCTGATGGGTGGGATCGCCGAGCGTGGACGGGTTCTCCCGGCTATGATTATCACGTTTTTGTGGATGACCTTGGTTTATTGCCCCCTCGCTTGCTGGCCGTGGAACATAAACGGATGGGCCTTTAAGTACGGCGTTTTCGATTATGCAGGTTAATTAATTATATTTACTGCCATATGTTCTCTCTAACATCTTTTTCATCCTAAAAGGTGGAGGCCCTGTGGAGATCGGAAGCGGGATAGGAGGACTTGCCTATTCCTGGGTACTTGGCCGCAGGCAGGAGAAGGAACTCCAAAACTTCAGACCGCACAATGTTTCCATGGTTAACCTGGGTACATTCATGCTCTGGTTTGGATGGCTCGGTTTTAATGGTGGTAGTGCTTTTGGAGCGAATTTGCGCGCCATCATGGCGGTGTGGAACTCTATGCTTGCTGCCGCATTTGGCGGTATTGTTTGGTGCCTCCTCGACTATCGTTTGGAGCGCAAGTATACTATGGTCGGGTTTTGCTCTGGAACTATTGCAGGTCTCGTAGCAGCCACGCCTGCTTCAGGATTCATCCATCCCTGGGCGGCAGTCATCATGGGCATAATCACCGGCGCTGTATGTAATTATGCAACTAAAGGTGAGACTATTGGATTGCTCGGGAGTGCACTTATTGACCGAGCTTGAGTTAAATCTCTTATTCGTGTGGATGATGCACTCGATCTTTTTGCCGAGCACGCTGTCGGCGGGATCTTGGGTCTCTTGATGAACGCCTTTTTCGCTTCCCGTTCCATTATCGCCCTGGATGGCGTCAACCTGGATGTTACTGGTGGGTGGGTCGACCACAATTGGAAACAACTTTACATCCAAGTCGCCTATATTTGCGCGGTGTGTTCATACACATTCGTTGTTACTGCTATCATCGTCAAGTGCGTTGATTCCATCCCTGGCCTCCACCTACGCACAACGGCTGAGGGTGAAGAACTCGGTCTTGACGAAGTCGAGGTAAGCCTCATTATACTCTTGCTTTTATATTGATCTAATAAGAGCCCAGATCGGTGAATATGCAAACGACTACATTGAAGTACGGCGTCACTTCATGGACTGGACGGCATTTGGCAACGGTACAGATGCACACCGATCCAGCGCCGCTGGTGATAAACACGACCAACCAACCCTCGCGCAACAACAAACCTTACACATTAAAGAACCAAATCCCGATACTCATAGTGCTGATGAGAAAACCCTTGATCTCCCCCATGCCGACGCGGCCTCGGTCTCTTCTTAATTGCAGATCTATTTCAGCATCTTCCTTCGTCTGTTGTTTGGTTTATTGAGTACACCAATCTCCATTCTGTTTTCTATTCCTATTTCCCTGCATAATTGGGAGGGGCACGTTGCTAACCTTCTGTTCTTCACTTAGCTATAGCGCATCCCAGAAAGAGGGTGCATCCACAAAATGGTACATATGGTTACCTGAACATCTACTACTAGTATCCCCCCAAAAAAGAGGGCGTATAAAATGGTATATCATAGTATAGTTACCTACACATCTACTGCTGTCCTCACTACATCGTAATATTTATCACTGCTGGCGCAGTCAAGATTCGAGTCTGTTGGTTCTGAGCCAATATCCATTTTTACTGGAGAAAGGACCTGGAAATCCATCGTGTCTGGCTACAAATTGGTCACATTAAACCACCACTGTATTTACAACAAAAGATGCCCACTCATGTCAAATTCAGGCGATCTTATTCCAAGAACAAACAGGAGCTACACGCCGAAAAAGGTGCACGAAAGACGATCGCAGTGTAAAGATGATGTCTCCATCGAAGCACGACCGGGCTTGTGGATGAAAAGGCCTTGTGAGTCGGAGTCGTACATATTTTTCGAACAAACAATGATCTGCTTATTGAAGCCCAGATGTGTACATCCATGTAATCGTGGGTGGATAGTTCTTCCACTCTTTGTCCAGGCTCAGGAGTACGATCTTGGGGAAGACCATCATGAATCATGATGGGCCATTTTGCTACCGAACATGATGGCTCCGAGTCCGTGGCTGATGATGCGGAAAGAAACACGTATGTTGAGGCCCCGGTCTGACCAAAAAATCTTCGCAGGCGTCTGCGAGTACAAGACCGTTCCCGAGAAGACCTGTGCTGGAGAAAAATGGACGAGCCCAGACAGCTGCGTACTATGCGGAGGATGAACGGTGGCACTTTTGAAAGAGATAGGTAATTCGGTGTTGCAGCAACGCCTCAAGTTCTTGTAATGTATACAAGGTTACGAAGCCGATGGCAACAACCATCTGTCATCGTTTGTGCAATAGTAGACAGATATACGATCACCAGATTTTAAAATTTTCCTTGGCCCTCACACGATAATAATTAGCCACGTTTGCTGCAGGAAAATGCCCAATTACAATGTCTAGCTGCAAAAGCTTATGCTGCGACCGCAACATCCTGTAGAGGGACCAGGGTTGACATCAGAAACCGGGTTTGAGAATCTCGAGATGACAAGCTGCCTTTGGGTTCGGAAGAGTTGTGATTGTAGTTGCAGTCCCGAATGAGAACGTTTGTCCAATCGGCAAACTAGATAGACCAGTCATGCGGGAAGAGTAAAATATAACATACAAACTCTATCATAAGCCTGAAATCACATCGCCATGGCTGTGCAGTGTGGATGGCCGCATCTATACACTCACATAAGATTAATCACGTGATACGATATTATCGGAGTTTCCTAATGAATTTCCTATTTTGCGTTATCTTCGTGGAGTGCTGGTCATGACATGCATGACAACGTTCGTCATTGGTAAAAGCCGTGGGCCAATCTCAGCTACTGTTACTTCCGCTTCAAACCAGTAGCCGCGGTTCTGACATATCTTGGCCCTTAAGGATCAAAGGCAATGCTTCTGCCACCGCCGTCACCGTGGGATATCGCTTCCACCTATCTATATAAGTGAGACATTGTCCTTCAACCCTTCTACATGTCTACCACATCCTCCGAGAAATCCCCAGAACAACCGCATGAGACGGTAACCAATCGTCTCACCGAAGTCGGTGCGAAGGACCAGCGTGCCTATGAGCGCGCTAGGCACCAGACCAAGGAGCGGCGGGAGTACGCACAAGTGAAGGAGCGCAAGGAGAGAACGGTTGCTGGAGCGCCAGCACCGGCCCTCAAGGAGGGGCATGTCAGCCGAGCTGCTAAGAAGGCTAGCTTGGAACTCTGGGAAGGCAACGAGCTTGATTCTCGTATCCTCATTGGATCGGGGCGTCCTGTCAATGTCGCACCAGTGCTGAGGAACAAGTCTGGTTTCTCCAAGATGGCACTTGCGGATTTTGTGACGTTCAAGACCAAGAGACGGTCCAAGGCGCAAGGTACAGTGTTGCTACATTTCGTCCGTCATAATTCTGACTCGAAGTTGTGCATAGATGCTGACTTCGAAGTCCTCCCGCCTGTCCGTTCAGTCATTGCTCTTGATGACTTTGGACATGACATTGAGATCAATGAGCCCTGGGAATTCATCTCCCTCGCCCCTGAATCACCCACCTGCAAGGGCCTGTCATACGCTCAGGCTGCTGCTTTGACGCTTTAGATTATGCTATTGTGGTTGATATTTGATCAGTATCACACCACACCACACCACACCACACCCATTATGACTTAGTTCATTCCTAATCCATTCATTACGAACTCACGCTATATCTTCGAGCTACACGTCGTATCGTCTTGGTCCTTGTTATAATTCTACTTAATGGACCAGGCGGTTTATTTAGACTTGGAGTATCAATATAATTGATTGCTATTGGATGCTGCTGTTTCGGGGGCGCCGAAGGTTATCAAGTGCTGAAAATGGTAAAGCCGAAATTGTCCCAGTATGTTTCGATGCAGCTGATAAGCCTATGAAAGCTAGATACACCAGCCTGCTAATAATATTAATCTGACCATGGTACAGCGCGAAGAATTAGGAAAAGCCGGTGCGTATAGTTGGATTAAATACAGGCAGAGGATGCGCCTGTCCAAATATGAGTATATGCGGAATGACAGATGTATGTTTCAGACTTACCTCCGTGTTGAAGACATAGTCTGTGAAACAATGTGATACATGAGCTACGTCTTGTCAATTGAACGGGGACTCACCGTTGAGAGGAAGTACACTTGAATCCGCAAATAGTAGATACAGATACTTTAATGTTTCGCTCTGAGAAAACTGAGTCAGCTATGATCATGTGGGAAGGACGGAGTCACACACCATCAAGAAAGTCTCCATTTTATCGTCATACTCCACGGGAACTTGATCCACGTTTATCACACTCGCATACCCACCTGTTGGGATACGGCAATGCTTTTCGATGGCCTGAAATATCGCCCAGCCGTAATCGCGATACTTGGGATCACCGGTGAGCCTAAAGGCAATGAAAATGGATTCAACAGTTTCCGGGCTGCAGTACAAGTTGATTCCTTTATAAGTGAACGGCGGAACAGAAAAAAACGTACCGGAGGATATATCGGGCATCAAAAGGAGGAGGGGCGTTAGGGCTGGTAATTCACAAGCAAGTCAATGTGCAGTTCGAGTGACAAGTGAGTCAACATACCGCGCGCCTTTGATGTACCAGTCCGCAGGAACCATTGAACCATCCATCCCATCGCCCAGAATACGGAAGTGCGCAATTTCAGGGGCCAGGCCGCTGACCGCCATGTTCAGTGGACATGTAAACACTACCGAAGCACATCAAAACATACGTTTGGGTGTCATGTGTGGCCATACATGTGTCAATGAGTTCCACTCCTGTAAGCCAATCACGTTTGCCTTGGTTGGTGAGTTCGTCGGTTGACGGTGGAATCGAGACATTGTGAGTAAGGGCACCGGACGTCGTGGCACCGAGCATGAGGGAACCGCCAAGGAAGCACACGAGATGATCTTGCTTGGGCGTTAAACGCCATCCGCTATTGATCACGTTAGGGCAATTATCATCGAAGAATGAGATATAGCCAACAGTTCCCCATTTTGAGTCCGCTCTGGGTTAAGTTCAGCGATGTAGAGAAGCTGGCTGGAAAGCCCTCGTTTTACCAGGTGTGTTTGGATACCTGTCATCGCAGTGTCATACATCTAAAACATATAATGAATGATGTATGGACCAGACTGTCAAATACCTATACCTCGCGATATACAAGCTCCGTTTGGTTCTAAGGGAATTATCAGACTTTCCAACGTCGACCTTTCCTGTATACTATACTTACAGTTTGCAAGTATTGTTTCCTGTGACTCAAAGATGAGAGCAGCGTTAAACTTGACATTATGTCAACTCACAGTAGATATTCGTAGTAAGAATCCCCGCGAGATCCGAGTCGGATCGGCGAAGTTTGGTAGCGACCCATTTTCGAGCTGGCATATGAGCTGTATGCTTGGCGATTTTATGAATTCAAGACCTACTCAACAAAGATGGGGACTAGCCCGCTCGTCATTGCACTCGCCCTCAGGACAGCCATTACCTGAGACAATGTAGAATCTAGTGCAGAACCTCAAGTAAAATACTCACATTTTCAGCCTTTTCCCAATACGTATCCTCATCGGTAAGGTACGCCAGATAGCGGAACTCGAGTTGTAATGTTGAAGCTTCGGCCGTACTGATCAACCCACCATTATCCCTATCTGGCACACCTTCTCGAAGCGCCAGATTGATTAGTGATAATGGAAGACCAGACTCTGTCTCAAAAACGGGCAGAATGCGGCTACCGAGCTCCTGAGCCTTCTCGAGAAACACAGGGTCATCCCCAGACAAATGGTATGCCGACAGTAAGCCTCCTAGGACTCTGATTGTTGTCTGATGATCGAAAACACATCAAGTCGCCACTATGCTATGAAAGTATTTTCTACTCACCTCAAAGGTATTGAAATTACCATCCCGTTCGAATGAGAGCTTGTCTGCCACCCATGCCCTTGCACGCTGGTACTCATCCTCCAGCCCCATAATAATGATCGTGTCGATAGAATCTACCACAGTATACCCGATACCCCCCGCTTTAGTTAGATTCGAGCCAGTATGCGCGATCGGATGGTACTCGTCATCACCCATAGCGTCTCTTTCTACTGAAATCAGTTGTTTGACCCGTAACTATATGAACTGCGCTATTACCGTATGCAAGCCACGCATGCTAAGGTCAGGTGTCAGTCCACGAAATGCTGAGAAAATACATGCTTTCGTACTTTGAAGGCCTCTACCACTGCGTCTCGTTTTGCTTCGTCTGCGGTGAAGGTGGGGACATAATGCGTTCGAACTCCTGGTAGATGTCTGGTAGGTGCACCGAGAAGCGGGCTCTTCACTAGAGCCAGAAACTAGCAATGGGTAAGTAGAATCCACCGACTCTGAAAGCATTTTATACAGACATTGTAAAGTGCCAAAGCCAACAGGGCGGCTAATAATATATACACTTTTGGAAATGCTGGGCCGGACTTGGTTTCACTGCCCGTCTGCATGGTTGGTGCCAGTCATTAGCGTATCAGTGACCAGAACAACTGTCAAGTGCGCACATCGTGACCATTTGTGAACTCAGTAGCTGCTTTCTTCCTCTGTCTAACTCCTAGTTCTTCCATGACTGCAAGTGACAAAGTGAACTAAGCAAGCGTGAGCAACTGGTCAACTTCCTTTCGTACTTGCCTAGGCCCGGGGCAAACCGATATTATAGTTCTTAACGGCAACTTGACGGGCGTAGCTGGTCCGCATGCGCCTGCCGTGACGCGCCGCCCGTGACAAGGCTGTGACGAGAAATAACTCTATATATATCCCAATTTGTCCATCTGGACATATCATATTACATAAATCCTTGGTTGCCCAGGCCCTCCCGCAGGTTTGAATGTATACACTCGTCCCTACTTTTGGTCCCGCTCCTAATACTACACGTTCGGCACCGGTTCGGGCCGGCGACATGTTTGTAATGAAGATAAGGCCGGATCAACCATGATTCCAACTCTTTCTGCTCGACTTGACTTTGCATTCTCATATCTGATTTTGAGCACAACATGGCTATCGAACTAGCACCAATCGCCCTCCCCGCCACCGCCAGTCGTACTGATTTTGACCCCGATTTTGGTCGGGAAGTCAAGGGCGTGAAGCCTGGCGAACTAACTCCTGAGCAATTCAAGGAGATCGAGACAGCTTTGTACACTGTAGGTCCCGGATCTTCACCCGGTGTAATGCACTCAACTTATGTGCTTCACAGCATGGAATTCTGCTATTTAGAGATGCTGCACTGACACCGGAACAACAGTATGCTCTAACGAAGGTAGGCGAATATTCATTGACATAGCTTTCAACGCAGTTCTCATGTTCAGATAGGCTTTTGATCCTGAGGCAGAATCATATGGTCATGGCAACAACAAGACGCAGTCAACCAAGAAGTCTATCCTTCATCCAGACCTTAAGACGATTCCCCGGGTGCCTCAAGTCCAACTCATCGGTAACGGGATGGTTTACAACCATGAAGGCCTCGAATCCGCTGCTCTCAAGCACCCCTCGCATACGACCTTCCACAAGACCCGTGTCTCTCCTGAAAACGAGGCCCTGGGTATCACCAGATTCTATCGCTGGCACATAGATGCTGCGCTGTACGATTACAATCCACCTCGTGCGACTACCCTCTATGGCATCACTGTGCCTGGGGGTGATAGGCAGACTGTCAGGTACAGCGACGACGATGATCCATCCGGGGAGATCCTATCTGTGCCTCTCGGGACCACAGCTTTCGTGTCAGGAAAGAAGATGTTTCAGATCTTGCCGCCTGAGTTGAAGAGCCTTGCCGTTCGGACTTCTGTTCGGTACGCACCCCACCCTTACGTCTGGATGGCACCTGCCCGTGCGAAGTCGGATGGTCTAGGAATTGTGAACGAAGGTCTAGAATTGCCGCTGAGCGAACTTCCAGAGTGGGAGCAATCGAAAATTAAAACGCTGCCTATTGTACGTCCTACTTCCATTCCGCGGACATGAGTTTAAAAAAGCTGAGCACGCTTAGCTTTGGAAGAACCCTGTCACAGGCGAACTACACTTCCAAGTGCATCCTTGCGGTGCTCAAGAACTTATCGTGAAACCCTTACCGCTTGGCGCTTCCCGTGAGGGTGCTTTATACCCCGATGGAGAACATATCAAGGACCTTGGGAAGGTTCGCGAACTTCTGCACTCAATGCAGCGGCCCGGTATTGCCCCCGGGGTATTATTTTTGCTTGCTTTTTCTCTATGTGAACTGATATAATTGCTTAGTTGGTGTATCCACACGATTGGAAGGAACGTGATCTCGTCTTGTTCCACAACCGTGGTTTGCTTCACACCGTCGTCGGTGCTTTCAAGCCCGATCAAGTTCGCGCATTCCACCAGTGTAACCTCGCCGCGTCCGATGTTCCCGCTGGCCCTACAGAGCAGGATATCATTGCATGGGCTTGAAGTACGATCACTTGTCTGAAACAGTCACTATTTGATCATTCGCGATCGGAAGCATATATATGCGATACTATGGAACTATACAATATCAATATCACGTTCAATTTGCCTCGATACTCGTGCATATGCATTTATCTCTTGTAATCAATGTACTCATGATGGATTACCTGGTCATCCTGTATCCAAACTATAGCGTTGTCCAAACAATTTGTACTACAACTATCCAGGTATCGCAAGAAGAACATGACCAAGACAGGGCAGGCGATGCGAACCGTACCCGCAATTAGGGCTATAGAGACCAGATAACTAAGTGTGTGAAGCTAAGCAGATCCAGAGGGCATAGAAGAGGAAATCAAGAACTGGTTCAATCGAACGCGGACAAAAA